ATTCCAAATAAATATTTTTGAGTAATTTTGTTGTATTATTTACTACTAGAAAGAGTAAAAAGTATATTAACCCTCATTTAAACCTCCTGAACAGCCCGCCATTAAAAACCGGAAACGGAAATAAATTTCATAAAATTGAAATTGTCATGTCTATGTCATGTCAAATGTCCCAGCCGCCATATCTGAAAATTAGTTACCCAGGCAGCCACGCTGTTTCCATAATTTAACATTGACTTGACACTTCTTCTTGTATTTATTATTTTATGGGTACGACATCTGAAATTTGAAGTTATCCTGTGAAATAAAAAAAGCCTGTCACATACATCCAAAATATGACAGTTTTGACACTTTTTGACATTTAGACCTGTCATTCCTATCAACAGTATCAACATTAATTACATGTATTATTGGAGAGAAACACTTATAAAAATAACTTCCTCGCCAAATATCCCGAAATTGCCCACTTCCCACTAAAGTTGTTTTTAAAAACCAATGTTTTCAAAAAAGTTAGATTAAAAAACACACGATATTGTACAAAAGTTAAACAAAATTTAACTTTATACGACGTCGGACGATTAGTTAAAAATATCGGATAAAAATTGGTGTCAAAATATTTCGACCAACAGGAGCACTCTCGGATCGTCGCGACGTGTCATCGGATTTCGGATGCATGAGACTCCGGCTTAAGGCCAAGTGTCACGATGATTATTTCGATGGTCATTTTTATGTAAATATGGAAAATGTCATTGACAACACACTTGACGCTGTTTTTTTCAGCCATACGATACTTTCCTAAATGTATAGTGCGATAAAAAGTTTTATGATCAAGCATGCCTTGGCTTAGGACACATAATTCTTATAGGCTTGGTGCATTTATAGTTTTAAAACTGCACTATTAAAAACTAAAATATTTAAATATAACAAAGCCACGATTTTAATATTATTTCAATGCTATCAACATCAGAACTGCGTGAAATACACAGTGAAAACTTCTGATTTATGCCGATCGAGTGCTGGGGTCGGAATATTTAAGTATTTTGGTTTTAATAGTGCAGTTATTGAAAATATAAACCATTCAGGCACGAGGTTTGTGTGATGTAATGCTGTTTCGGCTCATTTCAAATGTTAATAAAATTGTCAAGAAAATGTTAGCACATAAAGGAGGGCGTAATTACGTGGTTGTTGGGTGCAATAATATTCAATAACTCGATTTTTCCGGATATTCAACCCTCCCGAAACAACATTTTATAGCTTCACAACTTCTCACACGATTGATCAAACGCAAAAATGGATTCAAGCAGCTCGACGAAACAACTGAGTAAACAAAGTGCGCATTACATAATCAAAAAATTAGATATGCATATACTATGAGAGGATTAATTATAATTTGCAATATTAACGGTATACTTGTTTTAATCAACTAGTGCTTAAAATTTTTATGAATATCTAAAAATCTAATTTATTATGTACCTTTAAAAAAATCGTTATAACCGAAATAACCCCAGTTATGTCTCCACTAGCAAAATTGGTGCGTAAAACTATGCTGCTACTCTAGTTGAACTCATCTAAAAAGTTTTATTATGTTAAATAATAAATTATAATACAAGTTAGACCTTCTGCAGATATCAAAATATTTCCTCTGTTTATTTTTATCTTTATAATTTTCAGAAATTATACTTCCTAACACTTTTAGAATAATTTTATAATAAATTTTTCGTATACTCGCTATTTAAATCCGTGTATATGTATATGTAACAGTAAACGTTGGAAATCAGTGATTGTTATCAATTAGTAGTTAAAGTTAAAAGCTCACATTCACTGATTTGCTAGACTACGCCAGTAAAATTTCAACAGCTATTTTTGAAACCAACTTTTACTAGTGAATGCTAACATTCCCTGGACGATAGCAGTGAGTTTAATTCAGTTAGCGCGGTTGCCACATGTTGTAAAATATAAGAATAATTAACGATAAGTTAAATAATAGGCAATATAAAGCCGCGTCCAAGCTACTCGAACAAAATGTTCGCGAACATATATAATTAAACAGATACTAAGTGAAAATTGTGAGATAGGAAGATTTATAAATAATAAAGCCAACAAGTACAGCTAGCCTAGGCCTATTAAGGAGCGCGAGGCGCCGAACGGCTAGCTTGTACGCCAGAGCGTGCGTCTGCCTATGCTAGAGCGCGCGCGTTCTTTTTCCGACGGGTGTCGGTAAATCAAAAGGAGCGAACGGCGTGCATTTCGGAGGACATTGTACCGGACACTTGGAAGGGTCTCATTTAATTTCGGGCGTCCATCTGTGATTTTTATTTTTTACCGACCATTCGACAATGGGAGACGCAGTTATTGACTGGGATCGTAAAAAACATTTACAACTAAATTGTTTACACAAAGAAAAGATTTTATCATTTTAATTTTATTGTGCGTTGAGTGTGAATAGCTATGTAACTAGACTTCGTCCATATAATTTCATTTTTGTTAATAAAGACCTTTATGATTATTTTTATTAAAAACCGGAATTATTATGGGATTCTGATATTAAAAATTACTACTTAATAGGAAGTTTGACACCGGAAATGAAAAGAATATACCGGGTGTATATATTTTTAGAAATAAATATACCGGGTGTTTCTGAAAAGTGGTTCACTTCTATAACTTTTTTAATTTTTTAGATAAAAAACGAGATTTGGTATGTTAGTATAGGACATAAATCAGGATTGATCGACGTTTTCATTTATTTTCGGTCACTACCTATTTCACCGGAAATGACAACAACTTTTGATTTAAATGGTACTCTCGGTATTTTTTACCGTATATGATAGAAAATGACATTCTCAATAGAATGATATATTATATGTCAACTTTTGACATTTTCAATTTAAAAATGGCCATAAATAAACGTAACGAGTAACGACAATTTTACTCTAAATACCAAGTATGTGGTAGCAAATTATTCGTAAAAATGCTTTTTCCAAATATGCTGAATCAGCCTCGTACCATTTGAAAAATTTGAGTTATCATTAAAAATACGATTTGGGCATCTTTTAAGCGGTCATGAAAGGATACGAAAAAAAATTACACGATCAAATATATGTTTCCAAAGTTCTTTGATTACAAATTAATAGTTTTAACTCAGTCTTGGCACTCTAGACTGAAATTTAAAATGCTATTTTTATTTAATTGGAATTGTCTAAAATTGACGTATGGTATGTCATTCTATTCAGAATGTCATTTTCTATCAAATAAAGTAAAAAATATTTAGGATACAATCTAAAAATACAAAGTTGTAGTCATTTCCGGTGAAACAGGAAGCGACCGAAGGTAATTGAATACGTCAATCAATCCCGATTTATGTCATATACTAAGAAACCAAATTTCGTTGTATTATCTGAAAAAATAAAAAAGTAAAAAGTGAGCCCCTTTTGAGAAACACCTGGTAGAATCGGCTGAAAATGAATACAGGTCTTAAAAATACACTATAACGAATAATCTACCAAAAGATCTACCCCTGTGATCCTCCGCCTGCTAAATATTGATTCTTCAACGACAAAAGTTCTTAAACTGTTTACCGGTTAATTTATTTAATAAAATGCTTGTACTCGAAAAAACAGCGACTACCTAAACGCATCCATAGAGCAAACTGGTTGTCGCATTCTTCCCCGCACCTCAGTCCTCGGGACCGATGCGATGGGCTGTGCCGTCGTTTACGACCTGCTCCTACGAGTATATAGTGTGAATTATATATGTTCGCGAACGTTTTGTTCGAGTAGCTTGGACGCGGCTTAAGGATAACATTAAATTGGGCTAAACGTTGGCAACGTTGACAGACATCTGGCGTAAATTCGCTTTGTTTGTGGTTATGTATAATTGTTTTGTTATCGTTTTAAAAAGTGCTGTGCTGTATTTTCCCTGTGGAAGAAATTTTCTGTTAAAAATTAAGTTAAATAAACTTTATTTTGTCCACCATGAAGAACTTTATTAAAAAATCTTGTACCAATAAGTAATCTTATGTTTATTAATGTTATGTGTCGTTATTTTCTATAATTTTTTAATATACTAAAAGAAGTAAATTGTAATTTTAAGGTAATTATTGTAATTGTAATTGAGGTGATCCAATATTCTTAAAAGTTTTATTGTTCTTTCCACCAACATTCTTCCTCACCACACTCGCCCTGTACAATAGAATAACTTTTACTGGCAACCTTTAATAAATGTTATTTTTACTATATAGTGAATGTTAGAAATGACTAGGAAAAGTCGACAAATCTCTTTAAAATACCACATTCACTGGTCCAATACGTAATTGCTAGTATTTCCTAGTCAATGTTAACAATCACTGAATTTCCGACTTTCGCTGTAGCATATATACCGGTTGTTTGCGATTTTCTCCGATGGTGGCAGCACCGACGAAGAACCAAGCCTATAAGAATTTACATTAATATTTTATAACTGTGAACTGTCAAAGTCAGAGCTTGCTTGATCATAAAACTTTAATGATAGATATGTGTTATGCATTATATTGGGTTGAAAGTAAATTCTATGTTGTTTTCATCCTTAAATTATTGATTATTGAACATTTCTAAAAACAGTTGCGTTTTTAAAAAGAAAACAGTTAAATATATATTTTCTTGTCACAATAAACAAATTTTTTATTAACTTTTACTTATATATATTTTAAAAAATTCTGAATAACTAAAATATATTATTCCCGCATATTCCCAAGTTTTTGAACGGCACTATAAAACTATAGTTAGTCCGTTGACATAACATAACATAATAATAGTTTATTATATTAAAAGAAATTGCAACTTCAATGTGATATTCCAATACAAAAATAAACGGTTAGTGTAAACACAGAATAAATACTTTAGGAAGTCTTCCTTATTAGCTATTTATTCTGTGATCAAAAACAACCTGTAGAAATATATTTACCACACCATAGTTAAAACACATAAAAACTATCAAACACAAATTCAAACACACCAAATGTTTTTTACCTTGTTCTGCTTCGGTCAACTTGTCGTATACTGTAAAAACATACCAGTCAAAATCCATTTTTTTATCGTTCATTATTATTTAATATCACATATCATGTAATCAATCATCATTTTATTTTTTGGAAAAAATTTTTTATTTTATTTTTTATGTGATGTGGCATTAAAAAATACATTCAACCGTTGATTGAAAGAATTGGGAAGATACGCAACCTAATAGGCGAATTCGTGATAAGGCTGATTTGATTTCCCCTTACGTCTCAAGTGCTGTGCGGTGGAGACACCAATCGTTCTGCGGCCATCGCATAAAACACTAACACACAAGTCTAACTCGGCCAGCGAAGGCATATCGAAGATGGTGTGGAACTGAAAGTAACAGTGTTGCCATATTAAAATGTGTAATATATGTAATATGTTTAACGAAAATATTTTTGGATGAAAAATCCGCGTTTATGTATTGAAAATTTATTCGTGTCAAACCTAGTAAAATAATAAACAACAAAAATAATTAAACCTGTAAAAAATTCTTTTACAGGTGCCGAATATGTAGTATGATCGAAAAAGTCGTTTAGTTGGCTTGGACATGACGATTACCATTATAGTGACATTTACCATAATATTTTACATATGAAATAACAGCAATCTTCATTTTCAAGCCAACTTTGACGCCGTTCTGTGCTAAATCATATAATATTATATTAAATTGTTTAATGATAGAAAATCCGTATTATTAACGTAATGTACACAAAATCCGTAAATATACGGATTAATTGGTAGTTCTGGCAACACTGTCTCCGGCATCCACTCACTCTGTTGACTGAAAGCGGAAGAATGGTACAGTATTCAGTATTCTTTATTCGCTGTGCTTTAACCGGCTATCAACGCGCAGCGGCGCAGAGCTAAACTAAATCTCTGACAGGCTGACGGTAACGCCACCTACAACTCGGACAGGTTTTGTGCCACGAAATCGTCCATAAGGTTGCGCATTTTCTTATTTCTTCAATCAACGATACACCCTTAAATTTTCACCCTTCTATCAGTGGCGGATACAGAAGGGGGAACATGGGGCCCTGCTCCCCCCCTAAAATCTGTAAATTGTGTTAAATATTAGGCTTTTTTGTTAAAAATGGCGCCCTAAAAAGCATATTCTACATTACTTTTTATTTTGGGCCCCCCCTAAAATAAATTCCTGTATCCGCCCCTGCCTTCTACCATCATCCACTATTTTTTAATAGCGATTTTATTAGTAATTCAATAATTCTAATTTAACAAATTGTTTTTAAAAATTGTTAGGATACCTTAAAATAAAAACGTGAGTATGATTACCCAATCATACTCATCATACTCACCGGTACGGGTATATAGAGGGTATAATTGGGTATATACGGGGTGCAAAAACTTAGGTATTTACCCAAATTTCAATATACCGGGCAAATATATTTAAAGACTATATGGTTAATAGCCCATTTACACAATGAGTGGAAAGTAAAGCCAAACAAATGAAATGGGAATATCAATCTTGCGTAATTCTTTTGGTTCAACGCGATTTTTATGCGTACGCCCCAAATAAAACGATCTGATTCGTCTACTTCATCGCTGAGCGCTGTCACCTGCCCGCGCACTATTTTAAACTCTAAATATTAATAATATACATATAATATATTACTTTTTTATTGGTAATGGCATTATTTCAACCTGTTATTTTATATATTCATGAAATATAGATAAATCTATCCCTTTCTTATTTTTGTTTAAATATGTCAGAAATTAAATTTAAATTTATGTAGAATGTAGAATGAGTAAGAGGGGGGTTAATCACTGCGACCTTAAAGATCTATTGTGTGTGCCCCCCTTCCTTGAGTCATCACACAATCTATAACTCATCATATCCCTGTTGTAGAGGGGACAGGGTATTTCCCATCATACTCTGACAACAGTTCTTCCTCCGAGGGTACACACCCTTCCACGGTTGGCGTTTGGCCCTCCGTGCCGCTCTTCACAGTCGAGGAGCTTGCCTCCGGCTGAGGAAGCCGTGAGGTGGAGGCTGGAGGATCTGTCTCCATTTTCTCCACCTCTTTACTTGATATCTCCTTAGACCTGATACCGGTGTCGTCCCGTATCTATAAAAGAGGATATATCCCTCTTTCTCTATTGCCTCCTTGGATATGACGTACTGTATTGACCATCCTGGCTTTTTTCTCTCCCTGCCGATGCCGGAGAAGAGGTTCTCGCTCCCTCTCTTGCCCTTTGATGGAGATGAGTCAGGTTGTTTCTTGGTTTATTTACTCTCCCCTTTTCGGAGAAGTGTTTTTGCTTAGAGTGTTTCGGTAGCTTATGTCGCTTATTGGGTCTAGAGGTAGGCTCCCGATCCTTGCTGGAGAAGGTGGTAGCTTGTGTGCCACTTGTGGAGGATGATCCTAAGCAAGTGTCAGTCGCCCCTCCTGTAGTTTCCTTTGGATTTGGTCCCTTGGAACTTTCACTTTTGTAATGTTCCCAGTGTCGCTAGGGGGCTTCCCCACAGCTTCACCGGTGGTGTTTTTAATACTAGATCTCATAGTGTTCCCACGAGTCGCTAGGGATAGTTGGTCCACTTCTACAGAGCCCCGGATGCAGAAGTAAGGAGTAAATACAATGGGATGCTCCCTGATGCCCCAAGGTTGAGGCCAGTAATGGCTAGTCCTCTATCTAGCCACGCATCCCCTTGACCTGGTCCCGCCATCGTAGGATTTACGTTTTTGGTGAGGTTGTCTCCTCTTGGTCCAGGCGGTTAAGCAAAGACCCCCCCCCACACCCTCTACCCGCGAGTCAGTAGAGGGTGCCTGGTATGACGGACAGGAGTGGCCCCGTCCGGCATCGTTATATGTCTTGGTGCAATTCCCTAGCCACTACAGCTAGGGACAAGACAATGAGATGCTTCTTAGACCGAGCTAAAGTGCTAGAGGAGATTCCTCCAGCACCTGACAAGGAGGTTCCCAACCAACGACAAGGTTTTGCATCTCCTAGGAGAAGATTTAAATTTATAAGTAAAGGGGCGATCAGTAAGACGCTAACTTGATTTACATAGTATATAGAAACTCTGAAACTACTTGTATTGGTTAATATGAAATAAATCAACTAATCGCAAAGCACTTCTTAGGCTTGCGTAGTTCAAAGCCGTTGAACCAAAAGGACAGACTTATGTGGATTTTGTATAGCTCCATCTCAAAAATGTGGCTTCAATTTCTGTGCCTGACTAGCTATATAGTCTTTAAATATATTTGATACCGGGTACTTGCCCATCACTGATCACAGCAACGCGTGGCCGGGTCTGCTAGTTTAAGTTTAATAATTATCATCAATTTACTTTGATTTCTTTAATTAATAAAAACAGAAATATTAATTTCTTTCTATTTAGCATATATAGGCTATATTTAAATAAACAAGTAGGTACTTACGGGGTCTTAAAAATAACAGGGTCCTTTTTAGCAGTAATTGGCAGACTCATTTTAGGTCTATTTGTGCTCGCACCTGTCTTTTCACTTGTTGGTGTTTGGGTTTGGTTTGGTGTTCCACTCAAAGGACGAAATGAAAAAGGAGTTGTACCACTTGGTTGTGGAAAATCCATTTTTAAAATTGGTTTTCTTGGTGCTGCAATGTTTGAATATCAAAATAAATAGATCATTATTTATTAAAATAATTAATTCTAGTAGTTTTCATAATTGTGTAATATTTAATCTCAAAAAGGTTCTTTATATCTAACCTTGTTATTAAAAATCTAATTAATCAGGGCAATTTTATCGTAATAATTATTCCCCTAGAAACAGTTAGTGGCATCCAGTCCCAAAAAACACAGGGGCACATACCCACCTAATTGCAAAGATAAAGGAAAAGAAATAAGTAGGTATATAATTGGGTATTACAGTTGGGGGCCTTGTTGACCTTCGGTGTTATAACAGCAAAATAAAACAATAAATCACCACAATACACCCAAACACTTTTACTTTTACACTGGACGCCAGTGGCGACTCGTCAGGGTAGGCAAGGTAGGCGGCGCCTACCCTAAGATTTTGGCAGAATTTAAGCGGTTTATTACATTACATTATTTACTATTGATGTTGTCAATACATAAAAATACTGTTAATACAGGGAAGTGTGTTTTAATAATCAATATTGTTTTAATATTTGTGGTCGTGTATATTAAAATATTCACTACAGCTGGCGTACGCTGTGCCACTGCGTTAGAAAACAAAATAATTTTGACCGTTGGAGTGCCTTTGTTCGGCGATTTCTACATCGCCTACTATCAGAGTCGATGTACGACGTACGGCATGCGGCAGTCTTCTGTCTATGTCTAACTCATCGTGCGGTAGCGACGCGACGTAAGTCGGAGTTGTATCGTATTAAGGCGGGGCTTAGGTAAAATCTCCGGTTGCCTTCGCATGAAGTTGTGGAGGCTTGGTAGGCTTAGAAGTTAAGGGGATATTCTCGATATTTCATAAGGGGATATATCACATTTCGTTAAGGGGATATTTCATATGATTCATTATACGTACCATTTAAAACTTTTACAAAAAAGTCTCAGTGTGCTATTTCAATTCGATATGTTAATAAAAGCGGCTAAGTCAAATCTCTTTGCGAATTTTATTTTATGAAATGGGGGGGGCAAATAGACACAACTAAAATTTTATCGCCTACCCAGCAGGGTTCGGAAACTATATGTTACTTTTAAAAACTACATAAACTACATTACATGTAGTTAATGTAGTTTATGTAGAGGGTGTAGTTTATGTAACCTATGTATGTAACTTTCAAATGTCAAAGATTTGAGGTGAGGTTATAATAAGTTGAGGCTTTAAAAACACATAATGTATTTAAGAAAACAGAAGAAATATGGCTTTAAATATAATATTTACATCATATTATCTCTATTACACCTCAAACAAAGGAAAATTATTCATAATATCAATACATAGTTTATTAACGTAGTTTTCATGTAGTTAATGAACGGGAAAAGACGTAGTTTTTGAAGAAAAACTACACGTAGTTAATCAGGTAAATTGCGTCTTAGTTAACTACTTCCGAACCCTGCTACCCAGCCACACGGGTCACGAGCCGCCACTGCTGGACGCGCGTTTCGCTAAACCATGTTAGCATCATCAGCAGATGATTAAAACTAAACTAATATCTACAAATTGAGCGTTTTGGGCCATTGTCTCTGTTCATACTATCTTTACATTTATTAATTTTGACGCTCTCATATGCATCTAATTTAATTATTTAATCTGATTATATTCATCGCAACAATATTGATCAGCGCTAATTAACATTGAATAAGAAAAATCGAGCCAATTGAAAGATTCAAAGCCAATTGGAAGATTCAAATAAATTAATAAATTATATCCAGGTCAGCATTTTAAAGATATTATTTTTAATTTTTTTTATTGTGAATTTGAAATCTTAGTGTGCGATCTAATAATATGCGTAATATTCATCGCAGTTATTATAAATAAATAAACTTCTACAAACTAGTTTCTAATGCTCTACGGCACAAATTTATTTTTCGTTCAATTTTATTTATAGCCCTTTTGTACTCTTTATTGTAAATGTTGAGATATATTGATTTCGCTTTTATAACTGACGTGAAGTAACATATTCATTTGTATATTATTTTTTATTATTTTATTGAATTTGATTTTCAATATTCAATGTTTTACTCCACGTCATGGTTAAGTTAGAAAGCTTATCAATATTGTAAGGATGAATATATTAAATATTTAAAAAAAACAGAGCCGGACTTGAAATTTAGTTTAAATAAATTGTGTTCAAATGTCCGAAACAAAAAAAAATATTAAGTGTAGCATATCATTGTAGTCAGGAGACCGAGTTCTTTCAAAATCTGAAATAAAAAATGCAGGTCCGTATTTAAAAAAATAAGCACCGGCGGAGAATGCACCAAGCCTATAACAGCCCATAATTGTTTTCGCAAAAACTGCATAACTACTTGTTCAAATTACAATTTAAATTTTCTAACTCTTAGATTAAGATTTAACTGTAGAAAAAATAAGATGTTTATTAATATGAAATACATTGTGTAGTAGTTTACTAATGTTTTTAACTGTATTTTCTCTTAATTTTGTATGCCAATTTCATTGAAAATAAATTATCATTGTTTACCTGTCAAAATTAATTCATGGCCCACCCTGTGTATGTTAATATCTGCATTAAATATCTTAGAAAAGTAAACTACTCAGTACCATTTACTTAATACTAGTTTATGCAAATTAATATTTACAAAAATATTACCTGGATTATGTTGATCTGCCATTTTATTACCTTTTTACTTCAAAGATATGGGAAAACAAATGGGATATTAAAAATTACTGCACATTAGATTTAACAGCTCGCTATTAAGAACGTTGTAAATTCACTTTATAGATGTATTTCAAACTTCTTCATCTTGAGCTAACATTTTTGAACAAGTGGAATTTGTTTATACAACTTTTTATTTTTGGAAAATCAAGGAAATTCCAATTTTCTAATTTGACTAGAGCAAAATATCCAAATAATTACACCAATTACACTGCGCAAAGACAGCGCGCAAGACGACAATTGTCATAATTAGAGATGTGCACTAAAATCGAAAAATATTACCTACTATTTATTAATTTTGGTAATGGCAAAGGTAATGGTGTGGATCCATGGTACAAAGAATACAAGGTATGATATTGCGCAGGTTGGTCGCTACGTCACAGGTGATAACAGGCGCTATTGGTCAGCACGCTCCGCGCGCCACTTCAAATCGTCAAGATATTGTTATAAACCTGTTTTTTTGTTTATATACCGTCATTGAATTATCGCTAAGCAAGTTACTGTGGAGTAGTGCGTAAGGAGTCGGGCTAGGAAGCGAGAGACCCGAGTTCGAATCTCGGCAAATGACGATTGAGGACATTTCCCATAAAATGACAGCGATCTTCATTTTGATAGTCATCGCTGACGCTATTTTTTTTTTTCAATCATAGTACGCGGTATATTATTTATATCATTTTATTTATTATTTTATGATATATATTTCGCACAACACGTGAACGCTTATTATGTATTTTCATAGTCAATAAAATTATATAGAACTAAAACTCTAGATTCCTATCTATATTAATTAATCTTAATTGCTCTAAATTATTTAACATTCCATCAAAACTACGGAGGCCTTAAAGTTTTTAGCTGGGTAATTAAAAGGGCTTTATTAAAAGCTTCAGCAACATTAACCAAGTTTTTCCTTGTTTAATTTTGCTAACATGCTGTAGCTCCATGTCATGCTACTTTAAGATTTCTCTATTCTTACACCTAATTTATGTGATTTTCTTAGCTATAATATGATTTATAAACCATATTTTTCCTAATGGAAGGATGGAATAGGATATGCAAAATTAAGATATTTTAACATTTATTTTCCAGACAAAGCATAAGATTAAGACATAATAAATATTATAAGAAAGATCTTAATATAAATCACAAACTAAGTCTTAATTTGGTCTTGTATAAACACAGGTATAAAACTAATAAGATCAAAACTCAACCTTCACCATATTGTCAAGATTTGGCATTATAGGAAACAAGAAATTGCAGTAAATTAAGAAAAGAATATCAAAGTACACGATATTAAATACTGTAATGTATTCTACGATACAAACCATCTCCCTTCTAAAGAGAAAAAGATAAAACATAAAGCTTATTTTAGTCTTATCAACACTCTTCGATAAAATATATGTCTAAAATTGCTATTAATCCACTAACTTGATATTTTTAAGAAATTATATGATACAAACATTACAATCAAAGTATATTATATTAGTAACATTATAGGTAAAATATGTTACCTCTATCTCCCATTGACGTGTATTGTTCTATAAGACTCGTCATGGTAATATTTCAAAACATCAATATACATAATATAATGAAAACTATTGTTGCCTGTAAATAACTAGAAATTAAATAACTTGAAAGAAATAAAATAATTCTAATAAGTTTAAAACCATTAGAAAAAATCCGTAAATGATAATTTTTAATTCTAATGTAAATATATAAATAAATGTTATTATTATGCAATTTTATTATTCAACCACTTCCATATCTCTGTTATTATTACGTACAATTTTATATATTCATAATACTTTCATTTCACAATCTTCATTATCCTTCTTACCTTAATTTTGGATATCAAGATAAATCTGAAATTATAAAATTAATTATAGAATTTGTATTATTATTGATTAACACTCAAAAAAAAAATTCAACTGCAAATAATTCGAAAATAAACTGCAATTTGGCAACATCGACGATGTGCGCTTGCGTAGTATCGATGATCAAATGCAGCAAATATGGCCTTCAAGGTCAGCCACCGGATCCACACCTTTACCAGATATAAGATAAGTACCTACCCAATATAAAATTAAAAAGAGAATTGTGAATTGAATTTGCAAACATTAATAGAATATTTTTATTTAATGTAAAAAGAACGTTCAGGCCTTATTCAAAGGTTCAGGCCTGGTTCAGGCTAAGAGTAGGTTCAGGGTAGGTTCAGGCAGGGTTCAGGTAAAAATACTATCATTTTCATACGGAACAAATGAACTACCCTACCCTCCTACTTTTTTAAGGTTATGGTGTAATGTGTTATGGTACTGTATGTTTTGTAAGGTTTTGTTAAAAAATATTTCTATTTTCAATTTAATCAAATTATAATACCTTTTATAATGTATTAACAGAGGTATTAATTAATAGTCTAGAATAGAGTACTCACTGTTAGCATTTAAGTGATATATTTTTGAAGATAGTGCACTGAACAAGATCTGTTGAAAAACCATACAGTTCAACAGATATTTCACGGAGATATTTACACGATATCCATAAGATTATGGCTGCTTTAAAAGGGATTCTGTGTAAAAATCAGCTTTTAAAATCAAAAATAACAATCAGGTAATTCAAAGATTTGTATCTGTATGTATACATATTTTCTCTAACCTCTCATAAAATCCCGTACAGATATATACAAAATTTTTATATCTTTTTTAGTCATTATATTCAAAATGGAATGTCTCAATTTCCAAAATATTACATAGAGCCAGTTTACAAAAAAGAGGAACTCAAAGAATTGGAAAAAAGTGGTGATATAGACAGATTAGCACACTTACCAACTAAACCTGCTAGTAGTGATTCCACCTGTTCATTTAAACAAGACCCTGATATTAAGTATTATAAGTTAGATTAAGTGCCTTTTTCGTACATTTATATTCAACCTTTCAGCCTATTTGTAAATTATGTTATGAAATGTGGGAAGAAATCTCTAGCACGTGAGTTAGTTGAAAAATCATTTGAAAACATAAAGCGTATTCAACTTGAAAAATATCATAAGTGTGAATCAGAAGAAGAAAAGAATAAATTAGAATTAAATCCCAGAGTTATATTTCATAATGCGGTTGAAAATTGTAAACCTTTGGTGGAGTTAACTGGCGTTAGAAGGGGAGGTGTGAAGTATCAGGTAGATTTGGGTATTTATTATAATTAGACATTATAATACACTTTTCTTATAGGTTCCAGTACCAGTAGCACAAAGGAGATCACTATTTTTATCGATGAAATGGTTGATAGCTGCTGCACTAGAGAAAGACGGTAAAGTTAGATTTACCGATCAACTTGCCCGAGAACTTGTAGATGCTGCCCATAGCAAAGGAAAAGTAGTTAAGAAAAAACAAGAATTACATAAACAATGTGAAGCAAATAGAGCTTACGCACATTATAGATGGAACTAAAGACAAGAAATATTTATTTTATAATAAGAATAAATAATAAAACATTTAAAATGATTATCACCTTTTAATAATTTATAATTTACTATATTTACATGATCCTTTTGAACAATTCTTCATTTAAAATGGTACCATATGTCATATTTAATTTTAAGGTATCTTTGGTTGAGTATCTTTTTATTGGCAGGTATAGTTCATGCAACACAGATTTCTAAAAATAATTCACTTAATCTTTGCAGAATTAGATATTATAGATTTGTTATACTGGTAAATCATTTAAAGGGATAATATCATCTGCCAGTAATTCCACATCAATTCTGTTACCCCATGTATTTGCATATGAAATTTTTACAGTATTGTTTTTTTCATTATAATAAATATATCCTACAATATTTTTTGTCAGAAAACCCAGACTACTTATAAAAGCTAGTAGAGATAATGCTAAAACATATTTGTTAAATTAAATACAGTTTCATCTCCTTAAATAATAAAAAATTATATACAAACCTATAGTACCACTAGTTTGAACTATGTCCATAGAAATGCCAAATAGTCCGGAAAACATTGCTATGCCTGGAATAGTAAGACCAGTAGCTGCCAGTTGATAGACCTTTAAGCGATTTACAATTGTTGTAGCTCTTATGTAGGGAAAATGATAAATTGGAACAAAATCCTTAGGATCATATTTTTGTAATGGTACATTTGTTTGAATATATTTTGCTTTAAGGGATGTAGGTATTGTTTTTAAAGTTCTGGATTCTAAAACAGTTCTCGTTACTAAGCGATTTACGTATTTCAGCATTTCTTGAATATTCTTATCCTAAAAAAATCAATTTTTTTCTTAAATTTAATTTATTTTATGTTTATTCATTATTAGAAATCATAGATAAACAACATTAATATAACGTATGATCTGGTATGATCGAGAAAAAACGGCGTCCAGTTGGCTTGGAAATGACGATCGATGACATCTCCCATATAATTTTACATATAAAATGGCAGCGATCTTCATTTCATAGCCATCGCTGACGCCGTTTTTATTCGATCATACGGTATATCTGTGTATAAGTAGTTGTATCCTAAGTGAACACAAAACCAAAACACAACCACGACACAACTAACAAATATTATGGAATGGACTCTACGTAAGCTTCTCAGTTGCGCTTATGGTTGATGGTTGTGCTTTTCAGTTTTGTTTTGATTCCACTTCATGTGATCGTGAATTCAAATGCTTTAGGCAAGAAATCAAAATAATTACTTACGGAGTAAATATAATACAACAATGCCAGTAAAACTTAAAGAAATGTAAGTATTTTATTTAATCTTTTTCAATAAATATTGAAATTTTGTGGACATGTCATGTGTTTTTAGTATAGGTTAGGAAACACGTGTTTGGCAGTCAATTTTGACAGTAACATATAGTTTGTTCCTTCTGACTTGTCGTTAGTCCAATCCATAGGAAGGGAAAAAAACAAGGAAAAACCAGGGAAAAAAGAGACGATGTCACAGAACACAGAAATGACTTAACAGAAAAAACTGATTTACTGTTACCAAATATCATGTTGAAGATACAAAAAAATTATAACTATATGTGTTATTATTTGGACATTGATTGTTCTATTCAATTACAATTTAGCATGTGTTTATAACTTGGTATTCTCAACAGATTAAGTTGATTACTTAATTCCTATATAATGGACATCGTTGGCTTTTTTACCTTACCCTTCATATGTATATGGAAATGTACTTCTGCCAGATATCATATATTCGAAAAAAATGGATTTCAGTTGGCTTGGACCATCTTGGAGACTACAATCAGTGCTACAACCAATGACATTGACCATATAATTTTACAAACAATGACAGTGATCCTTAGTTCCAAGCCAACTCTTACTTAATAATAATGATTCTCTGTATTTTCTTTTTTTCTAGTTGATCGTATGGTATATATTTTTACAAAATTGTTATGGGGTATACTGGGTGCGTCTCAAAAGTGGCTCACTCCTATAACTTTATTTTTTCAGATAAAAACGAGATTTGGTATGTTAGAATATGACATAAATTAGGATTGATTGACGTATTCAATTGTTTTCGGTCACCTCCTGTTTCACCGGAAATGACTTCACCTTTTGGTTTTTAAATGACACCCTCGGTATTTTTTTGCTTTATTCGATAGAAAATAATGACATATCATATGTCAACTTTTGACATTTCGCATATGGCTTATTTGAAATTGGGCGCATTCAGTAAACACACCGGTTACTCCACCGGTGCAAAAAATTAAAGTGAATGCCGGTAACTCACCGCTTGTGGTCACCGATCACTTGAGAGCCTACCGTTTTTTGTTTCCGGTTTATTTAAGTACCGATAACTTAATCGTTCAATGAAAAGTTATCGGTAGGTCTTTACCAGTTAATACCAGTGTGTTTACTGAATGTGCTCATGTAACATTCGGTTCATAACGACAATTTGACTCGAAATACCAAGTCTATGGTATCAAATTATTCGTAAAAAAATGCTTTTTCCAAATATGCTAATGTGCCACCCTCGTTCCGAAAAAAATTGAGTATTAAAATACGATTTGGACATATTTTAACCGGCCAGGACAAGACACTAAAAACATTAGACGATCAAATCTATTTTTCCAAGGTTTCTTGATTAAAAACTAGTGTTTTTAACAAAGCCATGGCACTGTAGATTGAAATTTATTGTACGATTTTTTAAGCGGGAATATCAAAAGTTGACATGTCATATGTCATTCTATTCAGAGTGTCATTTTCTATCGAGTTTCTATAAGAGTAAAAGTTGCTTTGTTATACCATTCACATTTAAGATACTGTTTTTTAGGGTTCCGTACCCAAAGGGTAAAAACGGGAACCCTATTACTAAGACTTTGCTGTCCATCCGTTAGGACTTTACGCTGCTATGACGTTGGAGCCGTAGTAAAGCAGGTTCGAATCTTAGTCAAGGCGACTTTTTTTTAATCGTTTTTTTTTTAATTTTTACATATTTTTACATATTTATTTTTACTTTTTACATATTTATGATTGATTAATACAATTTTTAGTAATGTGTTTCTTCATTTTTTTAAATTACTTACGCGCAGTCAAAATTTCAGCTAAATCGAAAAAAAGTTTATAATAATATAGTGTCTAATGTTGTATAGATAATGAATGTACTTGACCAATTTTTTATAGTGATGGGAAAAACCGATTAATTTCAATAATCGAGTACTCGACTTCCAAGCGATTGCAATAACCGAGTGATCGCTCGAGCGAAATATCATTCGTATTTAAAAATACGGTTTTTCACCCGTCGCTTGTTGTAAGTACTCGTTAACGCCAAGCACCAAGCAGTAAGTTGCATGCGCAGGGCACATATTCTTTCGGTGATGAATGACAAGTAGCAAGCGGCGAGCGATTCCCTTGATCGCTTGATTTAGTTTATTTTAAAGCATTGTCGATGTAGGTCGTAAAATGTCCCTCGGATACGCAACGGGTAAATATATATACGGCGTCGTATAAATTTGCTACCTGCAATGTATGTAGAAAATTCGCTCGGCTTTTTATCGAGTATATCACATTAAAATCGGATTTCAATTTATTTCATTCTATGATCGCTTGCGTTCGTCGCTTGGTCACTTGCATCGCTCGTTCATAATCGAGCGATATCGGTAATCGAGCGAATTTTCGCTCGAGTTATCCCATCACTAATTTTTTAGTCTGTATCTTCGTTATTTTGCTGTGAATCTAAATTTTTACGATTGCAATAGATAGGTAAAGACCAAGTATATCTCAACAAAGCCTCGGACCCGGACTGTCCGAAACGTAGACGAAAATTGGTAATTAAACGGACTTTACGAATTGGAACATGGAATATTCAAGGGATCGCAACAAAGAGAGAAGTATTTAAAGAAATGGAACGGTACGATATGGATATAATAGCTCTAACAGAGACTAAGAAAAAAGGGAAAGGTACAGAAGAGAAGGATGGATATGTGCATATACAGGGTTGTTCACCACATACGACACGGAGTATTGAAGGTAAACGACAAGATTTTTACAAATTGTAAGTTTTGGGTTCGTTGAAGGACTGTTAGAGCTACAATTTAAAAATATTTTTACAAGATACAGAGTGTGCCAAATAAGTAAAAAATATTATAGTTCTATTTTTTTAAACAGAACACCCTGTATATTATTCTATTTTTGGATTATACGATTGAAATAAAGGTAAATTTGATTAAGGTTTATCACACTTAAACCTTACCGTTTTTGAAATATTTTCAATTTTATGAAATTGAAGTAAAAATTTTAAGGCCTAATTTCTCCAAGGGTATCAAAGTTTTTAGTAGTAAATATTTACTGAATATTATTTATTGATCAGATATTGTGTTGCAATAATAAAAATTTTACTATCTTATACAGAGTGTCCAAAAATTTATATTAAATAATTACTAGCTTTAAACGGCAATAACTTGTTTAATTTAAATGGAATACCTTGTATATTTTACGTGAATCATATGCACAATTTAATTGTCTATCATATTTTATTATACAATTTTTTACCTATCTCTTCAAGTTTTCGTAGAAAATGCATTTTCCTATAATTGAGACCTCATTTATCACTATAGCCATGGATTCAGACACTCGGACTTTTTTAAAAGCAACATACATGTACAAAATGTACAGGTGGTAAATATTGCAAGCCCATTGGTATACAAAAAAGAACTATTTAAATATTTGTAAAAGAGTATACCAATTAAATACACCACCATTATTTCCGACCAAAAATTAGTTAACTACATACTTTTAAATTGTTTTAATTAATAAAGTATTCTAAATAAATGTGGATTTGGCTCAGAAATTAATATATTAATAAGTTATAAAAATGAACGTCTCTGTTTTTATAAATAAGCATTCGTCAAAAAATGAAATTTAAAATGAAAAAAATTATAAGATGTTACTTTTTACCACACTGTTTAATAGACACACAAAATTCAGTTTTTTAGTATTTGGAGCAATTATTATTAATCAACGTAAACAGTCAATTAATGTAGTTTGAATACTGGGATCATATTAATTGGTCCTCTTTAAAAAAATATTTAAACAATTTTTTTTTATTTTTTAATGAAATAAGCGAACTATATCGACAATATTAGTACCTGTACTCATTGAAAATTTGTTACGTCTTTAAAAATAATCTAAGATGTCAATATTCCATGGGTATAGTGATAAATGAGGTCTAAATTATTAGTAAATGCATTTTCTACGAAAACTTGACAAGATGGATAAAAAATGGTATAATACAATTTAATAGACAATTACATTGTGCATCTGATTCACGTAAAATATACAGGGTGTTCTATTTAAATTAAACAAGTTATTGCCGTTTAAAGCTAGTAATTATTTAATATAAATTTTTGGACACCCTGTATAAGGTAGTAAAATTTTTATTATTGCAACACAATATCTGATCAATAAATAATTTAAAAATTTTTACTGCAATTTGATAAAATTGAAAATATTTCAAAAACGGTAAGGTTTAAGTATGATAGACCTTAATCAAATTTACCTTTATTTCAATCGTAGAATACAAAAATAGAATAATATACAGGGTGTTCCATTTAAAAAAATAACACTATAATATTTTTTACTTATCTGGGACACTCTGTATCTTGTAAAAATATTTTTAAATTGTAGCTCTAATAGTCCTTCAACGAACCCAAAACTTACAATTTGTAAAAATCTAATCGTTTAGCTACAATACTCCGTGTCGTATGTGGTGAACAACCCTGTATACAGTGGTGTACCAAAAGAGGAGCGAGCCCGCGGTGGAGTATCACTAGCAATTAGGAAGAAATATAAGAAATTTATAAAATCTTGGGACCAAATCAACCACAGACTTTTGCAGGTGGATGTTGATGTGAGAAATCATTCTTTGGTAGTTATAGCAGCCTATGCCCCAACTGACGACGCCCCAGCCGCCGAGAAGGACACGTTCTTTTTTGATTTGACGACAGCATTGGAAAAGATTGGAAGTCGAAAGGAGGTGATTCTAATTGGTGACTTAAATGGCAGAACAGGTTTTAAATTAAATGACCCAGTAGTAGGACGGTACGGAGAACACATTGCAAATAATAATGGTGAAAGACTTATTCACTTATGCGAACGACAGGCACTCAGGATTGCTAATGGATGGTTTCCACATAAAGATATCCACAAATATACATGGACGCAACCCACACGAAATCTAAAATCGTTAATTGATTATATAATTGTTAGGCAGAATACTCTACTGAAAATTTCGGATGTCAGTCATGCATGGTGATCATTTCTTGGTAGTAGCAAAATCTTATTTTCCCTACAAACAAAAAATGCAATCAAATGGATTGCCTGAGAAAAATGGAACTCTATTAAGTAACGTCAAGTATAATATCGAAAGTTTGAGGAATGACTCAACTAAATTCTTGTACCAGATGAGACTAGCCACGAAATTAAACAGAATAGGACAAGGATCTCCAAATGATATGTACGAAGGTCTGAAAACGTGCATACATGAAGCCACAAATGAGGCTCTTGGAGAGAAAATAGTCTCCACGAGATACAGAAAAGATACACCTTGGTGGAGTGAAGAACTAGGAAAGATTGTAGATGAAAAGAAGGCTGCTTATGGGAAATGGTTAAGTACACAGAGCACTCAAGACAGACTAATTTATAATGACAAGAAGAGAAGTGTACAGAAGGAAATAATAAAAGCAAAGAATGAGTACTGGGAAGAAAGATGCCAAGAAGTCAACTTAGAAGCTGGAAACACAAAAGCAAATAAAGCATGGAAAATTATCAACGGAATGCGAAGGCAACATAAAGATACTGCAGGGATGAATATTATTCCGATCGAGGATTGGAAGACTTATTATCAAAATCTGTTGACGGAAAATAGAACCGAATTCATACAAGATCATGAAAGTCATCCTGTTAATCCAACCAAACCTGAGCATCCAACACTAATAAGCTCTGCAGATGTAAATAAAGCCCTCCAACAAATGAAAAATGGCAAAGCCCCAGGTTTGGGAAATGTTTCAGTAGAACTTTTAAAGGCTGCCCCCTCAGCAGTTTTGGAAATTCTGGCAGATATTTTTAGTAGATGTTTAAATGGAGAAGACCCGCCCAAAGAATGGAAAAAAACGATTATTACGTCCATATTTAAGAAAGGGAGCCGACACGACTGTGGAAATTATAGAGGAATTAGTGTCATTTGTACTGTTGCTCGACTCTATGGCAAAGTACTAAAACATAAGATAGAAGCACAAATAACGGAATCGGAAGAGCAAAATGGTTTTAGACCGGGACGCTCATGTACTGATGGCATTTTCACTCTTAAGCATCTAATCGAAAAAGGGCTAGAAAGGGGAAGGACGGTCCACTTGACATTTATTGATCTACAGAAGGCATACGATACAGTCCCACTGAGTAAGTTGTGGATGTCAATGCAAAATTTTGGTATCAGTAGTTGGTATGTCCAAGCAACAAGAAAATTATACGAGGGTTGCAGTAGCACAGTTAAACTTGGAAACAATATTTCCCAAGAATTTCTTGTGAATAAGGGCTTAAGACTATTTGGAGGAAGTACTGAAGTGTTGGAAAATGAAATGCCGTGGAATGGGAATCCCATCAGGAAAAGACACTTTATATACCTTACTCTTTGCCGACTGCAGTTATATGTTTAGAAAACTGCATGAGGAATATTCGAAATGGGGCCTAACAATAAACACAAAGAAGACGGAGTACATGGTAGTGGGTGATGACGAACGTGAGGATTTGGATGTAGGAATCGGCACAATTAAAAATGTCTGTACATTTAAATACTTGGGCGTCACTTTTACAACAAATGGAAAAAGCACTCAAGATATTGCAAATAAAGTTGGTCAAGGAAAAAGAGTTATCGGTCAACTTAACTCGTTGTTGTGGAGTGACAAGATTTCCCAAAAAACAAAAATTCTACTTTATAAAGCCATTGTAGAGAGCATTACCACTTATGGCGCTGAAACGTGGGAGCTAAACAAAGAGAAAAATAAGTTGCTGTCTCTTGAAATGGATTTTTGGCGAAGAAGTCGCATTTCAAGACTGGAACACATCTGAAATCAAAGAACACGAGAAATTATAGGAGAAAAAGAAACTATCCTCGACGCCATTGACGGCAAAATACTAAGTTGGCACGGACACCTCCAACGAATGGATGATAACCGATGGCCGAAAAGAATTCATTCATGGACACCAAGTGAAAGGCGAAAACGTGGAAGACCACCTCGAAGATGGAAGCAAGGCGTAGTTGACGCTATGAATTCTAGGGGCCTCCAGGAAGAAGACTGGACAGACAGAAATCTGTGGAAGTTGAGAAGCGGGAGACGACGAATGTCGTAAAAATCCGCAATATATATATGATATTTACAAAAAATGCATATACTGTGTTTCTCCTTGGGCCAACCGAAGTGACCGATAAACGTTTATTGTTCATTGAATTTCTGCTGTAATTTTTAATGCATTTAAAACATGAAAAATATCTCACGACCAAAGTATACTTGTATCTAAATGGTGTAGAAACAATCAAAACAAAGAATTTGAAAGCCTCTGGAAATATATTTCCAAGACTACTCTCCATAAATTATTTTATAATCGCAATTATTATACGTATTATTAATGAATAAATAATTAATAATTATATTATTAATTATTTATTCATTAATAATACTCATTATAATTTACTGCAGAATTTTGTGGGCACCACAGCTTTTGATGTGAATGCTCCATTTGACTGATTCTACCAGCCCCATTTCTTACACGTAAAGGGTTTAATTTCAGCTTTCAATTCAATCAACAATTCGATTTAATTAATTTCGATGTGTTTGGTTTCATTTAACGATGCTATTCTGCGGAAACTGTAATACTTAATAATATTTGACATTAGTTTTCAAGTTAGCATTTATAGATGTGTAAAATGAGATTATATCAAGTCTGGAAATTACAAAATTTTCGTTTTAACATTTCAAAATCAAAACTTTATAATTGGGACTCGGAATGGTATGAGGTACATTGTGTGTATCTCGATTTTTTCTTAGAATTGAAGGAAGAACCGAAATATGCAATAATATACAGGGGGTTCCATTTAAAAAAATGAAACTGATGTGCCACGAATTTATGATCGACCCTGTATTTTTAAATTTATTACCCGCTAATAGATATTTAAAAATCCTATAACTCTTATATTTAACTTTTTGCGGTACCTGTATAAAACTTCAGCAGTCGCACTTAATTTATGTTGACGTTAGATCAACATATTTTTATTCATTCAAATATTGACTTAGACCTGAACCTAAGACCTGGACTATTCTAAAATGATAACTGATCTTCTTTTTATAGATTTGATGTCGAATCAAAACATGGAGCATTCTATACAGGAGGGAGCATTCAGTGGCTTGAGGACACTTTATATTGTCAAACAGAATCTGTTATCAATTTATTTGATATCGAGACAGGAACTGTTGTTAGAACAATTGGTACAGTTGGAGAATTAGAAGAAATAGATACCATTCAAACCTTTACTACAGATGGAGATAAAATTGTTTCTTCACATAAAAGTGGATTGATGAAAGTAAGTATATTAGTTAGTGTTGTTTCAGGTTCTTTTTATAAGGACGTAGATACATATACATATGTAAGATAGGTTAGGTTGCTGGGGTTTGGGATCATGTTTGATCCCTCAATCGGAGGCCTTGGGCCCATTGCGATACCCCTCTATTGTACCAAACCTTCCTCTCATTCTTTCTTTGCGTTAAAGCACTTCCAGCTCGATGATGTTAGTTTCAAGTGACGACATCTACAATTATGCGTACTAGGTTCTTTTTATGTTCTAGTAGTTGTTTTGTCTTTTTGCTATCTACCACTGACCATAGTTTTCGAGCTGTAGCGCAGTCCTCGCGGTGTTGCCACGTCTCTTACTGCTTGGCCTTGATGACAGTTCCTATAGTTGCTGTCCTACATTCGCGAACTTCAAGTTCCAGTGCTTTATGCCCTGGGCTACTCGAGAACGGTTCTGAAAGGAGCTGTGCGCAATAGCTGGTGCCTTCATATGGCGCGGAACAGTTCTGAACTTTATGACTCGATTGAATGGAGTGTGAGTATTGCTTTCTTGAACAGTTCAGAGCTGCACAACTGCGTGAATGGAGGACAGCAAGTGTGTTGGTCAGTTAGCTTCAGTGTGTTGATCGTCACAAGTGGTGGGTCATCTGCCACATTTCTCCCCTGGCCCCCTATTTGGCGAGTCTGTCCTACATTGCTGTGGCCTGGCACCCAGCACAGAGTAGCCTTGACGCAGCCAGGACAGTGCTTCTCGGCATTCCATCACAGTGCATGGTGATGGTTCTTAAAGCGCCCAAGCTGTCAGAGTATCTCACGATATCCCCTATTGATCTATCAGCAATTTTCTCGCGTATACAACTAGCCGCTTCCTTTATGGCGTAAACATCTGCTTGTAGAACATTACAGCTATCCGATAGCCTTAAAGATCATCGGATGTCTAGTTCCTCTGAAAAGATTCCTTTACCTGTGCCTCCTGAAGTTGCGGAAGCATCTGTATAGACTGCTATCTTTTGAGTGTTCATTACTCGGTTGCTTTCCCATTTTCTTCCATTTTTACTTCCGTTCTTCCCATTCTATATGTAAGATAAGTAAGGATAGGTTTAACCGTGGCGTGGTTTGTTTGCTACAGTTAAAATAGTTTCAGTTCAAAATCAAATCTTGAAATTTTGTATTGTATGCAAACTATGTCTAAAATTAATTTACCCCAAAATATGTATAAAAATATATTTAGAAACCATGCAGTGTTTCCATTAGTTGCTTAATGAATAATAAGTAGTCCGGACATCAATGTTATAGAAACTGTTTGGCATAAAATGAAGCAATATTTAAGAAACCACCCTCAACGAACAATTTTTGATTTGCGGACAAAACTGCAGGAAATTTGGGATAATTTTTCTCCTCAAATGTACCAATCTTTGGTAAATACAATGCCATTAAGAGTTCAGGCAGTCGTTAAGGCGAAAGGTGATGTAACTCCGTATTAAACAAAATTTCTTGTTGTGCTGTCCCAATATATAGTTGTCAACAAATTTGGCTTGATTTTGGCAAAATAAGCTATTATCAAAAGTGATTTGTTTGCAAAGTTATAAAAATATAGTAAAATTGTCTAGATCATATTGTAATGTTTGAATTTAGAATAATAAACAAAATAAATTGAGTCGTTTTAACAAATTACTACTTTTATTGCAAAAAAAGTCCTTGTCCCAACATATAGTTGTTAGGGCTCGTATATTTCTATAGTTTCAGATATACTAATAAATAAATAAAAAATATATTTTTTTAGCCTTTCTTAAAAAATTATTAAAAATACTAGAACTGTCCTAAATTTAAAACTATATTAGGTATTTACTTTAGATGGTCTGTACTTACTTTGCTATAAATATCGTAATCTTAATTCATACAGGGTGTTTAAAATTCTACGCCAAACTTTCTAAAATATAAAATAATTTTTCTTCGTTTTCTTTTTTTTAAATGGATCACCGTGTATATTATTTTTTAATAGATGGTGAATTAAAACATTAACATTTTTTATATTTAGAATATTTCTAAATTCTTAACAGTTTCGCAGATATTCGCGGCTTTATATTTCATATGGCATTTTCCACACTAAAATTTTATCAAAGCCACCTAATGATTTTTCTGTCGCATTTTGCCGTTGAATGCCATATGAAATAATACCGCAAGTATCTGCAAAACCGTTAAAAATACTGCAATACAAAAAATGTCCATTTTTTAATTTTCCATCTAAAAAAGAATTAATATACAGGGTGTTCCATTTAAAAAAAGCATCCCAATCTACTCACACTTTTTTGAGCCACCCTGTAGAAGTTACAATATTTTCCTGAAATATATTCTAGTATATACTTTAGGTGTGGACTTAAACAAAACTCACAAGTTTTTTATTCTAGGAGCTACAGATCCCCGACGCACTATTGCCGGACCCTGTATATCCTAAAATTATCCAAGTCTTTACATATTAGTTTTTCATGCATATTTTAGGGCTCAAACACACCCACCACCTGCACCGGTCGCAGCGACCAGCATTTGATTCAATGTTATTACTGGTCGCAGCTGCGTTTCCTCATAACATTTAATCAAATGCTGGTCGCTGCGACCTGGTCGTCAGTGCGTTTGAGCTCTAAACTTAATCGAATAATATTAACAATGGGAATATAATATTTCCAACGTTATACAAACAAGAGTAACAACAAATAATAAAACTCATACTCAGCCAATTAATATAAGTATAATTACTGAATTCTATACTTTTGTACAGGTTAAGACCAATATAGGAAATAGGTTTCTAAGTTTTAATATAATGCATTTTAATGTATGGAATATATGGAGAGAATTATACCATTAATTAATTGCAAACCCACTCACACAAGAAACATTTGCGTAAACATAGCTAAATTACGATTAACTCGTAAAAGTTTAAACATTATCTATTGCAAATTGAAATAAAATATTTTTCTTAAATATTCTTCTTTCAGTTATGGAATCAGAATGGCGAATTGGAAAAAATGTGGAAATACATCCATAAAGGTCCTTTGGCAAAACTAGCATTAAAAGATACAAGACTAGTATCAGGCGGATCGGATAGTATAGTTAGAGTATGGGATTTACAATATCAAGCTTGTATATTAAGTTTAAAAGGTTGAGTTATTAGTTACAATGAATAATTATAACTTTAGCTCATATAAAACATTTTTTAGGCTGTCAAGGTGTTGTTAATGTTGTTGAGTTTAGTCCTAAGGAAAATACATTATTTGCTTCAGGAGATAGTGGGAAAATATATTGTTATGAACTGGGTAAGTTTCTATCTATGTTTTCGTCATTCAATTTTAGGTGTTTCAATAAAAGAATACAACATTAATACAGTTTAGGTTTGGAACCTTTGGTGTTACAATAGAAAAATAAAACACTCATTCACAACAATACACCAAAACACTGAACTACAGTTTACTCTCAGTTTCATCATTTGCTAAATGATGCTAACATGATTAGCAAAACGCGCATAAAGTGTTTTGGTGTATTGTGGTGAATTAATGTTTTTCTCTGTATACCTTATAAAATTAATTTTAAATTGTAGCTCTAGTAGTTCTTCAGCTAACCCCAATACTGACAATTTATAAAAATCTAATCATTTAACTATTATACAATGCTCTGTGTCGAATATCGTGATAAGCCTATACAGGGTGTCCCAATATTCCGTAGACATAGAACTACTACGTATTTTTGGAGTCAAAATAGGTTCATTGGACATAACTTACCTCTATACAAAAGTGCTTCATTTGTCCGTTGAGGGCATCAAACTTGAAAAAAATAAACACATTTTTTCAGATATTTTAAGAACCGTTATTCCGATATGAATGAGAATTTGGGTGTTTATGTTTTGCTAAGTGCTTTAACATTTGACTTTCAGAAAAAATATGAAAAAAGTACGGGAAGGATGAAAACTACCCCCACCTCTACATAAATTTTAGTATAAATATTTTCCAACTCCACCGACGACAGATTTTCTTTTCATAAAATGGTCCCTCTTGTATTTACTACATTTTTCGTCTCTTCTAAAAAACGCTACATCGCGTAGTTTTTGAGAAAAACTTTGGGAGAATTTATTTTTCCAAAGCAGGTCTACAAAATATATAGAGAGTTCCAATATTCTGTATACATAGAACAATTACATATTTTTTGAATCAAAAGAAGTTAATTGCACATCATTTACTTTTATACAAAACTGCTTATATCTAAAAAACTACTGTATATCCGTTAGAGGGCATCAATCAAAAATAAACCCCAACGTTAATTAAATTAAAATTTCTTAATATTTTAAAGCTTTTTATGAAGTTTATTGTAAAATATAATTTGTGATACTAACATAAAATTCCATTTTTTCGCAAACTAGATTATTAGAGCATAATATATTTTATACGCCTCCATAGCTTGATGTGACAAAAAAAATTGGAAGTCAGCTTCGGAAAAATATTGTTACGGATTCCGTGGGTCCACTAATTTAAACTCACGATAACATACTTAACTAATTTATTTTTCTCGCAATTTACACACAATTAACTACTTATAAAATTCCTTCGCCAATTAATTCACAATTTAAAACGCGGTATTATCAAACTTCAAACTGGTCCAACTGCCAAGCGCGGGCCTTTATATACCCTCTGGCGAGTGTTTCTGGAACGTTCTAAAGAATTCTGTAATATTCTTTTACTTTCTGGCGAATTCGCCAGGTTTTTCAATGCACGTTGCGGTTATGTAGGCAACCAGCAATAGAGTTTAGCGCCACATACACCTTGATAATATTTTTAGCCGACCATACCAACAGGTATGGTAGGCTATTAAGATCGGCAAAAAAAAATTTTTAATTTCACTCAAAATGAGTTATTATTATACAAAATATTTTCATGATGTCTATCTGTCTGTATGTCCGTCTGTCTGTAACACGGTAACTCAGAAACCGCTAAACCGATTTTAACCAAATTTGGCACAAAAATACTGTGGCACATTACAGCCAGAGTATCTGGCCATTAGTTTTTGGTGGGGGTGGGGGTTGGTAAGGGTACGAGAGGGGGTTAAAAATTTTAAAAAAATCGTAACTCCAAAATTACAGTAACTAGCGAAACGCGGTTTTCAATTTAAGATTAGGAATAATATTTGCAACAAAATTTGTAATAACATCAAAATCAGTCAAAGTCGCAGTTTTTGAGATAAAAAAAATTGGAAAAATTCCTTTACTTTGAAACTAAAAGAACTGCCTACCAACTTTTTATTAACATATTTTAGTATGGGCGGCTATATGTGCCTCCCGGCGCCGATTTTTTTTGTCCTCAACAAAAAATGTAGTAAATACGAGAAGGACCATTTATAAAGATAAATCGGTCGTCGGTTGAGTTGGAAAATATTTATACTAAATATAAGTTGGGGGTAGTTCTCACCCTTCCCGTACTTTTTGTTGATTTTTGTGAAAGTCAAGTGTAAAAGCACTTAACAAAACATAGACACCCAAATTCTCATTCAAATCGGAATAATGGTTCTTAAAATATTTGAAAAAATGTGTTTATTTATTTAAAGTTTGGTGCCCCCTAACGGACAAACGAAGTACTTTAGTATATAGGTAAATTGTATCCAATGAACAACGTTATTTACCAAAACACCAAATCAAAATACTCAACTGATCGTAAACCATCAGATAATAGAGCGAGTCTATAAATATAAATATCTAGGAACCCTGATCAACGACAACAATGATTACTCATCAGAATTAAAAACGAGAATTGAAATAGCAAGTAACACCTTTATTAAAATGAAGCAATTCTTTTGTTGCAAAACTTTAAGTAACCACCTTAAAATACGAATGCTAAGATGCTACATATTTACAATAATGCTCTATGGTATAGAAGCTGCCACTCTAACAAAACAAATGCTTAAAAAGATAGATGCCTTCGAGATGTGGCTTTACAGAAGGGTACTCCAGATATCATATGTTGACAGAATTACCAATGAAGAAGTCTTACGAAGAGTCTCAAAAGATCTAGAATTGTCCCAAGAGGTGAAAATCAGAAAACTCCAATATATGGGCCACGTAATGAGAGGTACAAGATACAAGCTTCTACAACTAATTATCCAGGGTAAAATAATAGGGAAGAGAAGCATAGGAAGAAGATGGATGTCGTGGCTTCGAAATCTCAGAGAATGGTTCAACTGTACATCAAACGACCTGTTCAGGGCAGCAGTCAACAAAATAAAATTAGTCATGATGGTCACCAACCTTCGCAAGAAGTCGGCACCTTAAGAAGAAGATCCAGTGAACTTATTTTGACTCTAAAAATAAATCCCACGGAATATTGGGACACCCTGTATAATAATAGTTTTTGTTATGTTGTAAATCATTAATCCTTGCTAAGATAATTTATATTTAAGTTTGCATTATGAAAAATAGTCTGACATATTGACGCACTCAAGAATAATAAATTACTTGTTATTTTTTAGTTAAAGGTGAAGTTAAAAACATATATGACGGACACTACAGTAAAGTAACTGCTATTGCTTTTACACACGATAACCAGCACTTTGTTTCTTGTGGGAGAGATAAAGTTTTAATTTTGTGGCAACTCGGTAAAACAGTAGCTTTAAAAACAATACCAGTGTACGAGGCTGTGGAAGTTGTAGTTAGTTTACCATCGAAATTTAAACTACCTGGATTTAAAGCCGATGCAGACAGTATTTACGTCGCTTCTGGAGGTGAAAATGGTAAGATAATTTGAAATAGGTTATACAGGGTGCTAGAAATTCGAGGCACGAGCATTGGTATCTCGGTGACCATAATAGATACGAACATGGTTAAATTGGGGCAAGTTGCCGCCTTGGGATGTTCACCAAGATACCATCAAAAAAGTTTTAAAAATTTCAAGGGTTGTCGAGTTATTTGGAAAAAACGGATTTTTGTGAAAATCAGTTTTATTTTTTCCTGTGGAATCAAAATACCAATTGCACTTTCTCATAGTCACTTTATCAGGATAATCCAATAGTTTTTTTTAGATTTTCAAATTAGCTGATAATTTGTGAGATACATACAGTACATCTGCTGGATCTGTGTCTATGAAAGGAATGCGGACAAAAAACATTTAAATAAACAGTAATATATTTTATACGTCGATTTGACGAGTGCGTCATCGCAAATCGCTCCGCTTACTCATTTTATTGGCTACTTGCAAATTTGTTGAATTTTTATTGATGGGACGCGTCGTCTATTTTTTTACGAAAAACATCGAGAGAATATCGTTTCCCCTCTCACAGATATCCCGTAGCTACAGAACGAACAGACGTACTGTAGACCAACTTGATTTTTTTAAATACGGACCTGCATTTTTTATTTCAGATTTTGAAAGTAGCCCTGATAAAGTGGCTATGAGAATGTGCAGTAAGTTTTTTGATTTTCTAAAAAGTAACGACAGGAAAAAATAAAATTGATTTTCAAAAAAATCCGTTTTTCTCAAAAAACTCAGCAATCCTTGAAATTGTTTAATTTTTTTGATAGCATGTTGGCGAACATCTCCTCGTACCTCGAATTTGTAGCACTCTGTATACGGGTGATTCACGGACATGGCACGGTAGATGTTCATGGAGAACTGGTGATTTTTTTTTAATTTGGATTTTTGCATAAAGGACGCTTGCTCCATCTGTCTAAATTATTTTCGGCATTACAGTGTTGCCGCTTCATACTAAAAGTGCTAATATCTTTGTTATTTTAAATGAAACACCTCACCTGGTATATTATTACATTTTTCGAAACTACTTTTATATCTGCTAATTTTTCTATTATACTAACCTATATCAATCTCTAATAGTTTTTGAGATAAAGAATAAAACATGTGTAAAATTGCCAAAAACGTGATCTTGAGTCTTGATCTTGAGTAAGCTTTTGTTAAATCATGAATTCGCCATATTGAAGTTAAAATTTTGTTTATAGGTTACGGAAAGTCGACATATTCGATCTGTTTAAATCTAGGGTTTAAATCAACTGATTGAATATCAAACAGGGAGGTCAGAAAAAATAATTATTTCCGTTTGTTATAATATTTTTCAAATTATTGTTATTTTAAATTCAAGCGTATGTATATTATTTAAAAAATCGACACCCAAATAAAATTGCTTTTCAACGATATATCATGTTGGTTAACCTGGTTTTTTCAGTAAAGCCATTTAAAAAGTTGTTTCGTTTAAAGAAAATCGTTACCATAACAAATATTCAAACTTTATAATATATGTTACGGCTAAAATGGATACTTGGCTAGTTTTAAAACTAGCCAGGTAAGGTATTTTGCAAACTAACTAAAAGCGTTGTGATTTTGAAGGAATCCGCCTATTCTTGCAAAATAGCAGACAACCGCAGCTAGTTTATATTTTAACTGGTTAGTATAGTAAACTATTTACAAAATCTGGTTAGGATGAGGATTTTACCTCAGTTTACTCAAATAGCTGCTAGTTTACATAACCAGATAGTTTACAAAATTTATTTTAATTGTTTTTGTTTGTTAATGTACAGTGTTAGGATGGATAGGAAAATATGATAAAATAATAAATTTAATTTTCTTTTAAAAAATTTATTTATAAAAAATAAATTTTTTAAACAAATTTTAAACATAAACTCTTATATAGTACATAACGAAATATTTAGCGGAAAGCCGTATAGTACATTACTACTGAAAAGGTAGATTCAAACAGTCAAAGAAATAAAATAAGATAAAATGAGAATAGTAGAAAATAATATAGATAATTTGGTTATATCGAACATGGTAGTTGCATTTATACAGACGAAATAAAATAAGTGAGAGGGTATAATAATAAGAGTTTTTAACCTATAAATACTTTCAGGATTTGGATTTATTTTATTGCATAATTTCAGTATGAATAGACAAGTACATTGCCGTTGAATAAATAAGTACATTGCAAATACTAAGATTATTATAAACAACTATTAAACTGAAAACTAAATTTTTATCCAATATTAACGTATTGCTCATTTGCAAATGTATATTTATTATTTTATTTGGCTGTTTGAATGCTCCCATATTAGAATAAATCATTTTTTTTATTTTATTTTGCTCCTTTTTTTTATTTTAAGTGACAAAATCACATAAATACGGGTACAAACACAGAAACACAAGTAAGCTCTTCAACATGAAGCATATATAGGCATAATCTCACTCTTAAATTGCAAGGATTTTAGTTCGTAAACTAGCCAAGAATCTTGTTATTTTGGGTGACTGGAGACAAAAATAGAAAATTATGACATTATCCAATACGAATATATAGTTTGCAAACTAACCAGCTAGTTTGTAAACCAGCCGTTGGTCGCCTGCTATTTTGCAAGAATGGGCAGATTCCTTCAAAATAACAGCGCTTTTAGTTAATTTGCAAAATAGCTGGCTAGTTTTAAAACTAGCCAAGTATCCATTTTAGCCGTAACCTATATATTTACATGCTAAATTTTTAAATATGTCATGATAACGAAATTTTTGAAATGAGACTATAATGATAAAACTATTAATTTATAATAGCTCTACTTGAGAAACCGGAAGGTTTAGGTATAGGAACATGATATATCCTTGAAAAGCTATTTTATTAGTCTTGATTTTTAAATAATATGCATAGGGTTGAATTTAAAATAACAAAGATTTCAGTAATTTTATAACAAACGGAAATAAATAATTATTTGGCTTTCCCTGTGTATTATGCAATGAGTTTATTTAGACAGATCGACTATACAGGGTGCTACAAATTCGAGGTACGAGCATTGGTATCTCGGAAACCGTAAGAGATACGAAGATGGTTAAATTGGGGAAAAGTTGCGCTTTAGGATGTTCACCAAGATACCATCAAAAAAGTTTTAAAAATTTCAAGGATTGCTGAGTTTTTTGGAAAAAACGGATTTTTTTGAAAATCAATTTTATTTTTTTTTGCGTTACTTTTTAGAAAATCAAAAAACTAATTGCACATTATCATGGCTACTTTATTAGGGCTATCTGATAGTATTTTTAGATTTTCAAATTAGCTGATAATTTGTGAGATACAGAGGACAATTTAATTTTTTTAAATACGGACCTGCATTTTTTATTTCAGATTTTGAAAGAACTCGGTCTCCTGAGTACAATGATATGCCACACATTTTTTTTTGTTTCGGACATTTGAACACAATTTAATTAAACTAATGTTAAGTCCGGCTCTGTTTTTTAAAATATTTAATCTATTCATCGTTACAATATTGGTAAGCTTTCAAACTTAACAATGACGTGGAGTAAAACATTGAATACGGATAATCAAATGCAATTAAATAATAAAAAATAATATAAAATTATTGGGCATTACTTGACGTCATTTTTAAAAGGTATAAGAAGATATTATGTTCAAAGAGCTATAAATAAGATTGAACGAAAAATACATTAATTTGTGCATTAGGGACGGTGGTAACCCTTTCGAACATGTAGAGAGCACTACTAGTTTTAGAAAAACTAGTTTGTAGAAGTTGATTTATTTTTAATAACTACAATTAATATTATGCATATTATTAGATCGTACACTGAGATTTCAAAATCAGAATAAAAAAAGTTATAAATAATATTTTTAAATTGCTGACCTGGGTAGTACTTGTTTGAATCTTTCAATTGGCACGATTCAATGTTAATTAGCGCTGATCCATATTGTTGCGATGAATATAATCAGATTAAATATTTTAAAAAGCCAGAGTGGGACTTGAAATTATTTTGAATAATAATTAAATAGTTTTGTTATTGTTAAGGTACCTAAAACAAAAAAATATAAAGTGTGGCATATCATTGTACTCTGGAGATCGAGTTCTTTCAAAACTTCAAGTTGGCCTCTGTATCTCACAAATTATCAGCTAATTTGAAGATCTAAAAATACCTATCAGATAGTCCTAATAAAGTAGCCATCAGAATGTGTAATTAATTTTTTAATTTTCTAAAAAGTAACGCCAGGAAAAAATAAAATTGATTTTCATAAAAATCCGTTTTTTCCAAAAAACTCAGCAATCCTTGAAATTTTTAAAACTTTTTTAATGGCATCTTGGTGAACATCCTAATGCGCAACTTTGCCCCAATTTAACTATCTTCGTATCTATTACGGTTTCCGAGATACCAATGCTCGTACCTCGAATTTGTAGCACCCTGTATAGACTTTTGTTAACTTATAACCCAAATTTCACCTTTTAAAATTTTTAATTAATTTTTTTTACCAATGCTTATTCAAGATAATGTTTTTGTCAATTTTACATAATATGTTTTATTTATTATCTCAAAAAATGTTAGAGATATAGGTTAGTATAATAGAAAAATTATGAGATATGAAAGTCGTTTCCAAAACTGTAATAATATACCGGGTGTTCCATTTAAAATAAGAAAGATGCTACGACTTTTCATATGACGTGGCAACATTGTAACTCTCGCGGCAACATTGAAAATAGTTTAGATAGATGGAACTATGCCTTTATGTAAAAACATATATTTATAAAGTAACAATATTGACTCCAAACTGCATTTACTGTCCTCCATTCACGCAGTTGTGCAGCTCTGAACTGTTCAAGAACGCGATACTCTCACTCCATTCAATTGAGTCATAAAGTTCAGAAGTGTTCCGCGCGATATGGAGGCACCAGGCTAACGCACACAGCTCCTTTCAGAACCGTTCTGAGTAGCCCAGGGCGTAAAGCTCTGAAACTTGAAATTCGCGAATGGAGGACAGCAATTCTGTGAAGCCAAGCCGATGAAATGGGTATATAAATCTTCAGAAGGAATTTGCATAAGTCGCTCAATTAGCTATGCTCAAGCCTAGTGCGCAAGCCTGGATTTTAAATTATCGATCGGATAACTAGACCAATAAGAGACTAGACGCTAGCACCAGCTGTTCATTCGTACGGTTCCGTCCAACATCGTACGGCCTTCGTTTGCGCTCCCGTTCGACAATTGGCTAATCCTCAGAGTAAGGGCTAATCGATATTCGGAGTTTTGGAGTTGCGCTGTTCCGACAATGTCTGCCTAACAGACGAACTTACGTGAAATATACATGGACCGGTTATCTAGTGGTCTCTAACTCGGCTTCAATTCCAACACATTGCAGGAATAGGCGATAATCTGTATAATGTGTAAAAATCCCAATTTTCAAAAAAAATTCTACCACTGGTTCTCCATAAACGTCTAACTTGCCATCGCCGTGATCACCCTCTATGTTTGTAATTACGAATTCCTCATTTGTTAAAAAAATAACTTTTATATTATAAATTCATATTTTAGGCGTGATAAAAGTTTGGGACTTACTAAAAGCTAAAGAAGTCTTTGTACAGTCAGATTCTATGGTATCAAAAGCAACAGAAGAGGGTGGGTTATCCATAACCCATTTGATGTATAATAAAAAATCTAAGAGTATAGCAGTTGTAACATTTGATCATAATATTATCATACATAATTTAAAATCATTTGTTTGTTTAAAACAGTTTATAGGTATGTATTTTATAATTGATTATTAGATAGATAATATTTTTAAACATATTTGTTTGCAGGTTTTTCAGATGAAATTTTAGATATTTCATATTTGGGCGAAAACGATACACATATTGCAGTTGCGACAAATTCAAAAGACATAAAACTATATGATAATTCTACAATGAGTTGTCAAATATTAAAAGGACATGAAGATATTGTGTTGTCATTGACTACTTGTAGGAGTAATCATAGTTTATTATTATCATCCTCTAAGGATAACAGTATTAGATTATGGCAATTTGATGGAGCCACTGCAAAGTAAGATCTGTAATTCTATATCAGAAAAGTAAAATAAGATAAATAATAAAATGACTAATTTAGTTGTTGATATAAAGTGCCACATTTTTTATATTTTTTCCCCTATTTTCATGATTTTTAGCAAACTGTATACAGGGTTGTTTGCCACTTACGACACGGAGTATTGTAGCTAAACGATTTAATTTTTGCAAATTGTAAGTTTTGGGTGCGTTGAAGGTCTATTAGAGCTACAATTTAAAAATATTTTTATAAGATACAAGGTATCCCAAATAAAAAATATATCGAAGTTGTATTTTTTTAAATGGAACACCCTGTATATTATTACATTTTCAGTTTCTACCATTAAAATAAAGGCAAATTTGATTAAGCTTTACCGCATTTTAATCTTACTGTTTTTGAAATATTTAGGTTTTTGTGAAAATAGAGTAACAATTTTAATGCTTTATTTCTTTAGGCATATATAAGTTTTTAAAACAAAATATTGTACTGAAGTATTTCTATTTACTAAATTTTGTGTTGTTGTAATAAAAATTATACTACCTTATACACAGTGTCTAAAAATTTATTTTAATTAATTACTAGCTTTACACGGCAATAACTTGTTTAATTTAAATGGAACAACCTGTATATTTTAGGAGAATCAGGTTATCACAATTTAATTGTCTATCAAATTGTATTATATCATTTTTTACCTATCTCTTCAACTTTTCATAGAAAATGCATTTTCTTATAATTTAGACCTCATTTATCAATATACCCATGGAATATTTACATTTTAGATTGTTTTTAAAGATGTAACAAATTTTTAAAGAGTACAGATACTAATATTGTCGATATAGTTCGTTTATTTCATCAAAAAAATAAAAAACTGTTTAAATATTTATTAAAGAGGATCAATTAATATGATTCCAGTATTCAAACTACATCAATTGACTGTTTGCGTTGATTAATAATAATTGCTCCAAATACTAAAAAACTGAATTTTGTATGTGTATTAGACTAAAAGTGGTAAAAAGTAACACTTTAAAATATAACACATTATAATAACTCATAACTTATTATTATATTGATTTCTGATTCAAATTCACATTTATTTAGAACAATTTATTAACTAACATAATTAAGTATGTAATTAATATTTGGGCGGAAATAATGGTGGTATATTTAATTAACGGTATACTCTTTTCTAAAGATTTGGTTTGTATTTTTTTGTATAGAAATGGGCTAGTAATATTATCGTTTTTAGCACCTGTACATTTTGTACATTTGTTGCATTGAAAACAATCTAAAATGTCAATATTTCATGGGTATATTGATAAATCAGGTCTAAACGAAAACTTGAAGGGATAGGCAAAAAATAGTATAATACAATTTGATAGACAATTAAGTTGTGCATCTGATTCTCCTAAAATATACAGGGTGTTCCATTTAAATTAAACAAGTTATTGGCGTTTAAATCTAGAAATTATTTAAAATAGATTTTTCGACACTCTGTATGAGGTAGTATTATTTTTATTATTGCAACACAATAACTGATCAATAAATAAACTTCAATAAATATTTAGTGTTAAAAACTTTGATACCCTTGGAGAAATAAAGCCTTAAAATTTTTACTGCAATTTCACAAAATTGAAAATATTTCAAAAACGGTAAGGTTTAAGTGTGATAAACCTTAATCAAATTTACCTTTATTTTAATCGTAGAAACTAAAAATGTAATAATATACAGGGTGTTCTGTTTAAAAAAATACAACTTTGAAATTTTTTATTTATTTGGGACACTTTATATCTTATAAATATATTTTTAAATTGTAGCTCTAATAGTCCTTCAACGAACCTGACACTTACAATTTGTAAAAATCTAATCATTTATCTACAATACTCCGTGTCGTATATGGTGAACAACCCTGTATAAATATATCTACTTTAACTCAGTTTTTTTATAAACTTTTGTAGTTATAACCACTTAATCCGACGCCAGATTCCATGCACTTGGGAAAATGTTTGCCCTTCTTTCTTTTTTCAGTACATCATATTTTACTGAGCGCGTATTGGCCGTACTCTTCGCACACACGAAAATCGGCACCCAAGGCTAGAATGCCGACCCTAGTATTTATATACAGTTTGCTAGAAAGTTCATAAAAATAGGACTAAAAGTAAAAAAAATATAATACTTTAAATTTGCCAAAAAAAATTCCGTTGCGTTTTTTTGGCATCTGGAGTATATTTGTGCGACCTTCTGATTTATTCCCTCCAAAAAATCCTCTATGGGTATTTCGCCACTGCAAGAAAATCTACAAAATAAAATAGTTATTTTTTGTAAACACTTCTGCGTTAGTCCCAAACGGAAACTACTTGTCAGAAGTTAGGTTTACAGTTATACAAATTTGCCTAACGAACAAAAAAATGCTTAACGTTTCGGAAAGTTTATCTCTTTTCGTCGTCGCGCGTCGGAAGCAAAAAAATACAAAGAATAAAGAAAAAAAACTATTTAAAATATTTAAATTCGACTATTCGAGAACACTTTAGTTTTTTAAAATAGATACGTCTACAAAAACCGTTGACGTTCTGTTAAAATGACATTATATCAAGTTAAACTTCAAAATTAACAATTAATACCTGAAAACAATTACTTAATAAGGTAAAACCAAAAAGCCCCAAACTTTCTGTATGATTATTTTTAATTTTTACGTAAGTATGTTATGTTTATTTATGTTATGTTCTTTAAAATCAAAAAAGCGATTGCCATACATTACTAACATCTATAACAATACATTTATTCTTATTAGATTGTATTAATTTTATTTTTCTTTTAGATGCTATCGCTTCTTTCATTATAATTTTGGCATTATTAAAATTTATTCTGTGCCCTGTGTCCCATAAATGCTGACAAATCTTAGATTTGTGAAAATCTCCCTTTCTTAAATAATCCTTCTGTTTTTATGTTTTTTTCTGATTTATTTACATACCACTGACTTGAATATATATTTCTAGATGCGTAGGCGTTGGAAAAAGACATACCGGGTCTGTAGGATCAGTAACGTTTTCGAATCTCTCCTCAGAATTCTGCGTCTCAGCTAGTCAGGATACCTGTTTAAAACTATGGGAAATTCCACAAGATATAATTAACAAAAATGGGAAAGATCTATCCCTCAATTGTACCCACACAGCTATAGCACATCAAAAGGAAATTAATTCAGTAGCCGTCAGTCCAAACGATAAAATAATCGCCAGCGCATCTCAGGATAAAACTGTCAAATTGTGGAATGAAAGGCTGGAATTAATGGGAGTTCTAAAAGGCCATAAAAGGGGAGTGTGGTGTGTAAGGTAAGGCAAATTTAGACATTTTCCGCAATAGATTTTGATGATTATTTGAAAAACGTTTGTCGTTAACTTGAAATATATTACATTTTTACACACTTAATTTATTTAAATGTTATTATTATGTTGTTATTACGTTGTCAAGTACTTTGAGTGTTATAAAATATCGAGGGGTGCATTGCTGGTTGGAATTACATGTACAGGGTGTCCCACTAAGAATAGCTCTCGGCTGTATCTCGGAAAGTATTAGCCGTAGTGCCTGCGGAAAAAATATTTATAACTAAAGAGGCTATGAGAAATTGCTGGAAAGGATTTTCAAGTTTGTAGAACAACCGCTAGGGAGCGCAACTGCAACAAAAAATAAAAAAATGGAGTTTTTACACAATTTTGCCTAGATAAGGTGTACTATAACTAATAGCTTCATAATCTTCAGTAAATTTGGAATATTTTTTATTAGAACTATTTTCCCCTATCTACCAAAGTAAAGTGGCGGGGGGAGGTTAGATCTGTTTTTACATAAATATTAATAACTCCGGACCGGATGATCGGAATCCAACAAGCGAGGGCTCGGTTAAAAGAGCGTTTCTTACTTTATATTGCACCATATAAACAATAATAATAAGCTTTTGAACGTAGACGCTAGGGGGCGTTGTTTTACAATTTAACAAACACTGCGCTAGTATATGTAATTTTAGCTGATAGTAAAGCGTAATAAAAGCTTAACAAGTCAGCGAAAACCGCATCTTGATATATTTTTTTCAACTCAAAGTTATTAGCAAAATTATAATAAATAAGAAAATATAAGCCCTTAATTACCTTATTTTTCTAACACGGTAGTACTAGCCCTCTTGATTATGAACATTGTGACAAAAAATAAGACAGAAATGATTAGATTATTCTAAAATCGACAATATACCAGAATACCATAACATCAGATCTAATAATATCTAATAATTATTATTAAGATATCAATGACGGTTAATAAGAAACGACGCCTCAGTGAAGTCATGGTAGGCTTTGGAAAAAGGTTGCTTTTGACGTAATAGTATAAACGTCAAAGTGTTATTAGATCAACATTTTGATTGTCTTAGCAGCGTTTTTTCTCTGTTGAAGAAAGGCATTTTTAGAAAAGCAATTAAAAGATAAAAAAAGGCTGCTGAGGCTATCAAAATGTTGATATAATAATATTTGAATGTTTAAACTATCCGTTTAAAAGCAACTTTTTTCCAAAGCCTACCATGAATTCACTGAGGTGTCGTTTCCTGTTCATCGTCATTGGTATCTTAATTATTAAATATTAATACACCTAGTATTATGGTTTTCTGGTTCATTGTCGATATTTTGAATAAAATAATCATTTTTATATTATTTTTTATTAGAATGGTCATAATCAAGAGGGCTAGTGATACCTTTTTAGAAAAATAAGGTAATTAAGGGCTTATATTTTCGTATTTATTATAATTTTGCTAATAACTTTGGTTTGAAAAAGGATATCAAGATGGGGTTTTCGCTGACTTATTAAGCTTTTATTACTCTTTACTCTCGGCTAAAATTACTATAAATATACATCGCATTTAATTTTTTTGAAAAAACGCGCAATGTGTGTTAAATTGTAAGACAATGCCCCCTAGCGTCTATGTTAAAAAGCTTATTAATACTGTTTCTATGGTTAGGTTAGGTTAGGTGCAATGGTACAATATAGACTAAGAAACGCTCTTTTAAAGGAGCCCTCGCTTGTTGGACTCCGATCATCCAGTCTGAAGTTATTAATATTTAAATAAAAACAGATCTAACCTCCCCCCACCACTTTATTTTAGCAGATAGGGGAAAATGGTTCTAACAAAAAGATCCAAAATTTACTGAAGTTTATGAAGCTATTATTTATAGAACATCGTATCTAGGCAAAATTTCTTAAAAATTCCATTTTGTTATTTTCCATAGTAGTTACGCCCTCTAGTGGCCGTCCTACAAACTTGAAAATAATTTCCCGCAATTTCTCATGGTCTCATTAGTTATAAATATTTTTTTCCGCAAGCTCTACGACTAATGCTTTCCGAGATACAGCCGAGATCTATTCTTAGTGGGACACCCTGTACATTTTCGTGGCAGTCGTTGGCATCAGTCTTATGGCAGTCGACTGTAATTATATACTTGGCAGTAAAATGACATTTTGGCAGGACATTTTTTACCCAATTGAGACACCCCTCGAAAACTCCATTAAAAAAAGCTTTGATATACCTTGATATAACTTTTTCTGAGATAACTCTGTAGAGCTTCAAATATCAAAAATAAGCCACTGTCGTTACCCAACTGTTTTATGCGAATGCAGGAAGGAGCGTTGCATCCAGGAATTCACACACCGGGTGCGTCTCAAAAGTGGTTCACCCAGTTCAGATAGTTCAGATAAAAAAACGAAATTTGTTATTTTAGTATATGACATAAATTAGGACTGATTGACTTATTTAATTGTTTTTGGTCACTTCCTGTTTCACCGGAAATGATTACAACTTTTTATTTTTAAATGACATCCTCGGATATTTCTACTTTATTCGATAGAAAATTACACTCTGAATAGAATGACATATATGTCAACTTTTGACATTTTTGCTTAAAAATAAATCGAATTTTAAATTTCAATCTAGAGTGTTAAAAATACTAATTTTTAATCAAGAAGCCTTGGAAAAATATATTTGACCGTCTAATATTTTTTGTGTCTTGTCCTTGCCGGTTAAAAGATGCCCAAATCGTATTTTTAATCATATTTCAATTTTTTCAAATGAAACGAGGGTGGCTCATTAACATATTTGGAAAAAGCATTTTTTTACGAATAATTTGATACCACACACGAGTCAAATTGTCGTTATAAACCGCATGTTGCAATTTCAAATAAACCATATTCGAAAATGTCAAAAGTTGACATTGATATGTCATTCTATTCAGAATGTCATTTTCTATCGAATAAAGTAACAAAATATCGATGGTAGCATTTAAAAATCAAAAGTTGTATTTCTGGTGAAACAGGAAGTGATCGAAAACAACTGAATACGTCAATAAATCCTAACTTATGTCATATACTAACCTACCAAATCTCGTTCTGTAATCTGAAAAAATAAAAAAGTTATAGGGGTGAGCCACTTTTGAGATGCACCCGGTATATCATCCTGTACGTCAACAGCTGTAATTTCTTTATTTTAAAAAATAATTGTGTGTGCACTCTATGTACGCATATTTGAACTGAAACTTCTTACTAACAGCTATTAAATTGAAGGATTTGAAGGACATGTTTGAAAAAGTGTAGTTTGAAATGTTGATAAAATTAATAAATAATTTGATTCCCTTTCACAAAATTTGTATTAAAACATCTCCATTCATTCTATTCACGTGCCGAGTTTGGTTCCAATCGACCCATAATTAAGAAAAATCCTGATGATTTCGTCCATTTAGAGGCATTGGTTCGAAACGTCGAGGGCGTGATCTTCTAGCCCGTCCCCAATTATGCCGAAATCGACTCACATTTTTATTCAATATCGAATCCTTAATCCTACCCTGATGAAGATGTAAACGAAACGTCGTATTGCAAGGTGGGACCGTATGCACCGTCGCTCACATAACCTACCTACCAAATTTGATCGCGATCGGACAACATCAACTTTTGACGTTTCTTACGTCAAAACTAACTGTCACGGTGATACGTGTCGTATACGGTGAAGTTGGCTATAGTCCAATCTATCGACATACGAGATTTCATTTAAATCGGACGATTTTTTCTAAACCATAGGCTGTTCTTACAACTTTTCCTCTCGCGTGTCGTGTCACGGCCTTGCATTTTTACTTGTAAATATAATAATTTTTACTAATTTTTATTTTATTTTTTTAGATTTTCACCTGTTGATCAAGTGGTACTAACATCTTCAGCTGACTGCACTGTAAAATTATGGTCTGTGGTCAATTTTAACTGTTTAAAAACTTTAGATGGGCACGAATCTAGTGTCTTAAAAGTAGAATTTTTAACTAAGGTAGATATTTTATACAAGCCCTAACAACTATTATGTTGGGACAAGGTCTTTTTTTGCAATAAATATAGTAATTTGTTAAAACGACTCAATTTATTTTGCTTATTATTCTAAATTCAAACATTACAATATGATCTAGACAATTTTACTATATTTTTATAACTTTGCAAAAAATTTCAATTTTGATAATAGCTTATTTTGCCAAAATCAAGCCAAATTTGCTCACAACTATATATTGGGACAGCACAACAAAAAAATTGTTTTATAATCACCTTTCGCCTTAACAACTGCCTGAACTCTTAATGGCATTGTATTTACCAAAGATTGGCACATTTGAGGAGAAAAATCATCCCAAATTTCCTGCAGATTTGTCCGCAAATCAAAAATTGTTCATTGAGGGTGGTTTCTTAAATATTGCTTCATTTTATGCCACACAGTTTCTATAACATTGAGGTCCGGACTACTTGCAGGATGAGATAGAACTTTTATATTATTATTACCGAACCAATTTTTAGTTGATTTTGCTGAATGGCACGATGCTCCATCTTGTTGGAAAGTACAGTCTTCGTTTGGAAACAATTCTTGAGCACTAGCAAAAGTGAGGTCTCAAATATATGTTGATATTTTTGGGCGTTAACAGTGCCATCTATAAAATTTAATTTGCCCAAACAACTTGCTGACATGCAACCCCAAACCATAATCCCCTTAGGAAATTTAACAACCCTCTTTAAGCAATCTTTATGAAAGGCTTCTGCTTTATTTCGTATTATTCGTTTTCGATGATCTCCAACGCAAACATCAAATTTAGACTCATCACTAAATATGACCTTATTCCAATCATTTTGTGTCCACGATAATTTAGATTTTGCCCAATTGTAGCGATTTTTCTTTTAAATTTCTGTCAGTAGCGGTTTTTCTTTGGCCTAAATAAGAATTTGTATCAATAATCTTCAGGTAATTGATTATCCACACAAAATAAAAGTTTACCTTGTAAAACCCCAGACAGCATTTATGGATATATTTTCGGCAACATTCTCTTGATATATTTAAACCAGTTACAGTATTCCATTTAACTGTTACTTCGCGAAGAGTACTTCTCGCAGACTTGCAAATTTTTACTAAATTTCGTAAATCTCTCTGAGATACAACTTTTGGCCTTCCCGAACTTTTACCTCTAACGTCTACATTGGCAGATTCGCCGTATTTTTTTATTATATTAAAGACCGTGGTTTTTGAAATACTTAAACCATCAGAAATTTTTCGAATTGTTTTTCCCGTACTGTATTGACGAATGATAATTTCGCGTAGTTAGACCATTACATTGAATTAAATTAACAAAATGGAGAATTAAAAAAATTACAATTACTTACAGGAAATCTCACTACTCAAAGTATCGAGTCACTTGTCAATGCTGAAGTAAAGTTGTCAATGCTGAAGTAAACATTTTGCGACATTTGTGACGTTTGTAGCAAAGCCGCCTATGATGATATTAATTATTTAAAAATACTTGTCCCAACATTTAGTTGTCAGCAAATTTGTCCTTTTATGAACAAAATCCGCTACTGAAAATATGAATTGATTTACAAATTCATAAAAATATTGTCAAGTTGTTTAGGATATATGGCTATGTTTATATTTAAAAAATTAAACATATTTTTCAGTCATTTTGAAAAACCAGGGCAATAATTCCAAAATATGACCTTGTTCCATCATATAGTTGTTAGGGCTCGTAAAATATAAATATGTACAGGGTGGCGCACCTCATTCGCCTCGGTTGATTATACGAAAACGAAAAGATGTAGAAACAAAATATTTTATGGGTATATGTGGGGAGGTAATGTATACAATTTAAAATTATTTTGAAATATACATAGGGTGTTTCAGAACTAAGATCCATACCAAAGTTATATTTTTTCTTATGGAACACCTGGTATTTTATTTCATTTTTGGATTCTTGGGCCCAAAAAAGGCATTTATTATAAGGGTTAAATATGTTTAAAATCTTTGGTTTTTGAGATATTTAAAGATGTCCAAATTTGCATGCTACAATAGAACACATTATTAAAACCCTATACATTACTTTTCAGAATTAATTCTTGTGCTGAGTTTAAAGGTAGATAAATAAACTTTACAGAAAAATGTTATTGCTCCCTTAAATTTATACAAGGGTATCAAAAATTGACGATCTATTTTAAGAATTTACTTTGCATATAAATTTCGTTATTTAAAATACAACACCCTGTATTTTTTAAAATACATCGAAGCAGATTCAAATGCTCTTTCAAACTGTATTACGGTTTCCTATACCTATCTAGCTCAGATTTTGAATAAATAGCATTTTTTTCCATAAAATGGCAATCAAGAGGGCTAGTGTCGTCATGGCAAGTTTCTAGTGACAGTTACTAGCTATTTTCAAAATCGAAATTAATTTATGTACCTTTTTTTATTTATACGAGTTTTACTTTTATTTAATTTACCAACAATAGTTTAATAAATAACATTTATTAAATATGTATTTATTATTCTATCAAGAAAAACCAAGATAGAATAGATCTTTGATTTACTTTACGATGACTTGTAGATATATGGATTTTCTATAAGAGCCAATTAGGGCAAATTCATTTTTCTCACTTCCAACGACAGGTTTCTGCCTAATAGGTTTTTAATAAACCACACTACCTGCTCTGCGAAATAGGACAAGTAGTTTTTCAAAGGAACGCTTATCAGAAAGATTCCTATTAGGATATCTTTGAGCATAAACCCTTGTGGCGAAGAAGCAATTTTCCTCACAAAATAAAATCACTAGTAACATATCTATTCGTTCTGCCAGCAGATACTACTTTATTTTTCTTGATAAAATAATGAATACTTACTTATTAAATTATTGTAGGTAAATTTAAGTAAACTGTTATAAATTATAAATAATAATGTCCATAAACTAATGTCGACTTTGAAAATAGTTACTGTCACTAGAAAATTGCCATGGCCACACCAGCCATCTTGATTGCAATTTAATTTAAAAATAGTTTCTACATCTTTTCGTTTTCGTATAATCAACAGAGGCGAACGAGGTGCGCCACCCTGTATAATTAAATTTTACCATCATTGTTTAAATTATTTAAAGGGCCTGCAAATTGTCAGCGCTGGCGCAGATGGTTTAATAAAGCTCTTCAATATCAAAAATTCCGAGTGTCAATGTACTTTAGACCAACATGAGGGCAGAATATGGGCTTTAGCTGTAAGATCTGATGAATCAGGTAATCATCAATTATTTTAACATTGCGTGAAAAAACTTTTAATCTCTTTTTCTTTTTAGAAATAACAACTGGAGGTAGTGATTCTTTTTTGATAAAATGGAAAGATATAACAGAAGAAAGAAAGCAACAACAACAAAAAGAATTAGACGAAATCGCATTACAAGAACAGAAGCTAAGCAATTATTTGCAAAGTGATAATTTATTGAAGGCATTAAAGTTGGCTTTGAAATTAAATAGGCCGTTGCAGACCTTGAAAATAATAAACAGTGTTATAAAGAAAGGAGATACAGGTAAAACTATTTATTTTGCTAATTTTTAAATCACTAAACCATATAATTTAGGTCTCACAGAAACCATCAAATCTTTAAGAAACGATCAAAAGGAAAGTCTACTAAATTGTGCATTAGACTGGAACACAAATAGTAGAAATTGTCAACCAGCACAATTAGTACTAAACATTTTATTGAATGAATTACAAACAAAAGAATTCAGGTAATTATTTGTATAATATATATTTAATTTTTGAAGTGTATTAAATTAACAATATTTTCAGGCCTGTTGGTTTAAGTAAAATAACTGAAGGTGCGCTACCCTATACGGACAGACATTTTAAAAGAATCACACAATTAATGCAAGACATCAAATTTATTAATTATACTGTAAATTGTATGCAACCTCATTCTAGGAATGTAAATATTGGACAATAAGTTTTATGAATAAAACATATTTTTTAAAAATATTATTTAAAATATTTCAGTGAAACGCAGATTAATTAACTCTAAAGGAAAGGCGCATTCTCACGACTCGTGTAGTTAACACATATTTGTTGTTGTTGCTAGCTTTAAACTAAAGTAATGGAAGAAAAAAAAATCTCGAAATATCCGGTACCCGACATTCCGGCGATGGTAATAGAAGCACCGGTGATAGAATTGTTTTGAATATTTGGATTTTTATGTAAAGGCATCTGCTCCATCTATCGAAAATCTTATCAGCATTACAGTGTTGCCGGATCATTTGAAAAGTGGTAGCATCTTGGTTATTGTAAATGGAACATCCAGTATATTATTACATTTTTGGAAACTACTTTTATATCTCATAACTTTTCTATTATACTAACCTATACCTATCTCTTATAGTTTTCGAGGTAAAAAATAAAATACAGTAAAGACTCGATAATCCGAAGAGCGCTAATTCGGATTCCTTGCTAGTCCGGATCGACAGCGCACTTGCATTATGTACTTTGTAATCCGGATTTCGTATGATTCGGTAATCCGAATTTGTGGTTCTAACTTGTTTTAACGCGTTTTCTCGAAGCGGTAGTTCATTTATATCGTAATAATTTGACGGCCGTGTTTTAATGTAGGTACCTAGTTCAGAATGGGAAAACGTAAACATATCACTTTGACGATAAAACAAAAAGGTAAAATATTAGATCAACTAAAAAATGGTGTTGGTGGTGAATTACTTGCCCAAAAGTATGGCGTTGGAACTTCTACTATTTCCGACATTAAGAAAAGTGAGAATAAAATAAGGAGGTTAGATTAACTACATACATATTTTGAAAAAAGCCTTTTGATTATCATATCAATTTTTTTAGATTTATTGACTGATTTTTTGATTTATTAAACAACTTTTTTGTGATCTCGAACATGAAGTTATAGACGACGCCGACGATACCAGCGATGAAGAAATCTATATCCAGTCAAAAAAAGTCCAGCACGTTGATGTAATAAAATATTTTACACTGGGATTGCAGTGGGCTGAAGAGAATGATCTTAGTATTAACGATAATCTTGTCTTAAAAAATATACGGAGGAAGCTATAGTTAAGCATTCTTCAGTTAATGCACTTAAAAAACAAAGTAAAATCTCTGATTATTTTAAATAATGTAGGATGTATTTTATACTTTGGTATCTATAGGATGTATGTTCCTATTCACAACGAGTTTTGTTATAGAATATACTTATTCTTACTTAAATTATATTTGTTTAAGGTTTTGCTAATAAAAATGTTTTATTTTATACGTTTTTTTAAATATATGTGTATAAAAATGCAAATCGCGATAATCCGAATTTTTTATTGATCCGGATTAACCTGTGCAATTGATCTGGATTAATTGTGCTTTAATTGATCCGGATTATCGAGTCTTTACTGTATGTGTAAAATTGACAAAAACATGATTTTGAATAAGCATTTGTAAAATCATGAATTGAACATTTTTAAAGTTGAAATTTGGGTTATAACGAAAGTCGGAAACACAAGTCTTTAGAAAACTAGAATTAATCCATTTGATATCTAACTTTATACAATAATTCAAAGTTTATGAATTATTACTAGGCAAACGTCTTTAATATTATTTTGAATGACATATTACCCGAGAAAAAAGTAGGTGGATAACCTACAAAAAGAAATGAGATCCCATCAAAAACACAGAATGTAAAAATGCCAAATCTCGTAATACAGTTCTTCCACTATAAAAAAGTTGTGAGATCTCGTGTAAAACCAAGTCAGTTTATTTTACTTAGTTTTACTTTAAGCATCTATTCAATAATTTTGTTACAAATTGTTAGTATCAATATTACGCATCTTTATTTCTGTAATAATTATAATGACTTGGCAATAGCACGGCACCATAATAAAAAAAGAACAATCTACCATTTTGATTACTAAGTAAATCTAAACAGTGCCCTTAAGAATAAAGCTTCATTCAGAACCTCGAAATCAGTGGAATAAATTAGTAGTTTCAATTAGCCGTAGAAGTTTGTTCACCTGATTTTAATGTAAGCATTCAGAACGTCATAATTAGTGGTAGTAATTTTCAAGTAGTGGAAAAAGTTAGCAAACTTTTGACTTTCCCAATAACTATACTTCAAAATTTGCCATCAATGTCATTTTGGCCTTTGATTATCACACGTCAAGAAAAATTTTGGTTAGAAATCAAAAGTTTATTGTTATATAAGCTAAATATTATGCTTTCTCTATGGATACAACAGACTACCGCAAGCTGTTGCTAGGATATTTTAATAATTTTAATTGTGTGTTTTAGATTGTGAATGATCGTAAACTAAAAAGTATAAATTGTAATTAAAACCACTAATTTATTCCCCTAATTGGGAGGTTCTGAATGAAGCTCAAAGTTTTTTAATTAGCAAAGAATATCATATCGTGCAATTGTCAAGTCATTATAATATTTCAAAAATAAAGATGTGTAATATTGATACTAACAATTTGTAACAAAATTGTTGAATAGGTGCTTAAAGAGAAACAAATAAAATAAACTGACTTGGTTTTACATGAGATTTCACAACTTTTTATAGTGGAAGAATTGTATTGCGAGATTTGGCATTTTTTACATTCTGTGTTTTTGATGGGATACAGAATTTCTGAGTTATTTATTATAGGAACTGTGCCGCATTCCCGCCAGATCCTGTATGCCAACAAAAAAAACTTGCTAAGTACACGAATCGTGAGAACGCGCCATAAGACGAATAAGTAAAAATGAAAAAAAAAATAAAAATGACCACTATTGACAGCTCTAAATATGCGACAACTCGGAGGATTAATATTCGTTTTCATGTTTTTCATTTCGTTATACACTCTACGCTCACATTTTGAGATATACAGGGTGTCCCTCCTATTTTAATGTATTTTATGGGGTTTTTCGTATATGAGTAGAGATACAAAAACGCGGTCTGTGCTCTTCACATCACTGTGCTACTTTTTTATGAACCTAAAGGTGCTACACATAGATTTGAAGACTTGAAGTAAATAATGTTCTAAGTGCCAAAGATATCGGTTTATCATGTTTTATTTGTAAAACGTCCTAAGTTCCATAACCAACAACATATCTAAAGCGCTAAGTGCCAGGGCTATTAAATTGTATTGAAAAAAAAAAATTCAACCGCCCATTCTTATACATTGGTTATAAAACAAAAAAAAATATAATCTTTTTTCTAGTGTGCCAATTTTTTTTTAATAAACGACAATTTTTTTATTCAGTTTTTTCAAAAACATGTCTATGCGGAATATCTTCAGCACACAATAAAGCTTCATTACAATTAAAATTAATAGACTATCCTAGCAACAGTTTGAGATAATCAGTAGTGTCCATAGGGAAACACTAATAATTACCTTATACATAAGTAGTGATGAGAAAAACCGATTAATTTCAATAATCGAATACTCGAGTTTCAAGCGATTGCAATAACCGAGTGATAGCTCGAGCGAAAGATCACTCGTATTCAAAAATACGATTTTTCGCCTGTCCCTTGTTGTAAGTACTCGTTAACGCCAAGCGCCAAGCAGTAAGTTGCATTCGGTTCGGTTTGGTTAGGTTAGGTAGTATGAATGGCGAGTCGATGATTGATATAACATTGGCCACAGCAAGTATAAGCCTCAAAATTAAGAACTGGAAAGTGGCTGAAAGCGAGGAAAATATGAGCCTCCATAGAAATATCTACTTTGAGATCACGAATGATACAACTGTGGATAAACCAAAACCAATTGCGTACAAATGGAGGGTCACACAATCGGGTATGGAACGAATTAGGTCTCACTGCGAGAGTGAGGGTTTGCGTATGAAGGCGGCTAACCCTCAGAGTCTAAGTAAATCCCTAAAGAGTTTATGCAATCTCTATCTTTTACCCAGAAATAGAAAACGGCAAAAAATGACTTATTGGTGGAGTTTCCATATAGCGGAGATAAGGGCAACGTGCAACAGTCTGCGTCGAAAGATCACTAGAGGCAGAAAGGGGGCAGGAGAATCAACGGATGTAGACACAGCAATATCCAACTACAAAGAGGCAAAAATCAATCTGAAACATGCTATTAAAAGCGCCAAAAAACATGCCTGGGAAAATCTCTTAAATGACCTGAACAAGGATATATGGGGCAAAGCGTACCAAATAGTCACCAGAAAGTGGAGTACTGGAAATAAAAAAAGTATATCAGAAGAAACAACTAGAGAACAGATACGATTCTATTCCCGACCGTAAAGATAATACAATGGCAGACTATTACCATTGAGAGAGATAAAATTCCATATTTCTCAGAAGAGGAGATAATAGAGGCGACTCAGAGTCCAAAAGTGGGAAAAGCTCCGGGCTGTGATGGCATTCCTATTGATGTTATCAAAGCTGCCGCCACACACGATTGTAAATCGGTCATGGATGTCATGAACTACTGTCTCAGGGTAGGACATATTCCAATGGAATGGAAAACCGCGAAACTGGTACTAGTAGAAAAGAAAACCCAAGATAGTACATCAAAGTCGTACAGACCGATATGTTTGCTAAATTCTGGAGCTAAATTGTTGGAGACCTTTTTAAAAAATAGACTAGAAAAGGAGCTTACAGAGAAAGGTGCCATCCATGAAAACCAATATGGATTCAGAAAGGGCAAATCCACAATAGATGCACTAAATAAAATCCTAAACATAGTGGACAATATAAACGCCAAGAGTTACAAATCCAGAGGAGTCGCACACCTGACATTAGATATAAAAAATGCATTTAACTCGGCCCAATGGCAAGAAATAATAAGACAACTTGAAAACAAGGGAATCAGTGGGTACCTAATTAGAATGCTCCAACAATACCTCCATAAAAGGTACATTGTTACGGAACATGGAGAACGTTTCAGAATGGTATGTGGCGTCCCGCAAGGATCTATACTTGGACCGACACTGTGGAACGTTTTCTATGACCAAGTGCTTAGAGAGGACTACGGACCGGGGTGCAGTCTTATTGGATATGCAGACGATCTAGCCCTAGTGACAAGTGCCCCCAGCAAAAGCATGCTTATAGAAAGAATGACTGCTGCAGCATACACTATTAAAAATAAGCTGGATGAGATGGGCATAGAGTTAGCTACCAATAAGACTGAAATGGTCATTTTGGCGGGAAGACAGAAGATGAAGGAGGTAGAATTTAGCTGGTGCAATACCAACATTAAAAGCACAAGGGCGGTAAAATACATGGGAGTTTGGCTAGATAAAGACGCTCGGATGACCACCCATATTCGAAAACTTCAGGAAAAAACAGAGGCAATCATAAAGCAGTTATCCAGAGTTATGCCCAATCTGAAGGGACCGGTGGCAGAAAAGAGGAGGACATTGGCCTCGGTGGTGTCTTCCACGATTCTGTATGCGTCTCCCATATGGGAGAGAGCCCTAAAATACAAACTCTACGAAAATATCTTAGACTCCATAAATCGTAAAATAGCGCTGAGAGTAACATCGGCATATAGAACATCTCCAACTAAGGCCATCCTGGTCCTAGCCGGTATCCCACCGATAAAGCTCCAAACAGAACAAAGAAGTCTAGTGTATAAACATGGAGACCAATTCAGATTTGAGGCCAGAAATATTATACTGGACAAATGGCAGGATGCGTGGTCGCAATATCAAGGATGGGCTAAAACGTTTATTTTAGATGTAAGGTTCTGGGTAAACTGCAAGGCAATTAATATAGACCATTTTGTGACACAAGCCATTACCGGACACGGGGTTTTTGGCACCTACCTAAAAAGAATCGGCAAAAGGGACAGCGACACTTGCACTTACTGTAATACTGTGGACAGCCCGGGTCATACAATATTTCTCTGCCCTAGGTGGCAAACAATAAGGGAAGAAACAGAAGAAATATGCCAAAGGAAGCTGGAGGAAAACACAGTTGGTATCACCATTAGTGAGGATGAAGAAAAGTGCCGAGCCATTATATCAATGCTGCATACCATAATGAAACATAAAGTAGACGATGAGATTAAAGCCAAAAATTCGTGATACTGTGATATTATTGTCTGTGATAAAGAACTAAACTGTGATAAAAAACTGACTGTGACTTGATTAAAATAATAAGGAAGATTTATGTATATATATACATATATGGAAATGAATGTTAGAATAGTTTAGAGAATATGAGATAACTGAGAATCACCTACTATCCCGATGTCATGCTTCATTCGAAAACCTTCTCTACGCACCTAACGATCTATGGACAATTCTAGAGTTCTTTACCTGCCGGTATAAAAGCCGGCGGCCGTGGCCTACAGGGGGCAGTTATAAATATACAGTTGACGCGCTAAAATTCAAAATAAATTCTTAGTTATAAATCGTTTGTAAATAGTTCTATAAGTCTTTAATCGTTATTATTTTTGTTCATTAGTGTTAAATAAATAGTGTTTAAATAAATTGTGACTTTCTATCCACACGGAACCGACGAAAAACGTAACAATACATATATACGGCGTCGTATAAATTTGCTACCTGCATGCAATGTATGTAGAAAATTTGCTCGGCTTTTTATCGAGTAGGTATGCCACATTAAAATCGGATTTCAATTTATTTCATTCTAGGATCGCTTGTATCGAACTGCATATTCGTCACTTGCATCACTCGTTCATAATCGAGCGATGTCGGTTATTTCAATAATCGAGTACTCGTAGTTATCCCATCACTACTCATAAGACAATAAATTTTTCATTTCTAACCACAATTTCCCTAGACGGATGATAATCAAACGCAATGTGACATTACTCACTAGTTTTGAAGTAAAATTAGTGGCAAAAAGTATGTTAACCTTCTACTAATTGAAAATTACTACCACTAATTTTGACGTTCTGAATGCTTACATTGAAATTAGAGACACAAACTTCTACGCTAATTGAAACCATTAATTTATTCCACTAATTTCGAGGTTCTGAATGAAAATTAGGCTGCATTCCGTTGCAAAACCAGGCGAACCAGACCGGTAAACTACAGTAAACAGCGGTTCCTCAAAAACATCGGTTTGATACGGAACGATTTGGTAAAATACTGGAAATGTCAGATGTTGATGTTTTCTAAATTTCAGTACCTTTATTATAAAATTTATCAAAATAAAATTTATGCATTTTTAATGTACCTAGTCTCTGCTTTTACGTTTTCTTCTTCTTTTCAATGGAGTTTAATATTGAAAAGTACTTTATTAATGAACTGTTAAACTCGTTAGATAATAGCTTAAAATAGATCAATAATAAACAAATCTAATCAATATTTATATTTCTATAGCTTACAAAACGTTCACGATTACTTGTTGTTTTGTTTCTCATATTTTCTTTATATGTTCCTGACTTTAAGATGACTTGGCTGCGTGATAAGTTTAAATGGTCCTAAAAAGTCATTCTGTTTAGTTAATAAAATTTATTTACCTTTACTACCTACCTCCATTGCTTTTGGATATAAATACAAAATATTATAACAAATTTTAGAAATTAAATTATAAATTCACTCGAACTTCCAATATTTGCTTGATTTCTCTCACATAAATGACATTGATTGACAAACAAAACCAGAAAAACCAGCCTTCTCGCGCTGGTTAGTTTGTTGACAGTTATAACCGAATTTTTCAAGAACCGTGTTCCGTAGTAAGAAAACTTTCAGGAAACCGATAGAAAGGGAACATAAAACCATAACCAAGGTCAGCAACGGAATACTGTATGATAAAAAATAATATTGACATGTCATGGGTCAATTATTGTGAATGCTCCGAATTAGAAAAATCGGTACACCCTGTATCTCCAGAACAAATCAGGACAAGCACTTTAAATCGGTAATATAACATAAAAAAGAATGTTGTAATTATGCAAATATGCTATATTTAAGTATAAAGTATGTAAAATTATAATTTACAATAAAACTGACCATTTGTTAAACTTAAAGAATATGGATAAATGAAACTATTATAAATAACCATAACAATAACAATTAACATAAAAACGTATCTGCAATTAATGGAAATGTTATTAGAGATATTTGATAATAAATTTAATAATGTTTAAATTTTATAATCAGAACATTCTGTAGTAAAGAAGTCTGACAAACAGCGATTTTCTGAACATATATTCAGTTTTAACAAAACGTGTAAGGATTTTTATGGTTAGATTTACAAAGTCTCATTTTACTTAAACTAGATATTTGTGAAACTTTAATTGCATTACAGTGTGATCAACTATCTTAAACCTATTAAAAACAATAACAAAAATATTTATATTTACAAATATAGCTGCATCCCTGAATAATTATATATATATTACCTTAATAACAATCCATACTATTAACATCTGAAGTGCCATATTCTTCTAAAATATCATCTAAAAGTGAATCAAATTCATCCACGCTTTGCGATGTTTTTGTTTGTTCAGCTTTACTACAGTGGGGAGAATTAAAAATAAAATTCAAATATTCCGATGGAGGTAAGTACGATTTTTTCTTGATTTGTATTGATGTGGTTTTCGGCTAAAATGACAAACACCATGTCAGTAAAGACTGTTGAAAGTTGTTAAAAATACAGGGTTATTCACAACATACGACACGAAGTATGGTAGCGATTAGATTTAGATTTTTACAAATCGATTAGATTTTTACAAATTGTAAGTTTTGGGTCCGTTGAAAGACCATTAGAGCTACAATTTAATTTTTTTTTAAAAGATACAGAGTGTCCCAAATAGGTAAAAAATATTATAGTTGTATTTTTTAAATGGAACACCCTGTATATTATTCTATTTTTAGATTATACAATTGAAATAAAGGTAAATTTGATTAAGGTTTATAACACACCTTACCATTTTTGAAATATTTTCAGTTTTATGAAATCGCAGTAAAAATTTTAAGGCTTCATTTCTCCAAGGGCATCAAAGTTTATAATACTAGACATTTAATGAAGTTTATTTATTGATCTTGATATTGTGTTGCAATAATAAAACAAAATATTACCTTATACAGAGTGTCTATAAAAATTTATATTAAATAATTACTAGCTTTAAATGGCAATACCTTGTTTAATTTAAATGGAACACCCTGTATATTTTACGAGAATCAGATGCACAATTTAATTGTCTATCAAATTGTATTATGCCATTTTTCACCTATCTCTTCAAGTTTTCGTAGAAAATGCATTTTCTTATAATTTACACCTCATTTATCACTATATCCTTAGATGTAACAAATTTTCAAAGACTACCAGATCCTAATATTGTTGATATAGTTCGCTTATTTCATTAAAAAAAACTTTAAATATTTTTTGTTAAAGGGGACCAACTAATATGATCCCAGTATTCAAACTACACACATTGACTGTTTACATTGATTAATAATTGCTCCAAATACTAAAAAACTGAATTTTGTATGTGTATGAGACTACCATCACGTGGTATACTGATGCTTCCAAAACCAAAGCAGGGACAGGGATAGGAGTATTTGGGCCGAAAACTGAATACTCCGAACCAATGGGCACCTACCCCAGTATCCTTCAGGCAGAAATTTGCGCTATCGAAAGATGCGTACAATTTATCTTGGATAGGAACTATCGAAAACAGGAAATTGCCATCCTATCCGATAGTCAAGCAGCACTTAACGCGATCAACTCAGTAACCATCAATTCGAAGTTGGTCAAAGAATGCCTAGAGAAGCTCAACAAATTAGGCAAAGAAAATAAAGTCCTCCTACTCTGGGTGCCTGCTCACCAAGGGATAGAAGGCAATGAAAAAGCAAATTATCTAGCTAGAAAAGGAGCGAACACTCCACTAATTGGACCAGAACCGTTCTGTTTTCCAAACGGGAACCAACTGAAAGCGGAACTGAAGAATCTGGAAGACTCCATCGGTAACTTGGAATGGGTGTCCTCCAACGGTCTAAGACACTCGAAAAAGTTCCTTAGAACTTATGACCGAGAAAAATCAAAGCTTTTCCTTGATTTAAGTAAAAACAATCTTCAGATTGTCACGGGGTTTCTAACAGGACACTGTCTCCTCAACGAACACATCAGTAGGCTGAAACTGAGAAACAACGGCGAATGCAGATTTTGTGGGGAAAATGGGGAACACCAGAACACCTTATCACTGAGTGCCGAGACGACGACCATTCGTGCCATGAACCTTGGCACGTCTGATGTCGAGGATGGAGAGCTGGCCTCTGTGGAGCCGTCTCAGATACTGGCTTTTCTTAAAGCCCTGAGACTGTATGATGAGTTATAACTCGTTATAACTCAAGAAAGGGGAACACACAATAGATCTATAAGGTCGCGGTGATTAACTCCCCTTCTAAACATTCTACATTCTACATGTGTATGAGACAGTGCAGTAGAAAACCTTATAAATTTTATTTCTTTTTTTGCCGAATACTTATTTATAACAGAGACGTTCATTTTCATAACTTATTATTATATTGATTTCTAAGCCAAATCCACATTTATTTAGAATAATTTATTAATTAAAACAATTAAGTATGTAATTAATTAATTTTTGGGCGGAAATAATGGTGGTATATTTAATTGGTATTACCTGTTGGTAATCACCTGTACATTTTGTACATATATTGCTTTAAAAATTAAAAAATGTCAATATTACATGGGTATAGTGATAAATAAGGTCTAAATTACAAGAAAATGCATTTTCTACGAAAATTTGAAGAGATAGGTAAAAAGTGGTATAATACAATTTGATAGACAATTCAATTGTGCATCTGATTTACGTAAAATATACAGGATGTTCCATTTAAACAAGTTATTGCCTTTTAATAATTTAATTTTTTTTAATAATTATTTAATTTTTGGACACTCTGTATAAGGGAGTATAATTTTTATTATGGCAACACAATATCTGATCAATAAATAATCATCAGTAAAATATTTAGTATTAAAAACTTTGATACCCTTGGCGAAATGAAGCCTTAATTTTTTTACTGCAATTTCACAAAATTGAAAATATTTCAAAAACGGCAAGGTTTAAGTGTGATAAACCTTAATCAAATCTACCTTTATTTCAATCATAGAATCTAAAAATAGAATAATAAACTAGGCGTTCCGTTTAAAAAAAATTTTTACTCATTTCGGAAACTGTATCTTTTTTAAATATTTTTAAATTGTAGCTCTAATAGTCCTACAACGAACGAAAACCTTTTTGTAAAAAAACAATTTGTAAAAATCTAATCGTTTAGCTACAAAACTCCGTGTCGTATGTGGTGAACAACCCTGTATATTTTTCTTACTTCATCTGTAGGGCTATAAATCCCCTGCAACAAGGCCATGTCGTTAGAATTCAACAAATCCTCTAAAATTTTATCTGCGTTTGAGGAGTCGCTTTTATCAGCATTTATCTAACAAAAAACTTAAAATTAACATTTCATATTTTAGGCCAATCAAACAGAATTTATTAAAGGGATCACTTAGAAAAAAGTGATGGAAAGCTATGTAATTATTGTTTTGATTGGGCCATTTGACGTAAAAGAAAAGTATCCTAGATTTGCACGGTTGTTCGACCGCCGCGCCGCGTCGCCGCCGCCGCTCGTGTCAGCAAGTTCAGAAAATGGCAGTTTTTTTTCTCTTTTTAGATTTTCGCCTTTAGTTCCGAAAAGTTGCGTTCTAGCGAATATTTCACTATTACATAAAGAATTAAATTCTGTGTCGTATGGATACTACATTCATTCAATTCGGTTCAGTAGTATGGCTAAAATCGAAAGTTCAAGAATGTATGTTGTGATATTTACCCACTTTACTGAAAAATGCATTTAAAGTGCCCCCTCCCACTCGTTCTACATACTAGACTCTAAATCTATAATTATTTCTGGATTGGATTTTTGATGCTCTGTAACTTTAGCTGTATTTTTGTAACAAGAATGATGATTTCCACTTTAATGCATTTTTCAGCGAAGTGTATAAACATTCGATTTTAGCCAAACTACTGAACCGAATCAATGAGTGTGTTACTTATTCGACGCAGAATTTAATTCTCTTTAATTTAAATGAAAACGAAATATTCGGAAGTATAAACGAAATCAGAAAAAAAGCCCAAATTTTTATATTCGTATATAAAGTATAAACGACAATCTGAAAAAAAACAATTTTTGTCATCTTTTAGGTCCCCTGGCTCGAGCAGCGGTTGGTTAATCGTGTAAACCTATGATTCTTCTCTTTCACGTCAAATGAACCAATCAAACCAATAGTAGCTTTCCAACACTTTTTTCCAAGCGACACCTCTAATTTGATCGTCCTATTATACAAAATTGAAATTTTATTACCTCGTATATCATTGGTGTGACGTTAGTTAAATCGGTAAAGACTTCCGCTTCTTTTCCCATTAAGTCATCAGTTGCTTCAGTGGGAGGTAAAGAATCGCTGTTGCTTTTTGACCGATTATTCTGCCCACATACCGAATTCGGAGGGGTGATGATTCCTAACTCTGAGGAAGCGTTACATGGCGTTGATGGAACATTAAATACTTCAGGATATGGCGAAGGCTCTGAAAACTACAGAAAAAAAATCTTGCATAATGTGTCGATCGGCGAGGAATCCAACCAAGCAACGTTAACCCTATCACAGTGCTAGATGACTGGTGTTAAGCGACACGTGCCCACCCAATCAGCAATAAAAGGAAATAAATAAGTATATAATTGTGTGTAAGATGATATTATTACGATCAAATATCTAGATCTGATATCATATCTAGCATGAAACCTAAAGGAATAGACTTTGTGTAAAGTATTTTTAAAGCCACTTAAACTGGTTTGGAACTCTACGTTGTTTGTCCAGACAAGGCCGACAAACGGTGTGCCGAAATTAAGAGCCCCAAGCCAGTCCAACTGACATTGGAAAGACTATGGTAAAATTAGTAGTTTATTGTTAAAGTGAACTTCTTTACGCGCGATGGGAGTAAACATTCAAAGCCGTGGCACACGAGCTAGCGAGATGAAAAGTAATAAGCCAATGAGGAAGTAACTCGGGTCCTATGTGAGCTAGGGGGCTGAAACTCGGAATGTAGATGGGGTTCTTTGGCGTTTCGTGCACTATGAAACTCCATCATCAATGGTAAAAATCGTCCGATTTAAATGAAATTTATGTCGATAGATTGGACTAAGGCCAACTTGACCGTGTACGACGTGTCAATGTGACAGTTAGATTTGACGCAAGAAACGTCAAAAACTGAAGTCGTTCTGCAGTTAATATGCTACCAACACTATACAGTTACATAATGGCCATCACACAAATTGTAAGCAAACTAGGATATTAAAAATTATATACCGGTGCGTCGGAACACGGGACAGGAAATCCCATGTAAATTCTGAAAAGGTCAAATATTATCTCCCCAGATGATTTTATGCAAAAGTTGTATTAGACTTTTTTGAAGAGGCGTTAAAGTTGTACTTTTGTGTATAATTTTGTTTCATTTGAAATAGTCATTTAAAAGTTATTTGCAAAAATCTACCTTCAAATTAGTAAAATTTTTAATACGGCCCAGAGAAAACTACAATTAAAATACTAGCAAAAATGTGATTATGTAATTGTTAAATTCGTTGCCACATTATGTCTACAAAAATTTGGAGAAAACTTCTTAAAGGGAGATACCAAACCATAGATAAAGGGAATAAATTTAGATTGGAAAGCCCGTCAAAATATATAATTGTTTTGGGTCGCGACCGTTGTACGCGATCTGGCGCTACTATAGGCTTGATGCAATCTCCGCCGGTGCTGCCACCACCGGAGAACTCGTGATTAACGAACACGTACAAATACACGGGTTTAAATAGCGAGTAAACGAAAAAAATTGTATATAATTATTCTAAAAGTGTTAGAAAGTGTCATTTGTGGAAATTCTAAACAAAAAAAAAAGGTAAATAAATTGATATCTTCCGAAGGTCTAACTTGCATTATAATTTATTATTCCAGTTAAAAAAAATTAGATGAGTTCAACTACGGTAGCGAGCATAGATTTATCGGTTTTGCTAGTGGGACATAATTGGAGCTATTTCGCCTATAACGAAATTTTTTAAGGGCACATAAAACATTTAATCACTAGTTGATTAAAAAAGTATAACCATTAATATTGCAAGTTCTATTTCATCCTCTCAAGTATATGTCTATTTAATTTTTTGATTATGTAACAAACGCTTTGTTTATTCACTTGTTTCATCGAACTGCTTGAATCCATTTTTGCTATTGATCAAATCGGTGTAAGAAATTATATGACGCTATAAAATGTTGTTTCGGGAGAGTTGAATATCCGGGAAAGTCGAGTTATTGAATGTTATTGCACCCAACAACGCCCTAATTACGCTCTCCTTTACGCGTTAACATTTTTTTGGCAATTTTATTAACATTTAAAATTGTCACAACACAACAAGACGCCTAGTTTGAATTCTTTTTCACTTATTTTTTACTACCCGAAACAACGTTACATCACACAAACCTCGCACCTGAGTATTTTATAGTATCAATAACGGCACTAGCAAAAAACTAAAATACTTAAATATTATGACAAACCCCGATTTCAATATTATTTTAATGCGATCGACATGACGGCGGGACGGCGGCGGCGGCGTGAACTATATTGTTGATCAGTTCTGATTTCAGCCGGAGAGTGCGCTGTGGTCGGAATTTGTTGAAATCAACTGAAATGCACCAAGCCTAAAGCGGTTGCTAAGAACAACCGCAAACAATAACAGAAACAATTTTCTCTTGTCAAAGTCAGAACGTTCAAAAATAAAAAAGTGGCATTAAAAACTAAAAAACTGTGTTGTGAACTGTGAACTGCAAAAACCATCGTGGATCGTGACATAACGTCGGTTTCCAATGTTTAATAGGTATTTCACATACATGCCCTTATATAAAATAAAGTTTTTTGTATGCAACACACTATATTTTATTTATAAAATTAAAAGATAATAATAATAAATTTGAATAAACAATATTTGGCGACATAATTCCGAAAAAAGATCCGAAATTATCAAAAGTTTTGGTTGCGATCGTTGCAAGAATAGTGCCAAATAGTGTTTACATTATCCTTATGGGCACTTTCCAATCTAAACTTGTTTCATTTATCTACAATACCAAACAGAGTAATTTTGAATAAAATAATTATAAATTTCGCAACTTCTGAAAAAGTGACGATGTTTAAACGGCATTTTGCTGGAAATAGTATTCCCGCTGTGTTAGATATGTTCGCAACTCAGTCTCCACAAAGCTTATCGAATAAGTCAATAGTTTAAAGAATAAACCTTTTTTCTAGCTAGCAAATGATCTAGCTAGGAAAGGAGCGAACACTCCACTAACTGGACCAGAACCGTTCTGTTTTCCAAACGGGAACCAACTGAAAGCGGAACTGAAGAATCTGGAAGACTCCATCCGTAACTTGGAATGGGTGTCCTCCAACGGTCTAAGACACTCGAAAAAGTTCCTTAGAACTTATGACCGAGAAAAATCAAAGGTTTTCCTTGATTTAAGTAAAAACAATCTTCGGATTGTCACGGGGTTTCTAACAGGACACTGTCTCCTCAACGAACACCTCAGTAGGCTGAAACTGAGAAACAACGGCGAATGCAGATTTTGTGGGGAAAATGGGGAAACACCAGAACACCTTATCACTGAGTGCGCCGAGACGACGACCATTCGTGCCATGAACCTTGGCACGTCTGATGTCGAGGATGGAGAGCTGGCCTCTGTGGAGCCGTCTCAGATACTGGCTTTTCTTAAAGCCCTGAGACTGTATGAGTTGAAGAAAGGGGAACACACAATAGATCTATAAGGTCGCGGTGATTAACTCCCCTTCTAAACATTCTACATTCTACATCGAATAAGTCAATAATTTAAAGAATAAACCAGACGTTTGAAACTAAAAGACACTAAGGTATTAATCAAATGGAAGTGCGAAGACAAAAATAATTAAACAGTAAGAAAATAACTATGACTTATTCTTCATGTTGAAGAAAAGACAAACATTGACTCACGTTTATTGGGGATACAGTAGAAAAAAAACACAGGATCTTTCACCGAACAACTTCTTTCTGTGGAGCACCCTCAAAAACCGTCTTTATATGCATATTAAATACAGAAATTTAGATGGACTGAAAACGACACCTCTGTGGAATGCTAAAGATTCTCCCCTTAACAGTTTTGTATTGTGAGGCGTAAATTTCACAGTCATTTGGGGTATTGTTTGGGGAATTATGTAAACATTTTATTAATTAGTATAGAATAAAGTTCCTTCTGTTACAAATATTTCGATTATCCCTTGTATCAATTGTTGTGGATGTATTTAGTATGAACGAGGCCTGCGAGTGATCGAGTAATGAACAGCAAACAAGTCGTACACCGCGAATACTATTCTCAGCTCAACGGGTCTTGTACAGAACAGATCCCCAAGAATTCGAGGTTTTTTTAATTTTCAATGTGGATCCCATAGTTAATGGAATAGTTTAAAAGAAAAAAATTGTTGGATGAACCACTTTTTCTATGAAAAAAAATTATTGAAAATTCGAAATTTTCACTACATTTCAATGCGAAAACTCCCTATTATAACCTTCATAAAGCCAGTAATATACAAGGTTATGCACAGTGTTGCCATACTCACCCTGTGTAAAATCATTTTTTTTAAACGAGGACTTCAGGGGTGTTTTAGAGCAGTATTCTTTCAGAAAAAATGCAGATTTTGACGATTTAAAATATCAAAAAAAAAACAAATAAAAATTAGTAAAAACCAACCAACCCCACCAAATAACCACCTAACCAACACATTAACACCCCCCAAATAACCAGGCTAACCAATGCATTAACACCCTCCAAATAACCAAGGCTAACCTAATTGTGCCTAATGACAAAACTTCATTGATTACGCGTCGAAAAATAGTATATATTTAAAAAAATGATATTTTCGTAGAACCTGAAAAATCCGCAAATTTTATTTCAGAAATTGCTTTAAAATAATCCACACTAACGAATGCTTGTGATAGCTTACCGTTTTAAGTCTCTCCACGACGTAAACTTTATTTCAGAAGAAAATCATATAAAATAATTTGATTGACAACGTCGCAAATTCTATGCGAAGGCCATAGATGACATACCGATGATCGATTAACTGTCAATCGAAAAAGTCATAAAATTGCTGGCTTGAGATGATGTAAATAAATATATTTTCTTAATTTTTATGCTTACAAAGATGATTCGTTACATTTTTGTGCTTAAATTAGGTCATTCCACGTCTATATAAGGTAATAAAATGCTAATATGTGATGTTTTTACTGAATCCGTGTAGAAAATTTTACATATTTACTGTCGGTCGCCTGAACCTAAAATACGTTTTTTTGCCGCTTTTTAAAGAGAAAACACACATTCATCCAACAATTTTTTTGCTTAAAAATGTTCAATTTAAGATAGTCTTGCAAAACAATCCCAAAAAAGTGTTAAATTCGTGGGGACCTATTGTGCACCAGAGCCCAGCTCAACTATTTCTTTTGTATATAGATGATTATTCCAATTCAGAAAAAAACTAACTACCTTTTTCAAACCACAGAAATTTAAAAAAATGTAAACAAAAAGTGACATCAAATTTGACAATGACAAAATAATATTTTTGCTGGTATTTTAATTGTAGCTTTCTATGGTTTCTAACCTAACCTAACCTAAGCTAACCGCATTAAAAATTTTGCTAATTAGAATGTAGATTTTTGCAAATAGCTTTTAGATGCCTATTTCAAATGAAACGAAATTCTACACAAAAGTACGACCTTAATGCCTCTTCAAAAAAATCTAATATCATTTTTACATAAAATTATCTGGGGAGATAATATTTGACCCTTCCAAAATTTACATGGGATATCCTGTGTCCCGCGTTCCGATGCACCGCACGGTATAATAATAAGATATCAAATTTATACCTGAGAAGGACTCTCCAAACTTCCTGAACTAAGAGATGAAGGTGTTGGTGGCACAGATGAACAACTAGGATTTGACTCTTCATTACGTTGTTTTACTGGATAGTCAACATTTTCTGTAGTAACCTATACAAATGTTGATAATGTATTCACAAGTGGCGCAAAGCTATAACACATGGCTAAATATACAGAGCGCTTCAAATCACAACATAATGCAACATTATAAAAGTATTTTTTTGTAAACGTAATGTTAGTCACTTTTTGAAAGTTCTTAGTAAACTTCTAAAATTGAAATGAATCTAGAAATATAAAAATAGATATTAATTACCTTATATTTCTTAAATAAATCAAGAAGCCTTCTAGTAAAATCAGTAGCTGCCTGTGACACTTCAATATGACATTCGTCTTCAACCGCATCCTTTAAAACTGCTAAACATCCAATGTCACTCAATTGGTTCAAAACTTTGATGATGCGTCTCTTAACCTCAACGTCGTTTAGAGTTACAATTTTCCTGTGCTCTTTTGAAAATGTCACTGAGGGAAATTTTCTATCTATCATACCTAAAATTTTATAGATAATCAGTATCAAACTACCGTAAAGTCCTTTTAATAATACAATCAGAAATCGATCTAGCACCAAGTCACAGCTTATTATTTCAGATTTTTCAGTAAGACGGACAAACTAAATTAAACAAGGATGCGTTCGGTCCCTTTAAATCACCGACCGGATAAATAAAAATATGCCACGAATATCTTTTCTTTTTCGGAGTTCAAATCGAAAAAAAAACAAGAAATGCGAAAAGAAATATTATTAGAAAATGTTTTTTACTTTTGTTGGGCCTTTGTCGGTATTAATCATTATTTTTTCTTTATCTATAGCTGGCCCAAAGGCTGGCCTATGTAAATACCGAATTTTTGTTTTTGTATAGAAGGCGACAAAGCTAAACTGGTAGATACAATGTAACCATGTTTTCTATATATTTTAATACAAATATTCTTTTAACAGTCCGGTCAGTAAAACTCGACACTTTTTAGAAGAAAGACGTGTTCCGGCTTTACGACAAAAAAAAATTTATTCACGTGTGAAAATAAAATTTTTGTGTGTTTTTGTTATCTTTCTGGAGAGCAACTTTTTGCGTTTATTTTTTATCGTATATATTAGTGGATTAGCGTATGTAAATAATGTAATTAATTAATATGGATAGTTACGAAAAGACTGGTGGAGTTTTTTTTTTATAAAAACTGTAAGAATACTTTCCCCAAATGTTGGGGCAAAATTTTTTTGGAGTGCCAAAGGACGAAACACCGTAAGTACCTATTTAACTACATTTTTATGATTGGTAGACCTTGATTGATAAAAAGTAATAGTTGAGCAGGCAAAAAATGTAAAGAACCATGAAAAAAGTTGGAAGTGCGTATTTATTTGTACTTTGTTACGTTGTATGATGACATAACTTCCATTTATTTTGCTCTTGTACCAGAAATTATTACTACAGGCTGATTAATTTAGATTTTTACCTCCTGTACTTTTCTCATAAAACTTACGATTTAAATTAAAAAATAAAATGTAAATCATATTGCGGTCTGGTCGACTTTAGGGAGAGTCGATTTTTAAGAAACAAGATTCTAATATACTCAGCTTTTTATAGTAAAACTTGTTATACTCAACTACTATTAAGACATAAAACTCTGGCTTTTAATAATAACAAAACTATTATCTGATCAGTTGGTTGTTTTTTAGTATAAATTTTATAAAAAATCTTCATTCGTCAACCAATCTTACTTTTATAATTTTTAAACTAATACCTGTTTTGTCTCTTGACATTTATGCTTTTACCAAGTGACAATATCTTTATATTGTATTTGTAATAAATCGGTGTATAAATTGTATATTGTAATAAATATTACCCTCTGAAATGGTACTCCTTTGTGAGAATTTAAAATATGTTAAAAATATAAAAAAATACATTCTTAAATTTGTATAAAAGGCAACAATGCATTCGAGAAGAAAAAAAACGAAGTCTGACAACGTCTATACTCCTGTTAAAGGTCCGAGGCAGTCCGAGGTCACGGCGGCATTTACCAGTAAGATGAAATAAGTGCCACATCTGGTAATAATCTGTGATTAAACTACCGCCAAGTCGTTTTAATAATTAATGTAATCAAAAATCGATTTAATAATTTATTATGTAACCTAGCACCTAAGTCTTAAAAAAAATTGAAAGATTGCCTAATAACTATTGGACCAATCTGGACACTATATTATAACGCTTCATTCAGATGAAAGTCTAAATTATTCCTTGTCATGCTAAATCAGTGGTCTGCATTTTAATGAGTAGACAAAGAATGACTTTGCGTTATGAGCTAAAAGACAGAGATACAAAGAAATGCAGAGTTAGTACGTGCGGTAGTTACGATTTAAGTTTAGCGAGTTAAAAATAAAAAAATTAAGCGGACACACCAACAGAATATTATGTGAGGTGTTAGAGCTGTAGCAAAACAAACTTAATTATTGATATATTATATTAATTAATAATTAATTTTTTAAATAATAAAAAATACTTGATTTGACAACCGCGCATTATATAGGAGGCATTCGCTACCACACGCAACGCCTTTAACTAACACCAGCCGAACAGCATTTAACATATATCAATTTATGCCATTTCTTAATAGGCTTAAATCGCTTAATAAGGGACACCCCCGGTTACTTACTAAAAGAGAAAAATTGTTCCAGAATCCGTGTGAGCGACAAAAATAAAATATTTTCCTGTATGATAATACAGTATGTGTCCAGTTGGCTTGGAAATGAACACATCAATTACATTCCCCATATAATTTTACATATAAATTGAGTGCGATCTTCATCTCAGAGCTATCGCTGACGTCGTTTTTTTTCGATCATATTGTACCAAAACATTAAAGATAATATAAGACTCATTAGTAGTTCAGTGTGATTTTGTTAAGCTCGTCAGCTGAAGGTTTTCTTTAGTTTAGGATAATTCCGATGTATTGTAATCGCAAAATATTTTCCGATGCACGTCATCAATCATATTGACATTGACCCTGTCTATAAACCTGACTAAACTGAAATTTTGGCAAAAATGTTTAAATTTGTAGTATAATTTAAGATATTAATCATATATTATCATATATCTGATAATATATTATCAGATATTTTATTTAGATTAAAGCTGCAAACATTAGTTTAAATCGAATTATATTATCGCTAAGTTGGTCACATTGCGCCGCGCCGTGTTCAGCAATGTTATTTGACAATTATCCTAGTGTCAGTCATTATTTTGTATAATATCGTGTTGTTGAATCTTTGTGAGTAATTCTCGTTTTTTTGCCTATTTTCATAGTCTTTTTATATAAATTCCACTTCTAAGTAGAAACAGTTCTTTTAAGAACTAAATTTTCGAGTTTTTGTAGTGCATTTCTTGAAATTGTGTGTTAAAAATATGTTAAAGCATTTAAACAGTCGAAGCCAAGAGCTCGTAGCTTCCCTGTTTTTTTTTAACTATTTTGAACGAGAACGTGACAATAAAGGTCCTTTATTACCATTGACTGCAGTCAGAAAAGTAAGTTTGTTTAATAAGCACAATATACCACTTTCAAAGTTAGTTTTTATTAAAATCTGTGATTATTAGTTTGTGCATGATAGCACCCTCTTACTTTTTATTACCACTTATGGCGTTTGTAAGATGTACATCAATAAATAAATAACCCATAATAACGCTTATAATAATCTTCATAATGGACTAGTTACTAGTTTTCGCCAATATGTAATACGTAAACTAAGCTATAAAACAAATAAATCAATTAATCACTAAAATATTAGTTATTAAATTAAAAATAAAAGGTAAAACTCTTTAAACTTTAAAAATGATATAATAAATATGTTGTTTGTCAATTTTAAATTAAGATTCATCTCATAAATCCATCACAATCTGACAGCGCTGTCGCCATCGCTTGTCACCAGGGTTGGAAAAAATCATGATTTTTTTTTAAAATAAAAAAAAAACAGATTTTTTTTATTTAAATCAAATTTTTTTTATTTAATCAGATTTTTTTGATTTTAATAGAAAACATTATTTAAATCGGATTTCCAAATAATTAGGACTTAATTCCAATTAAAGTCCCAAGTAGCAAAATCAGTTTTATAAGTGCTCTAAAAACTGCTATACAGCATATCTTATAGAACTACGAAAGTCTTATAACGCCCTTTACAGCTCTAATCGAATAGCTATACAACCAAAAAAGGCCCAAATTATAAAATCTTTCAGTTCTTTAACATATACTTATATCCTCCTTATATCATCCTAATAAAATATGTTTCTGTTTTGTTAAAAAACTATTTTATAAGGATGTTTTTCGAGGTATTAATACAACTTATCCAAACATGCACTATACAACCATTATATTTATATTTCTTGACGCTCCTATACCGCAAGCATAAAACTATTTTATAAGATTGATAAAACGCTGCCTGTTTTAAACTTAATACGATATATTTGTTCTTTTGTGTCACTGCTTGCAATAAAAATATCGAATAAAGCATATATAACGTAGAAAAATATTTTCACCTACTTGTTCACCATAATCCGAAAAGATGAAATTATTAAAGCGTCGCCATCATGCGAAATGGATGATAAGAAAAATACCTATCTATACTTACTGTAGGTATATTATGACTTGCGATAATTGATCCAGCGCCCAGAATTTGCTTGCGCAACAAATTTTTCTGATAAAATATATGTATGTATTTATCAAAAAATAGAAGCGCCTTAGATTCGACGGTAATTAGCCGATCTGATAAAAATATGAAAATATTTAAATATTTTTGAAAGGTATAATTTTTGATCTAAAGGACCTTTGAACTCATGTTTTAACTCAATAAATCCGATATAGCACCTTACATCTTTATAAAAAGCATGAATATTGTGCTAATTTGGATTTTTATATTTGTCGTGAGTAATGGCGGCCACTGACAAACCCTTAAATTCACATAAACATGGCGTTAAGTAATACAACAAATATGTGTCATTTAAAAACGTTATAGGACCTTAATATTTAATAAAGTTGTTTTTACAAGCACTACGAAATTATTTTTCAAAAAAAGGACAGTCAGAGATTCTATTAATTTCAAAGGTTGTCAAATTTTGTATTGGATTCATACAATAAGAATATTCATGTAAATAATTTGTAATTTAGCATAGGTAGATAGAGGTACCAGGTACCTAGGTATTAATTATATGTATTATCATACCTTTATCCTTATTAAATACTGATGATGATTTCTTATCATAATTTCATTAAGCTGCAATAATCATAATTAATTCAATTAAATTAGGGGTCAAATTAAATAGATCCTATACACGACTTACAGGAGTGGTCGATACACGCAACTTATCAAAAAATATAAAACAATATCATATTGTAGAATATCAATATTAACCCACATAATTAGGTATTAACATTTTAAGTAGGTACTAATTTCGGTATATATTTTGTTACACGTGGCAACCCCGCATAATATTTTTCGTTGAGTATCCTGTAAGGATGTAGTAAACATCTTTAAGAAACAGAATGCTTTCATAGAGTTTCGTCTAGCTGCACTTTGCACTTTACTTTTTTTGCATTATCTGTTTTATAAAATATTAGCGGGGTGTGAAAAGAGGAGTCCTCTTTCGTTTGACGGGAGTTAGTAGTTTCGTGAAACGGAATGCTGATTATTAATTATAATTATTTGTCAACCGGTAAACGAATTTGATTTTATTGCTTGTTATTCTTTTTTATAATTGACTAGCTATGCCCACCTATATTATTCAAACAACGCAATATCAATTACAATACTCTTTCGCTTTACAGGCGAAGGACTAGAATAATACTTCTTCCGTTTAACGGACAGGAGTCACGGCCATTCAAATTCTAACCTAACTCAACTTTCCCAGGTTAAAAGGTGGTAAATTAATTTGGCTTATTATTTTGTCCAAAAAGAGAGCAATAATATTTAAAATTGTGGAGACTATCGAGAAAGGCAGAAAAGAGTTGACGATTGTATCGGAAAGCTGGGAAAATGGCCAAGGTATATTATTTTGGCCCAAAAAAATTGCTACCTAATTACAAAGGGACTCTACGTCTTCTCCGGACCCAATTTGGTACACTTTCTACTACAAATTGGCGAATGCAGATTCTGTGGGGAAGATGGGGAAACACCAGTACACCTCATCACTGAGTGCGCCGAGGCGACAACCATTCGTGCCATGAATTTTGGTACGACTGATATTGGAGATGGAGAACTACCCTCTATAAAACCGTCCCAGATACTGGCTTTTGTCAAAGCCCTGGGACTGTATGATGAGTTATGATTCAAGAAAGGGGGACACAATGGATCTGTAAGGTCGAAGTGATTAACCCCCCTCCCATTCATTCTAAATTCTCTAAAAAAAAATTCTACTGCAAATTAAAAAGGGGCAATTTGGCTTTTATTTGCGCTCCTTTTTAAATGCCCACTCCTTTTCATCTTCTTCCATGGTGATAAATCCATATTGGGAATTTCTCACAGAAGATCAATAATTATGATGGTGTTAAACTTTTTTGAGGTTAAGAAGGTATTAATTTTATATTGAAGTAATTTGTGACTCTTTAGTTCTTTAAGAATTTTATAATAGTGCAAACATGGACAGTATTTCATTTATTAACATTGTAAGCAACGCCCTTATAGATATACTATAGAACAATTTTATAATTATTTCATAAGGCATTTTGTCTTTGTCCTAAAAAACTGTTTTATTTATCACCTAACGCAGCCTTCAACCGTACAATCTCGTCAAAAAAAGTATAATTTTTACTCCTTACACAATACACTATTGTTCGGAAATAGTCTTAGGTCGAGAATGAAATTAGTATTATTTTGGTATTATCTATTGTCAAAGTGTAAAATACTTATTGCAGGTCGAAATTTCGGTAAAAAAACTAGAAGATAAATTGATGAAGGCAGAAGTTATCTTCATCAATATACAGCAGTTTCAAAAAAGATATAAAACAGCATATTTTCTGACAACGATTTGAAGATACAGTCTAACATCTAAACAACCTTTTTCTGCACTAGAGGTTGCGAATGAAATGAATTCTAACAGCGTTTTTTTTTGCCACTAGTACATAAATTTCAAAGCAAATCCCTGCCCTTTAGAAGTGTAATGGATTCACACGAAATTACTTCTAAAATCCGTCCAACATTTTAATTGATGAATAGATATGTAGTAGGTATAGGTATGTGTTATACAAATCATTTTTTATATAGTTTTATAACATTTACAATTATTTTTCGATTTATTAAAAGTATTTAAAGGCTACCATAGCAAGTGCAACATTTTATGTAATGAATAGATATAGGGTATATCTGTTATAGAAATATTTTTTATAGTTTTCTAGGACACATTTTTATAACTTTTACATTTATTTTTCGATTTATTGTAAAGTTTTAAAAAAGTTGATTTTTTGTTTTAAATCACGATTAAAATTAAAAAAATCCCTTGATTTAAATCACAATTTAAATCATGATTTAAATCATTTGATTTAAATCATGCCAACCCTGCTTGTCACTCAAAGTTGATCACGTGCATCGGAAATTGTTTTGCGATTACCATAGGTTTACCATTTGTTTTAGTATGTGTGGTAGGTATTTCAGACCCGACTATCCCTGTTTTTTTACCAGAACTAAAGATAGAAAAAGAAAATAGTAGCGGACAAAAATCGCACTTTCATAAATTCAACAATACTATTTATGATAAAATTAATTGCATACATGGTTGTGACAAAACTAACAAACTATGTTGTTTTTTTTTGTGTTTTGTTTCGAAGCAAGGTGATTTATATGAGATACAATGGAGGTACACAAAAAATCCAAAGTTAAATAAAGAGTTAAATTTCGAAGAAGTTTCTGAGGGCTTATGATCAAGAAAAATCACAGATCTTCCTGGGTCTGACTAAGAACAATCTTCGGATTGTCACGGGGTTTTTAACAGGACACTGTCTCCTCAATGAACACCTCAGTAGATTGAAACTAAGAAGAAACGGCGAATGCAGATTCTGTGGGGAAGATGGTGAAACACCAGTACACCTCATCACTGAGTGCGCCGAGACGACAACCATTCGTGCCATGAATTTTGGTACGACTGATATTGGAGATTGAGAACTACCCTCTATAAAACCGTCCCAGATACTGGCTTTTGTCAAAGCCCTGGGACTGTATGATGAGTTATGATTCAAGAAAGGGGGACACAATGGATCTGTAAGGTCGAAGTGATTAACCCTCCTCCCACTCATTCTAAATTCTAAAAAAATTCTAAAGAGTTAAATTAGAATAATTATCTCTAATATAAATACCTTCGTCCATCAGCAACTTCTCTACCATTTTAAACCAAAACTTCAATGAGTAAAGTTTAACTTCCCAATGTAAATCACCAGTTGCAGCATAGGTCATTACATCATGTAACCTAGTGTACATAAAAGAAACTAAGTGCGCACAAATGTATATATTTATCTCATACCTGTGCTGTGTTTCTTCTGGAAATTCGTAAAATTTTACAATTTTGTACATAAGTTCAGCTGCTTCTTTTCGAACTATGCCTTCTGTCTCTTTTTGAAAGATATCCAATATATCATCCTGCAAAACAAATTATTGTACAATAATAAATAGGACGACTCAAAATTCAGTAGCTACTAAACAAAGCACAATCGGACCTACACATATGTCCAAATGTGAACAATACAGAAAATACATACTGAAAATTAATTTTAAAAACATAAAGATGCTCTATTTGTTGATATATGTATGTTGATATGAAAAATAAAAATTATTTTATGTGAGAAGTCTCTCCACAGGAGATGAAACATGTTTTTTAAAACACACTTTATATTAAATACAGGGCGATTCACGAGGAATTGTCTATATAAATATGTGTTCACAAGGCCTTCGTTTTTCAGATACAGGATATTAAAGCTTTAATTTTGTAATAAAATTTATAACTTTTAAAATTACTTTTTAATTATTAAACCTTTTATTATTTTTTTAGTGTAAATATTTTTAATTTTGTTTATAATATTACTATATAATATGCTTTAGTAAAAAAACACATCATACAGTATACACGTTCGGTAATTGAAGAGCTAGGAAGCCAGTTTACGTGCAAAAAGTCTAAGCTTAAACAAAGATGGACCACAACTTCCCCGTTTCCGCTTCCACTAGGACTGTGAGTTAGACAAACTCTAATAAGACAACAAATTTTGGAAATGCCGTCGTCTCCCATCCACTTGCCCTTTATCGTATTAAATCGCCATTAATATTATTGCTCTTCACGCGCCTCCGCATCGCGTCAGCGCGTCTGTCCATCACAGAGTTGCCAGGTCTACTGATTTCGTCTGTAAGCTACCGATTTAAATAGAAATCTAACGAATGTTAATTAATTATTAATAAAAAATTAAGCGACTATCGCGTCGTAAACCGTATAATCTGACATGCGTAAATATTACTGTTTATTAAATTTTGTTTAGAAATTATAGGTCATCCTTTCATAGGCATCTTGTCAGAAGAACTAGACATCCGACGATCTTTAAGGCTATCGGATGGCTGTAATGTTCTACAAGCAGATATTTACGCCATAAAGGAAGCGGCTAGTTGTATACGAGAGAAAATTGCTGATAGACCAATAGGGGATATAGTGATATACTCTGACAGCCTGGGCGCTTTAAGAAGTATCATCATGCAATCAGTGAGATCGAAAACTCTGATGGAATGCCAAGAAGCACTGTCCTGGCTGCGTTGGGGCTACTCTGTGCGGGGTGCCAGGTCACAGCAATGTGGTGGGCAATCAGGAAGCAGGCAGACTCGCCAAAGACGGGGCTAGGGGAGAGGCCGTGATACCATTTCGTCGTAGATAAGTGCATCTCGTATATGGTAGAAGGATCAAACTAAACACATACTAAAAACTGGAGTAGCTGTAAAATATCGACATCACACGATAGGTAAATAATGGATTTTAGTACTGCAGAAAAATAATGTCAAAAGGTACTGGTTTTAAAAAATTAAGATTAAAGTTAATTAATCAACCTTTAAGGTATAACATTTGGTAGGTGTTATTATTAATAAAATAGTTGTTTTATTTACCTATGTTATTTTATTTATTCCTGTGGAATATTACAAATTTGTATTTGTACATAAGTTATATTGATAAATATAATTATAAATGCGGGTAGTTTCATAAAGCTTTAAAGGAAATAATAGTTCTTTTTTATATTTTTTTGGTATGTAGTGTCTTGTTCTTGTTTGTTTTGTATTAACACATACCGTTTTTATTAAATAAAATAACTCGATTACATTTTTTCAATTTTATACAGTTTTTTTCACAATATTTTGAATCACTTGTCATCTTGTCAATCAAATTTTAAATATATCCTGCTATGCGTTCCAGTTATACCAACTTATTTCTTTGTAAAATAAAATAAACTACTTTGAAATTAAAATGACAGACACGTCTATCACTGTCAAGAATCTTCTCGTTGGACAGACTATACTATAAGTTAAAATTTAAAATATTTCGATAATAAAATTAATCTATACTAATATATAAAATCCTTAAGTAACTAAGTGACACAGATGCCCCACCACTTGTGACGATCAACACACTGAAGGAAGCTATAGGAACTGCCATCAAGGCCAAGCAGCAAAAGACGCGGCAACACCGTGAGGACTGCGCTACAGCTTGAAGACTATGGCCAGTGGTAGATAGCAAAAAGACAAAACAACTGCTAGAGCACAAAAAAGACATAGTATGCATAATTGTAGGTGTCGTCTGGAAACTGTCCCACGGGGGTAAACCTCGTGAGATGGAAAGTTTCCAACGACGACTACTGCAGAGAATGCTGAGAGGAAGAAGAAACCATAGAGCACCTGCTGTACCACTGTCCGGTACTGGAATACCGACGCTTTAAAACTTTAGGGCAAGGTTTTTTGGAGGGACTAAAGGAAGCAGCAAAAGCCAACGTCATCCAGCTGGAAGTGCTTTAACGCAAAGAAAGAATGAGAGGAAGGTTCGGTACAACAATACAGGGGTATCGCAATGGGCCCAAGGCCTCCGAGTGAGGGATCAAACATGATCCCAAACCCCAGCAACCTAACCTAACCATAGGTCATCGTTTTTTCCGGTCGCAAAATTACAGAGAAATTCCCCAAATTCCTATTATCCCTTTTTATGCGCTGTAGGGCCGGCATTTCCGAAGATGATATCTTTAGAAAATATTTTGTCTCATTCATCTACTGAAGTTTAACACGCATTTTTCCCACAAAAAATTAAACAAAGAACAAAATCTAAGTTAAGAAACAAACTAAATACAAGCAAATAATTTTGTGCTTCTCCTGTTTTATTAATAAAAAGAGAGTTGAGAGTAGCTACAGCTACATCCCATTGAAATGAAATTAATTCTAGATATGAGTGAACAAAATTTGTAAAAAGTGACGGATATCCCTACTCTTGTTAGTTTTAAATATTTTTATTAATATATTAATATTATTTAATTATATTATATTATACCTAGCTATTTCTAATTTTTGTTATATTTATTGTGTTGATATTTTATTTGCGTGTTCAATTCTAGGATCTCATAGGAATGTCAATTTTGTACTTAATATTTTATTTTGTTTGTGTAGTTTATTATACTTTTGATTTTGTTTCATTATTTGGTGAAATATACGGCCGCTGACGCACTGTGGGCTAAAGTGGGGTAGTGGTACTAAGTGGTACTAGTTGTGGAGTAAGTGGTAATACGTATAGTATTTATATATTACTGGTTTTAAGAATTTTTTTTTAACTTCCAATCTTAAAAGATGTGATTTTTTTCTATTAATTTTTATTAGAGGTAACAAGAATAGTACCCAGGGGCGGATACAGAAATTTATTTTAGGAGGGGCCCAAATAAAAAATAATGGAAAATATCCCTTTTAGGGCGCCATTTTTAACCCAAAAGCCTAATATTTAACCCAATTTACAGATTTTAGGGGGGGGGCCCGGGCCCTACGGTCCCCCCCTCTGTATCCCCCACTGATAGTACCTATTAAATCTTTTTATGGTATACCAGGTGTTTCAGGAAAGTAGCTCACCATTAGAACTTTTTTAGTTTTCCAGATAAATAAACGAGATTTGCTATGTTAGTATATGACATAAATCAAGATTGATTGACATATTCCATTAGTTTCGGCCACTTCCTGTTTCACCGGAAATGACTACAACTTTTGATTTTTAAATGGTATTCTCGATTTTTTTAATTTATTTGTTAGAAAATGACATTCTGAATAGAATGACATATCATATGTCAACTTCTGGCATTTTCGCATATAAGCCACACTTGTTCCATTTGAAAAAAATGAGATATGGCTAAAAATACGATTTGGGCATATTTTAAGCGGCCAGGACAAGACACCAAAAATATTAAACGATCAAATCTATTTTTCCAAGGCTTCTTGACTAAAAATTAGTGTTTTTAACACGGCCATGGCACTCTAGATTGAAATTTAAAATACGATTTTGTTTTAAGCGGAAATGTCAAAAGTTGGCATATGATATGTTATTCTATTCAGAATGTCATTTTTTATCAAATAAAATAAAAATATACCGAAGGTGCCATCTAGAAATCAAAAGTTGTGAAAAAATAAAGAAGTTATAGAGGTGAGCCACTTTTGATACTGGGTGTTGATTTTATATCACACAATATTTTACTGTGTGATATAAAATCAACACCCAGTATCTTACACAAAACGATTTTATTATGGAAATTAAGCATAACCATAAATTAAAATTAAAGTAGGAGTTTATTTATTTGCAAAAGAAAAATTACGAGATATAACTCTAATTGATTATTATTTTTATCAAGTTGGAATTTTATAAATGAGATAATATCCAAAAATAACATTTCTAAAGTTTATTTTTACCACTTTGATTTCAATTCTAGCCCTGTGTGCGACGCGTGGCGAACGCTTGGACCCCGCCCCCTCTCGCAGAAGCAATCTCATGACTCATCGCGCCACTTCTTAACAAAGATAGAAAACAAAGTTATCTGATTTTGTTACACTGCAGGGTAAGCTGCAGACGTGTCTTCTTTTTTTATCGCACTGAAAATCTCCTATGCTAGCTATTCCTTTGCCAAAACGGTAAATATTATAACTGCATATACATATTAAATAGGTAATTTAATTAGTTAATATATATGTATAACTGTAAGGAGAAATATTAACATTTAAAAACTTACACAGAAATGATCCATATTTAAATACAATTCCCAGATTTCTGATGATTGTATTAATTCCTGTAAACATTTTACAGCTGAAGCTCTAACATAATATTCCCCATCATTTAAGGCCATTTTCAAGACCAATTGTGGCAGCTCTACATCTAAGAGAATGTTTTTAAACGCAGGATATTCTAAAAACAACATATATTGCAGTTAAGTATTAATTAGTAATTTAAAATTATGTCTCACTTGAATGGGCATTAGATGATAAGGTATAAACCACTTCTAAGGCACTATCTCTTATTTCCCATGAACCGTCGTGACATTTGGCATACAACAAAGTCCCTGTCTGAGCCACTACTGAATCTCTGTGATTGTCCATCAGTAAAACCATATCTGGAGACATGTATCTTGAAATAGCCATGTCTAAAAGTTTAAGTCCCTTAACTACTAACTGAAAATTAAAAGAAAGGTTTGATAATTCGTACAATTCAGTGGAATCTGAAGTAGGAAATTATTAATGACAGATTAAGTCTTTCTTCAAAATGGAGAAAACAACTTTTTAACAAGAAACAATGATTCAGTGAAGTCATGGTAGGCTTTGGAAAAAAGTTGCTTTTGACGTAATAGTATAAACGTAAAATTGTTATTAGATCAACATTTTGATAGTCTTATCAGCGTTTTTTATCTTTTAATTGCTTTTTCAAAATGCCTTTATTACTTGAAATAGTCGTTTCTTGTTCACTGTTATTAATATCTTAATTATTAAATATTAATACCTCTGGTATTATGGTATTCTGGTAATTCGTCGATTTTAAAATAAACTAACTGTTTCTATCTTATTTTTTGTTAGAATGGGCATAATTAAGAGGGCTACTGATACCGTGTTGTAAAAATAAGGTAATTAAGGCCTTATTTTTTGGTAATTATTATAATTTTGTTAATATCTTCGGTTTGAAAGAAGATATCAAGATTAGCGATGGGAACTATCGAATATATACAGAATGAATGATTTCAACTATCGAATGGTTTTATTCAAATAAAATCATTCATTCATTTGTATACTAAAGCATATGTGACAACTTCGCCGTGCGACTAAATGGTTATCGTTGAGCCACGACTATCGAATGCTTTTGATAAATGAAATTTAGTATTCGTTTGATTTTTGTGTGCGTGAGTGCATTATTAGTTCTTCCAAATTTTTATAACTTCGCCTTATAAGTACTGTGCTACTGTTGCGTTTATTAAAATATTTAAAATACTAAAATAGTAGTTTTTTTTAATTGACGATTGTGTGCGTGTGCAGGTGGTCAAAATTTTTCCGAAAATTAGTGTGATTTTCCGTAGCCCGATCTTTCAATTATTTTATTTTATATGGTATATGGTCTATTTTTTAATGGGAAATTTTGAGAAATAGCAATTTTTAAGAGAGATGAGATGAACTTAGAATTAATTTTAAAAATACATATTTGTATTTTAGATGTTTTAATAATATGAATTAGTTGAACTTAATAATCATATTTAAGTAATGTGGTTAAGTAAATGTGGTTATCGAACTCGAACTATGGGATGAGAACATTAAATTGAAAGTTTTACACGTGCCAATTTAAAAAAAAAGTTAACAATGTTGGTATTTTGTTTATGCTAATTCTCTTACAGGTAGTTTTTTGCGAAGAAATATTTCATTTATTTTTTAAAGTAAATACCAGTAAAAGTAAATATTATTTTTAAATAGTAATATAAAGTACATAATATAAATAATTTTGATTTCTAATTTTTTATTTATATTTTCCTTCCATTACACTGCATGCTTAAAAAATTAATAAATGTTTATATTTCATGATTTTAAAGTTTGTTGTTAATATAACAAATTAGTTCTGTAATTATTATTATTTAATAAACCAACGTTGCCAAAAAATTTAAAGACTATATTATTTTTAAACAGGATCTAATATAAATAATTTTGACATCTAATTTGTTGTTTATATTTTGCTACTACGTAAAAAAAAATGTTTATATTAAATTGCTACAACGCAGCGCGTGTGACACGTACGCGTCATACCGGTCGTCAATGCAAGTCAGGTCACACGCGATATACGCAACTCAATTTGCGCTTAGCGTAAGACAGTGATGTAGACAGCTTAGTGAAAAATCAAATGTATTAAAAAGGGATAAAAGTTGAGTTGATATATTTTTTCTATGCGTATTGCCAGATTTCACATCAAAATTTCAAACCGCACAAATAGGTGCTATCCCAACCAAAAATTGAAAAGTCTGTGGAGCACAATTTTTTTATCAAAAATAATTGTTGGGGTATCTTCCGGGACACCACTGAAATTAATAATTATATTAAGCTAAATTATCTCCTCTGTGATATAAATCCCAGTCCCAAATTTCAACAAAACTTGCTAAAAAAGATATGAAGATTACGATATTTTTTTACGATTACGAAGATTTTATACCATATCTAAACAGCGGTTAAAATATGATAAGCGACATTCAAAGTAATAAGGAGAGATTAATAAGCAATGGCTCTTACGCTTCATTCAGAACCTTCCAATTAGTGGTTTCAATTACACTCTATACTTTTTAGTTTACGATCATTCACAATGTCTAAAAAACACAATTAAAACATAGATAAATGCAACAAGTTTAGATTGGAAAGTGCCCATAAGGACAATGTAAACACTATTTGGCGCTATTCTTGCAACGGTCGCGACCCAAAACTTTTGAAAATTTCGGAGCTATTCGGCTTTTTCCGGAAATATATCGCCAAATATTGTTTATTCAAATTTATTATTATTTTAGTCCAATTTTATAAATAAAATACAGTGTGTTGCATACAAGAAACTTTATTTTATATAAGGACGAATGTATGAAATACCTATGAAACATTGGAAACCGACGTTATGCCACGATCCACGATGGTTTTTGCAGTTCCCAGTTCACAGCACAGCTTTTTAAGTTTTTAATGCCACTTTTCCACAATTATCACCGGTTGGAGTAAATAAAACTTGAATTAAACTCACAAGATAGCAATAATTACTTTGAAAATGGACGCTATAAACACTTTTCGGAATTTCTTTAATGAGAGCGGTTTCGATTTTGAAAGATTATTATGATTTTTGAAGATTCTGACTTTGACAAGAGAAAATGATTTCTATCTTTGTTTGCCGTTGTTCTTAGCGACTGCTATAGCAGCGCCAGATCGCGTATAACGGTCGCGACCGAAGATAATTTCGCGACACAAAATTTTTACGGGCTTTCCAATCTAAACTTGTTTCATTTATCTATGAATTAAAATTAATAAAATATCCTAGCAACAGCTTGCGGTAGTCTGTTGTATCCATAGAGAATGCATAATATTTAGCTTGTGAAACAATAAACTTTTGATTTCTAACCAAAATTTTTCTTGACGAGTGATAATCAAAGGCCAAAATGACATTCCTCGGAAATTTTGAAGTATAATTAGTGGAAAAGTCAAAAGTTTGTTAACTTTTTCCAATAATTGAAAAGTACTACCACTAATTATGACGTTCTGAATGCTTAAATTAAAATTAGGTGAACAAACTTCTACGGCTAATTGAAACTACTAATTTATCCCACTGATTTCGAGGTTCTGAATGAAGCTTTAAGTTAAAGTCTCTGTTTATTATTTTATAAATATTCAAAGCTTTTTACCGATTCGGATAATAACGTGATAATAAGTACCATCTGACAACAGCGCTAAAATTTCAGGTCTCGCGGTATTAGAACCTTGTCATAAAGAAATATCTTACATAACATACATACAAATAAAGTATAATTAGTAGTGATGGGAAAAAACGATTAATTTCAATAATCGAGTACTCGAGTTTCAGACGATTTCAATAATCGAGCGATCGCTCGTATTTAAAGTACGGTTTTTTGCCGGTCACTTGTAACGCCAAGCAGCATGTTGCGTGCGCAGAGCACATATTCTTTCGGTGATGAATGGCAAGTAGCAAGCGACGAGCGACGAGTAATTCGCTTGATTTAGTTTAGGTATTTTAAAGCAATGTCGATATAGGTCGTAAAATTTTGTCACTCAGATACGCAACGGATAACGTCGTATAAATTTGCTACCTGCAATGTATGTAGAAAATTCGCTCGGCTTTTTATCGAGTATTTCACACAATTCATTAAAATCGAATTTCAATTTATTTCATTCTAGGATCGCCGGCGTTCGTCGCTCGTAACTCGTTCATAATCGAGCGATGTCGGTTATTTCAATATTCGGGTCCTCGAGCGAATTTTCGCTTGAGTTATCCCATCACTAATAATTAGTAAAAAATCTAGCTGCCCAGCAGATATGCCTAAAACTCGGAAACAGCATACAATGTCTCATTCGGTACAGAGTCCCCACCTTCAGGAAATGAAACCAAGATATATAATATTTTTCTTATCACTAAAATTATGATTTTCCATTACACTTACCTTATTACACAGAAGGGGATAATTCAAAAATTCACATGCTAATTTTAAAACCGAAATTGTTTCTATGCTATCCTTCCATGTAATATCAAAAGTTGTCACAACGTCTATAAGAGTATCTATTAGTGAATCCAAAAATCGTATAAATCTATAAATAATTGTAAAATGAAACATCAAATTAATATACCATTCCTTATAGTCTAAGAGCTAGCAACGTTTTCGAGAAAGTATTTTAAGACGTCTGGCTCTTTGATATATCTTTTACTATGTTCTCTGGAACAGCATGCGGTCCGTCTCGCTGCTGATACCCGTTGCGTACACTAGTGCGCATCGGAAGAAAATCCTATATATTTTTTAATTTAGTCCTATAAATTCTAGTATTGAATATAAATCGAACATGTCTCGATAGCGCCGTGCGTAGCAGTGCGTAGAGTTTCTGACTACAAACCGAGGATTCCGAGTTCGAATCCGGATCAGGGCAAAGACTTTTATTTTATTTTCGTTTATATTCTGATAGTAACGTATTAAATAATTCTGCTGATTAAAAAAACAAATATTTAATACTTTACTATCAGAATATAAACGAAACTAAAATAAAAGTCGTTGCCCTGACCCGGATTAAAACTCTGAATCCTCGGTTCGTGGTCGGAAACTCTACGCACTGCGCTATGGAGACATGTTCGATTTATATTTAATACTATAATTTAAAGGACTAATAAAAATATAGGATCTTTTTTCAATCCGCAGTAGGGAACGCAACGTTTACCGGCACACTGTGGTCAATTTTTAAAAATTAACAGGAAAATATTAAAAAATCTGATGAGGCTAAGCGGCGTCAAAAACTCCATAAGTAGGCTTTGAAATAGTTGCTAAAAACATTTCATTAACAAATATGTCAAAGGTCGTTGCGAATTTACTGTTATTTTGATTGAAAGTGTAGTATAGTTGACAAATTAAACTAAATAATCTTGTTATTTGCAAATGAATAAAGTTTTTAATTTGCGTATTCCGTGCAAAAAGTTATATGTCATTAATACTATCTAAATGGAAAGAGCAATTGTTGTTGGTAAGTTTTTTGACATTAATGTTCTTCTGTTGAGTATTAAATATGAGTAAATAATTTTGATATGGTAAGATTATTTTTAAATTATTAGAATATACATTTTTTTAATGAACTAGCAGAAAAAAGTCTTATGAGGTTTCAGTTTTAAATAAAGTTAAGTTGATAGTTAAACCATTAGACAACTTTACCAAACCTACAAATTTACCGTCCTAGTCCATCTATTAAGTCCAGGCCATTTTTAGGACGTATTGCCCATATTAAATGCTTGGAGGTTGTTGCCTTTTTAAAAGCAACTGTTAGCAAAATCTGTAAGATCCATTGTATTATTCTTATAATATGCTAATTTTTAAATATCTAAAATATGCAAACTTGTTCTTACTAATTATATTATTAATGTAATTTTATGATACCTAACATATAAAATCGGATATAGCTAGTAATCAAAGTTAAGTAATTTTCACTAATATTTTTTTCCGGCTAATTTGACAAAATTGACCACAGTGCGGCAGCCAGACGGGCCGCTTGCATAGTAAAAGATATATATGAGAGCATGAGTAAAAGCATGAGAGCATAGTAAAAAATATGTCAAAGAGCCAGACGTCTTAAAATACTTGTTTTTCCGACGTTGCTAGCTCTCGTACTATTATACCTTGGGCATGATTTAACCTCAGGATGAAGTTCACAGTGGGTTAAACTATCTCTTAAGCAATAAACTAGGGGTTGAAAGAACATTGCCGCCTTTTCTCGATTCAAAAGCTTTTTAGATTTAAGTATCAATTGAAAACTAAAAGTAGCATCGTCGATGAGATCTTTTTTCTTTTCAAGTAGTTCTTTCCATTTGAAACCTAAAAGTGTTAAATGCTATACAAATTAATTGCATATGAAATTGTATATTATGTAATATTTACATATTTTAATGGTTCTGATTGCGCTTATCGTTACCCATTTGTGAATATAACATCTCCGATAGTCGTCGTTGAGCATCACAGAACTGGCCTTTTCGTTACCCAAAAATTGGCAAGTTAATAGCTAAAATTAGAATAAAAAAATTGTCATTGGTTCGTGAATTATCCATAACATAAGGGGCCTCACGTACGACGCGATGACTCCAAGGAGAACAATAGTTTGTATTAAAATCAAATTTTGGGAGCATCTCGTCGGTGAAATGTGATAAACTGCATTATTCCTAATTTTACAGGAGAGCAAAAAATCAATACAAAAAATATGTACACATGTAGAAAGTATATTCATGCGTTAATATGGTAAAGAGATAAGAATATTATTTGTTAAGGAACAATAAAACTCAATATTTCTTGTTGCTTTATTTTTTAGACAAAATAGGGAGATAGGTAGTAGATATTCGTCTTCAAGAAATAAGAAATATAAATATATTTCTGGAGATATCAACTTTTATTGTTTGAAATATTGAAAATGGAATTGAATATTACCCAAACATATTTAGAAATAATCAATTAAATTTAAAAAATATGATACTCTACTCATAACCATATATTTAATCGTCGGCCTAGAAACAAAACATACAAGTCCAAAAACGAATAAATTTTTTATGCATTTTTAAAGAACTAAAGTAGCACCATTTTGGACTTAAATGAATACGAAAATAATTTAAAAATTAAACTTATATGTAATTCTTAGAAGTTATAGTTAGAATCCTTCCAGAATATACAGCTCTATATTCTGGAAGAAATCTAGTCAAATGATATTACATTGGCCACTTGCAAATTTGTCGAATTTTTATTGACGGGATGCTTAACATAATTTTTTTACAACGGTTAGTAGACCGAGCTTAGAAAACAGTGCAGTCATAGGATGAAAACAACGTGATTTTATTAAATTTTTATTTCTTTTCTCCTTAATTTTTAATTTTTATAAAGATTAAATAAATAAAATAAATAAATAACGTCTTTATTTTTTACTCGGCGAAATTCAGCAGAGCTGTTAAGTTAACCGAGCATATAAAAAAAGTAAATAATATAATACATTCTTAAAAAATAACATTCAAAGAAAAAAAATAGAAAAATGAAAATTAACAATATACTTTAGATAAAGAAAAATCAACAACTTAATAAGATAAAGCAATAATTATGTATTATTTACGCGGAAAAACGTTGAAAAAAATAAAACTGATTAGGTATTATTTAAATTCTTGTACCTAAGTAAGTAATGTTATTTAAAATATTTACAGCACGCCGATGAATTGCTCGTATATAGAGAATTTCGTTTTTCCCCTTGCCCTTTACGGATACCCCGTATTTACAGAACGAATTGACGCGACGTCGGACTGGCCATATTGGGTGTTCCAGAAATAAGTGCAAGTATTTTAAGGGGTGGTAGATCTCGATAAAAGAAACATATTTTCTCTTCATCGTTTTTGAAATAAGTCCAAAATAACGAAGTTATTTTACTTTGAAAATTTCCAAAAAAAATGATTTTTGCTAAAATTTTGAGAACCACTGGATCTAGATTTTTCTCCACTTTTCTAGATTTTCTTTCTTGAAAATTTAATCTATACCTATGTTGCCATATTATCAAGAAATTATATTTTTTAACTAAAAACTAAAAAAAAATCCAAAAAAATTTTCAAAATTTTTTGAATTTTCAAATTTTTTTTTCGCGAAAAAAACCTCATAGGCGTGTTTCTGGGGTTGAACTATACTACCAGTTAAAATACCTCCACTTATTTCTGGGACACCCTGTATAACTATTAGGGGGGCCACAGCCTTCGCGGGCCCACTTTATATTTCATTATTTATTCTAACAATATTTGCATTTGCTTTGCATTATGGCATTTGCATTGCATTAGTTTACCTTGCATTAGGGTAGTTCCCTGATTTCTATACAGAGTGAGTCTTAAATAAGTGCAAATATTTTCAAGGCTGGTAGATCTCCATAAAAGAAACATAATATTTTGAGAACCTGTCCAACACCAGCAATGGAGGTCATTCTAGATCTAACACCACTGCACATTGTCATTGGTAGATACGTCAATGCGACAATGATTAGAATGGTTACTAACGGAATCAGTACTGGGAGAATTGTCAGATCAGGGGTTTGGTACACCCTCAAAAAGGAAATACCACTCCTGCAACTCCCAGTGGACGATATGCCAAGAACGTACAACTTTGAGAAACATCTCAATGTAGTATTGAGCAATAAAAAGGATTGGAAGAGAGAAAAGTCTGCCCAGCAGTTAAAAGACCGTACCATAACTTGGTATACTGATGTTTCCAAAACCAATACGGGAACAGGGATCAGAGTATTTGGGTCGAGAACTAAATACTCCGAACCAAGGGGCACTTACCCTAGCATCCTACAGGCCGAAATCTACGCTATCGAAAGATGCGTACAACTTATCTTAGATATGAACTATCGGAAACAAGAAATAGCCATCTTATCTGATAGTCAAGCAGCGTTAAAAGCGATCAACTCAGTATCAATCAATTCGAAATTGGTCAAAGAATGCATAAGCTGAATAAATTAGGCAAAGAAAACAAAGTCCTCCTACTCTGGGTGCCTGCTCACCAAGGGATAGAAGGCAATGAAAAAGCAAACGATCTAGCTAGAAAAGGAGGGAACACTCCACTAATTGGACCAGAACCGTTCTGCTTTCCAAGTGGTAACTAACTCAAGGCGGAACTCAAGAACTTGGAAGGTTCCATCCGCAACCTGGAATGGGAATCTTGCAACGGTCTAAGACACTCGAAGAAGTTTCTGAGGGCTTATAATCAAGAAAAATCACAGATCTTCCTGGGTTTAAGTAAGAACAATCTTCGGATTGTCACGGGGTTTTTAACAGGACACTGTCTCCTCAATGAACACCTCAGTAGATTGAAACTAAGAAGAAACGGCGAATGCAGATTCAGTGGGGCAAATGGGGAAACACCAGTACACCTCATCACTGAGTGCGCCGAGACGACAACCATTCGTACCATGAACTTTGGTACGACTGATATTGAAGATGGAGAATTACCCTCTATAAAACCGTCCCAGATACTGGCTTTTGTCAAAGCCCTGGAACTGTATGATGAGTTATAACTCAAGAAAGGGGGACAAAATAGATCTGTAAGATCGCAGTGATTAACCCCCCTCCCACTCATTCTAAATTCTAAAATTCTGACATAATATTTTCTCTTTACCGTTTTTACAAATAAATCCAAAGTAATTGAATTGTTTCAATTTTAAAATTTCTAATTTTTTTGCTAAAATTTTGAGAACCACTGGATTTTCTTTCTTGTAAATTTAATCCACTACCTATGTTGCCATATTACCAACAAAGTATGTTTTTAACCTAAAAATTTAAAAAAATTCCAAAATTTTTTTTCTCGTATCTTAGAGAATTAACGTATCTATAAATTACTGTCAAGGGTTTGATCGCCCTTACGCCAAATATCAGGCCTCTTCTTAGAAATACTGTAGAATATTGGCTAGTATTGAAAAATTCAGTGGCGGGTATTATTGTGTTTTATGACTTTAACGTGATTTGTGTCTATTGTAATAATACACGCGTTTTAACAAATACTATATTTAGCAAATCAGTAAACAAAATGTAGCTACATTTAAAGTAAAATAATATTATAAAGTTTGTTGAACTAACCTAAAAATTTCCAGAATTCGGGCACAGACTTTGAATACAACAATTAAGGAAGGGTCTTAGACAGAGGGCCCTAGGGTGGGGATCATTGACAGTTCTGTTTGGCGACTCATTTGACCCATTTGAATTTGATTTAAAATTTTGTGGATTTGTCAGTCTTTACTGAGCTTTATGTTATTTATTATAAATTCTACTACCGATAGTTGTTTAGAGGTAGTAAACATAGAAGGAAATTGTGGCAGAACTTAAATTAACAGTGATACTATTGCGATTTATCGAAAAAGACTGTAAAATAGTTGGTTGTGTAGCGTGCGGTAGATCTCGGTCAAAAATCGAGGAAAATAGTGGAATATCTTGTTAATGAATAACTAGTAAGTGACCATATAATATACATACGCGTAGTAAACCGATCATTTATGAAATTCGCTTAAAATTAACTGATTATATATTTTTTCTTGCATTTTTGCTTTTATTTACTACATGTCAAAGATTAGATGTCAAAGAATTTAGATACGTCAATTTGACTTACCTGCTTCTTATTAGCGTATCAGATGTTTGTGTTAATAAATAATTATTATAACTTATATATTTTTATTAGAATTATATATTTTTACAACAATTTTAATAACTAACAACATTTATTCACAACGTAAAATAAAACAACAAATTATTGAGTCTACCCCACGTCTACCCTACATCATATTATTACACGTTTTGAATAAAATTAGAACGGCACTGATAAACCGGAATTTAACTCGGTCATTTTAAGAGCCCCTCGCGTTCGATCTAAGAATTTATTATATGCTCCTTCTTTAATCTGTTTATTCAAAGGGCCTAGATCTGTTTGTCTGACTGCCCAGCTCTTTGTTAATGCTCGGCGTTACTTCACCATAGATGCCAAATTTGTTAAACTTTAAAATGTAAGAATAAAAAAAAAACTTACCAATACAGGCATTAGCTGAATTATCAGCATTTGATTCTGAAATTCAATATTCTCGCCTCCTCTAACGCACATCGGTAACCGCGTGGAACTGTAACTCCATAGGGTCTGAGCATGATGACATATTTTCAAAACAAATCTTGTATGTACTTAAAATTGAAATTTCATGATAAATATACATTTAAAAACAGTAATAAGTCAAAGTAAAATACTCTAAAAGTGGCTACACACACTACTGCAAGCTTGACAAGCATGCATGAACAATCTTTGTACATGCTTGTACAACAATCTTTGTACAAACCATGCATAACTTACCTTCGCCGCCACACGGTACATGCATGCTTGAACAAGCTTCAATTTATGCCGCGAAAAGGAAGAAGTCCGCGAAAAAGAAGTAGGAATCCCGAAGACATTTATCTTTTTAGCAACGGCATCCTTATCGGCTTGGCTGTCAATTAATCTATACTTATTAAGTAAAATTTTGTATGCTGCATCCTTCTTCACCCTATCATGATATTCTGGTGGTCCAAGCTTGCATGATTCAAATTCAATCAATCATCAAGCGGCTTGCACAATTAAAATGCTTGCACAAATTTTCCCTACAGACGCTACAGTTTGTACACTCTAAATAGAGTGACATATCATATGTCAACTTTTGACATTTTCTCATATGGTTTATTTGAAATTGTTACATGCGGTTCCTAACGACAATTTGACTCGAAATACCAAGTGTGTGGTACCAAATTATTGGTAAAAAAATTCTTTTTCAAATATGCTAATGAGACATCCTCGTTAAATTTAGACGTTCAGATCTATTCTTCCAAGGCACCTTTAAAAAATAGTGGTTTTAACACAGCCATGGCACTCTAGATTGAAATTTAAAATATGATTTTTTTAAAGCGAAAATGTCAAAAGTTGACATATGACATGTCGTTCTATTCAGAGTGTCATTTTCTATCGAATGACGTATAAAAATACCGAGGGTGTCATTTAAAAATCAAAAGTTGTAGTCTTTTCTCTGAAACAGGAAGTGACCAGAAACAATTATTGTCAGTAAACAATACGTCTATCAAGCCTAAATTATGCCATATATTAACATACAAAATCTCGTTTTTTTTATCTGAATAAATAAAAATTTATAGGGGTGAGCCACTTTTGAGACGCACCCGGTATACCCCATAATAATTTTGTAAAAATATATATAGCGTACGATCTAGAAAAAAAGAAAATACAGAGAATCATTATTATTAAGTGAGAGTTGGCTTGGGACCTGAGGACCGCTGTCATTGTCTGTATAATTATATGGTCAATGTCATTGGTTGTAGCACTGATTGTAGTCTCCAAGATGTTCCAAGCCAACTGAAAGCCATTTTCTTCGAATATATGATATCTGCCAGAAGTACGTTTACGGATTAGACCATATATGTAGATATGAATGGTAAGGTGAAAAAGCCAACGATGTCCATTATATAGGAATTAAGTAAACAACTTAATCTGTTGAGAATACCAAGTCATAAACACATGCTAAGTTGTAATTGAATATAACAATCAATATCCAAATAATAACACATACAGTTATAATTTTTTTAAAAAAATGTCTATACCTATGAGACGGATTCATCTCTCCAAAAAAATCCTTTATGTGTATTTCAACAGAAGTCATTTTAACAGAACTTAATAAAATTTAAAAAAAAATCAAAAATCAAAAGAGTTTTTTTTGTCATTTTAACAGAACGTCAACGGTTTCTTGTACACGTATCTGTTTTAAAAAAGTAAAGTGTTCTTGAATAGTTGAATTTAAATATTTTAAATAGTTTTTTTCTTTATTCTTTGTATTTTTTTTGCTCCCGACGACGGAAACAGATAACTTTCCGAAACGTTAAGCATTTTTTTTTTGTTAGGCAAATTTGTATTACTGTAAACATAACTTCTGACAAGCAGCGTCCCAAATGGTAAAATCAAATTGTACTCCATATTATCTGAAATTACTCTATAAATCTATAATATCTATATTAGATTCTCTCTATTTCTTTATTACTAAAACTAATACCCATTATACTAATATACTTATAAAACAAAAGTCGTTTCATATACTAACCTTTTTCCAGCTCGGAGATCATGATAGTAAAAAATAATTTGTTGTCGGGTGTTTGTAATTCACGAATTTGTTTCACGCCCTCTAACTTAACACAAAATTTGAAAACCAAAACATTCAACCAGTTTTTTACAATCATATAAGAAAAATCTTCTATTTGCGAGAGAGGCAAGATGTTCTGTAACGTCTCTAAAACGTTTAATTCGAGGAAAATTTGCAGGCAATCCTTGTCATAATTTTTCAAAAGTGATTCAGTTACCTAAAATATTTACACATTTATATTAATTATAATGCCATACAATCGAAAAAAAAAACGGCGTCAAAGACGGCTGATGAATGATAATCGGTGGTAATTTTTGACGAGGTCAAGCTCTAGATGTCATTTACTTGGCCTCTTGGCCTGTACTCTTCTTTATTCTTTAATGCCCCTTACTGCCAGTTGGCCTTAAGAAGGTAGATATTTATTTTTTTATTGAATAAAAAGGATTTTAAAAGGTGTAGTTTAAAATTCGAGAAAAAAAAATTGGGGCTAGATTTGTGTCTGGAAACGTTCTCAGGGCCCCTTTTTAATCTCTCTATAATTAGTGTTAATTTTTGACAAGATTTATGTCAATTGACGCAGCCATCTTTGACGCAGTTTTTTTGGTTGGAAAAAATGAGACGGTGCATTGTGGATAAAAAAAACAGTTTCCTGTAATCTTAGATGTATTTCTAATATTTCTTTATCTCTATTCTTTTATGAGCTACACAGTTTTAAGTAAAGTACTTTCAGAGATTTCAGAGATTCTTTTATTCAGAGATTCTTTTATGGACAAAAACAATAATTTTATACTAATTTTAATAGCGTTTGTGTCCACTTCTCGAAGCAATAACAGCTCGATGTCTTCGTTGTATCGAATAAATAAGGGTAGTTGTTGATCTATAGCTTGATGAATATCAAGCTATAGATCAAGAAAGCCCTTTACAAGAGCTAAGGCTAGCATTAACGGAGGAATCTCAGTTAATCATAATTAATTAGTTAATTAGCCTCCGTTAATCATAGTTCTTGTAAAGTTTGTGGTGGAATAGGACGACGTCAAACAACTCTTTTAAGTTCATCGCACAAATGTTCGATTGGATTGAGATCGGGAATACAAGGAAGCCATTCCAATCTTCGTAGTCCAACCTCATCCAAGTACTCGTTAACTACTCGTACTCCTAACTCGTTACCCCGCGCAACTTGGGGCCTGGCATTATCACGCATCAGTATAAACTGATTTCCAATATAAGGAGCAAATGGAACAACAACTTCTTTGAGGACATCCTCAATATAACGGTGGGCATTGAGAGCTCCATTTTCAACAAATTTAAGATTGTAAAAATACCAGTACTTTATTTTGAAAATGTGTAGCTAATAAAAGAATAGAGATAATAGGATAATTAAAAAAAATTAAATCTTAGGAATACATCTAAGTTTACAGAAAAGTGTTTTTTATACAGGGTTGTTCACCACATACGACACGGAGTATTGTAGCTAAATGATTAGATTTTTACAAATTGTAAGTTTTGGGTTCGTTGAAAGACTATTAGAGCTACAATTTAAAAATATTTTTGCAAGATACAGAGTGTCCCAAATAAGTAAAAAATATTATAGTTGTATTTTTTTAAATGGAACACCCTGTATATTATTATATTTTTGGATTCTACGATTGAAATAAAGGTAAATTTGATTAAGGTTTATCACACTTAAACCTTACCGTTTTTGAAATATTTTCAATTTTATGAAATTGCAGTAAAAATTTTAAGGCTTCATTTCTCCAAGGGTATCAAAAGTTTTTAATACTAAATATTTACTGAAGATTATTCATCAGATATTGTGTTGCAATTTTACTACCTTATACAGAGTGTCCAAAAATTTATATTAAATATATACTAGCTTTAAACGGCAGTAACTTATTTAATTTAAATGGAACACCCTATATATTTTATGTGAATCAGATGAACAACGTAATAGTCTATCAAATTGTATTATACTATTTTTTACCCATCTCTTCAAGTTTTCGTAGAAAATCCATTTTCTTATAATTTAGACCTCATTTATCACTATACCCATGGAATATTGACATTTCAGATTTTTTTATAGCACTATACATGTACAAAATGTACAGGTGGTAAATATTGCAAGCCCATTGGCATACAAAAAAAACTATTTAAATCTTTGTAAAAGAGTATATCAATTAAATATACCACCATTATTTCCAACCAAAAATTAGTTAATTACATTCGTCAAAAATTAAATAAAATTGGGACTTTTACCACACCGTCTAAACACACACAAAATTCAGCTTTTTAGTATTTGGAGCAATTATTATTAATCAACGTAAACAGTCAATTAATGTAGTTTGAATACTGGGATCATATTAATTGGTCCTCTTTAACAAAAAATATTTAAACTGTTTTTTTTATTTTTTTAATTAAATAAGCGAACAATATCGACAATATTAGTATCTGTACCCTTTAAAAATTTATTACATCTTTAAAAATTTGTACATCTTTAAAAATAAGCTAAAATGTCAATATTCCATGGGTATAGTGATAAATGAAGTCTAAATTATAAGAAAATGCATTTTCTACGAAAACTTGAAGAGATGAGTAAAAGATAGTATAATACAATTTGATAGACAATTACATTGTGCATCTGATTCCCGTAAAAAATATAGGGTGCTCCATGTAAACTAAACAAGTTATTGCCGTTTAAAGCTAGTAATTATTTAATATAAATTTTTGGACCCTCTGTATAAGGTAGTAAAATTTTTATTATTGCAACACAATATCTGATGAATAAATAATCTTCAGTAAATATTTAGTATTAAAAACTTTGATACCCTTGAAGAAATGAAGCCTTAACATTTTTACTGCAATTTCATAAAATTGAACAACTAATACTATCTACAAACTAATACTATAATCATAAAAATCGGATTACAAATTCAAAAGTTATGAAACATATTTAAAAGTTATTAAACAATATTAGAGCGGAATTTTGTGCCGGGGAGTTTATCTACAGTAGTTTAAAAATAATATCTTAAACAGTATCCTAAAAATATCAGAAACCTATTATTTTAGACTGTAATTTATAAATAGCGGTAACAGTTCTTCAAAAAAAAAAAAAAAAAAGAACAAAGATAAAACTATTTAATTATATATATATATATATATATATATATATATATATATATATATATATATATATATATATATATATATATATATATATATATATATATATATATATATATATATATATATATATATATATATATATATATATTATATATTTTTGGTCACTTCCTGTTTCACCGGAAATGACTACAACTTTTGATTTTTAAATGACACCCTCGATATTTTTTTACTTTATTCCATAGAAAATGACATTCTGAATAGAGTGACAATATATGACATATGTCAATTTTTGACATTTTCGCTTAATCAAAAATTGTATTTTAAAATTCAATCTAGAGTGCCATGGCTATGTTAAAAACAACGATTCTTAATCAAGGAGCCTTGGAAAAATAGATATCGTCTAATGTTTTTAGTGTCTTATCCTGGCCAGTTAGAAAATGCTCAAATCGTATTTTTAATCATATCTCAATTTTTTCAAATGGAACGAGGGTGGCTCATTAGCATATTTGGAAAAAGCATTTTTTGACGAATAATTTGACACCACACACTTGGTATTTGGAGTCAAATTTTCCTTACAAACCGCAAGTTATAATTTCAAATAAACCATATGCGAAAATGTCTAAAGTTGACATATGATATGTCATTCTTTTCAGAATGATATTTTCTATCGAATAAAGTAAAAAAAATACCGAGGGTACCATTTAAAAATCAAAAATTGTAGTCATTTCCGGTGAAACAGGGAGTGACCGAAAACAATTGAATACGTCAATCAATCCTAATTTACGTCATATACTAACATACCAAATTTCGTATTTTTAACTGAAAAAGTACAAAATTTATAGGGGTGAGCCACTTTTGAGACGCACCCGGTATATGTACTTAAGGGTTAAACAAATTTTATGACCATCAGACTATCAAGTGTTATTTAAAGACCAAAAAAAAACGATAAATTAAAATATATTAAAAAATAGTAAAAAAATGGCTTTTCAAATACTTACTTCTGACAAAAAAGTTAAAGTAGGTAGCAAAGATTCAAAAAGCTCTTTATTGACTACTTCAGTGTTTACATTTTCAATATTCTTCAAAGAGCTATTTAGAGCATCTGTTAAGGGTTTTATTAATAGTTTTATTAAATTTGTACAGAAACTTTTATTAAATTTCACTGTTTTCTGAAGTAGTTTAATCACAAATTCATATCTAAAACAAAATATTCTTAAAAATAGAATTTGAAAAAATTAAAAAAATCTTACGCTTTCTGACGAATATACAATGTGTGAGCTTTTAATCCCAAATCCACTATTTCAGTCCAGTAGTTTGTCGCTAAAACCCATTGAAGGCCACTTTTATGTTCCAAAAATGAACATACAAGTGTAATATAACCTACAATTGCTGCAGGGGCTTCATTACCATTTTCTTGTGCAATAGCTAAATAATTATATAAAAGTTAAATTGTTTATAATTCACAGAATTGTAATATTCAACAATTTACCAACAATGCTTTCATATACATTCTGGCTATTGAGCCGAACAAACACTTGTTCATCGGTACTTAAATGACTGGCCAAATTTAATACCAATGATAAAATTGGAATTGATGGTTTATTTTTGTCTTTATCCCATAAGTGATATGCTTGAATAATCCATTGAGAACATTGTTCATTCAGTTGTTTATTGTAAATTAATTTCTTGTTGTTTTCTAAAAGAACAGACCATTACTATATAACTAGAAACATACTTAAGTTTTAGTTGCACAAAGCTCAATGGAACGAAATATGCTGGGAATAACCTAGAAAAAAGGAAAGTAAAAGAATAGAGAGGATATGACAAAAGACCCAGGTAACAGATGTCATCCACAGAATCAAATCCTTAAGTGGCAATGGACAGGAAACCTGGAAAGGAGAGACAAGCGAATGACAAAAATTACAGCATGGTACCCACAAGGAATTAAGAGACCTTGAAGAAGACCAAGCCTGAGATGAGAGATGGTATTAGGAAATTAGCAGGGATTATTTGGACCTGCATTAGCAACAATGGGCCCTACAGGGAGAGTATCTGGATATGTGAGGGAGGCTGCACCAAAATTGAAAATGATGTTAATAGTCAAGTTAAAACGTACCTTTACCAATCAAATGTGTTAAGAACAAATTTAAATACACATCATTCTTAACAACAAAATTTGGTTTCAGAAACTTCTGGAGCACTTTCTCAATTTTCTCATTGTATTTAGAAGTAGATGGTGTAGGTTCAATTTCCATTGTTAAAAATGCCATTCGCTAAAACATACATGCATCTTCAGATTACACATTAATACTATAGTAAAAAAATATAAATAGCTAAATATTATTTAAATGAATAATAAAAGTGGCTTTGATTAGAATGAAGTAATTTAAAATATCCCGAATCAAAAAAATAACATTAAAATACAGATGAGAAATAAACTTTAATGATACTGAAAATAAATATAGCCAGCTCAAAACATATCATTAATATAATGGAGACTTGTAAACAACAAAAAACGTCCTTGAGAGAAATATTAAAGAATAAAAATGTTAATTACCCAAAATATTTTGTCCGACAATAACCTTATTACATTTTTTTAAAACTACCCAAGTTAAGTATATGAAAAAGGACTGTTTTATCAAATTTCTCTAAAACATATGCACTAGAATCGTCAATGTTGTAATTACACAACTTGTTCCTTGTTCCTGTTAATTGTTGAGTTTTTATTTTTCATGGAACTAGTTATAATCCTTTATAATCAACAGGTTGGTACGAATTTATTGCACTTTGGAGAATCTTGATTTATATTTTTGAGGTTCGGATAATTTTATTCGATATTTTCTAGAAACGTCATTAACAAATCATCTCGAGATGGGACTAACTAGGGCAAGATGATTGACTCATGATTGACTGGGGCGAGATAACTTCGGGGCCTGTGTTGTTGACAAACACGAGGAAAATGACATGTAATTGTAAATGATATGATTGATGATAAAGTAGATTGTAACTGCGTTGTTTTACTAGTTGCCTATATATAAACAATTTATACAGGGCTGTATATGGGCTGTATCGGCTATGACTATATCAATAACTATATCCAATATATTATTTATTTATTAACTAAAGTTAATAGAAATATGGCTGTATCAAGGCTGTATCCTTTGCTGTATCATAAAAAATGTATAAAGTGCTCACCCTGGTGCTAACACTTCTTCTTCTTAAGGTGCTGTGCAGATTCCTGCGTAGGCGTTCATCTTTTCTTCCTCATCAGATGGTTCTGTTAACTGCCGCGACTTGGAGTGGTTGGAAGATGCTTGGAAGTCCTGTATACCTGTCCAATGACGAATATTTCTCAGCCAGGATAGCTTCCTTCGTCCTATCCCCCTTTTGCCCCCCTCTATTTTACCCTGGAGAATCAGACGCTGAAAGTGATAGCGTTCTCCATGTAGTATGTGTCCCAAATAGGCTATTTTCCTCTTCTTGATGATTTCGAAGAGTTCACGTTGTTCCAGACCAGCTCTTCTGAGAATGTCTTCATTCCTAACACGGTCGACCCAGGGCACTCTTAGCATTCGTCGTAGGGTCCACATTTCGGCTAACATTAAGGCTTCAATTCGGTTTATTGTTGCTACCTTCAGTGTCCATGCCTCCACACCATATAACAAAACGGACCAGACATAGCACTTCACCATTCTGTATCTAAGGCCGAAATTCAAATTCCTATCTGTGAGAAATCTTAACTTTAATTATTAATTAATCGTTAACCATGCATCCCAAATATTTAAATTGTGTGACCTGCTTGATGACCTCTCCATTTAAGTAAATTCTGGTGTTCGGAATATTGTTTCTGCTAACAGCCATAAATTTAGTTTTTGTAGTATTTATGTTTAAGCCCAGTCTTTGACTTTCACTGTTAACCTTATTTAGAAGGATTTGGAGATCATTTGCATTGTCTGCCAATATCACTGTGTCATCCGCATATCGGATATTATTAATTGGAATACCATTTATTTTCAAACCAATGGGACTATCGGAGATTGACTCAGTGAATGCTCTTTCCACATATAAATTGAACAACATTGGAGACAGAATACACCCTTGCCTTACCCCCTTTTTTATTTCAAAATCTTCTGTTACTCCTACGCTATGTATACGAATTTCAGCTTTTTGGTTCCAATACAAATTACTGATGAGCCTTATATCTTTTCCATCAAGTCCCAAGTTTCTGAGGTATGATACAAGGAGGTTATGTTTAACATTATCGAACGTCTTTTCATAGTCTATAAAGCACATGAAGACATCTTTTCTCTGATCTTGGCAATTCTGTACTAAAGTTTGAAGACTGAATATGGCTTCTCTAGTACCAAAGCCGTTCTTAAATCCAAATTGACTTTCTCCACTTACTTCCTCACATTTTTTGTAGAGTCTTGTATGCAGTACCCGTAAAAAGAGCTTAAGAAAGTGGCTCATTAGACTAATAAGACGATACTCTTTACACGAAGTTGCGTTATTTGACTTGGGCAGCGTGATAAACGTAGAACGAAGCCAATCTTCAGGGATGTGACCGGTGTCATAGATGTTATTGAAAAGCTGTACTATAGTTTTTAAGTTTTGTTCATTAATTAAGTGGAACGTTTCCGAATACATATCATCAGGCCCTGGAGTTTTGTCGTTTTTAAAAAGATTAATGGTATAATTTCTCCAAGTTTGCAATATTTCTTCTGTTTCCGTTATAATTTTATTTTCATCAGTTTTAATTAGGGTTATTGATTTATTATGGTGTAACCCAGCTATCTCTTTCACTTTCTTTTGAAGATGGAAACTGTCTCCAAGGTGACTGAGATTTTCGGCCTCTATACATCTCTCCTTCAACCATGTCTCTTTTGCCGTTCTTATTTTATTACGAATTTTTCTTTGCATAGATTTATATTCGTTGTGATTATTTTGGATTTTAAATTGTCTTCGTTGTTCCATCATTTTTAAAATATCTTCACTCATCCACTCGTTTTTCGCTGTTGTTCGATTAGCCGTGAGGAGGTTTTCATTTGTGTTCTTGAAAGCTTGCTTAATGCCCAGCCAATGTTTCTCAATGTCATTTGTACTGACAATACTTTCCAATTCTCTATTTATATGGTTTTCATACATTGATCTTGTCTGCTGGTCTCTGAGAAGTTTTGGATCCAAGTTCTTTCTCAAGCTTTTTCGTTTAGGTTTGGCTAACTACTGGTAAATAGTTAAACTTTTTATGCCGTATTTAAATATCAAAACTAATGTTAGAAATAATATTTAATGCCAAACTACTTAGATATGAAAATTACGACATGAAATTAATTTTATTGATATTTATATAGTTATAAAATATATCAATAGTTAAAAAAAATAAAACATTTTGCAAATTTTTAAGTAAAGATAAAATAAAAACGTAAAAAAATATAAATTAAATGCAAATGCTAAATATCTAGATTCTTATACAGAGTACGTCCCCGAATTGTCTTTACAAGGGGAAACACTTTTTTATTATTGACATTTTGAGAAAAATGCATTCATCATAAAAATTTTTGCTTGGTTGTAAAATCATATGTTGCATTGTTGCGTTTATCTCATCAAGGAGGCCGAATTCGACAAAATATCAAGAGATAACTTTTAATTGACATTAAACGGCCTACACAATTTTGATATCTAAAGAAAAAAGTCAGTGACGTGCATGTTTTTTTGGAAAATATTCCAGTGATAACCCATATGCACGTCCCTGATGAATTTATTGACACTTTTTTTAGCATTAAAATATGTAGCACTCATAGTATACAGGGTTGTTCACCACATACGACACGGAGTATTGTAGCTAAACGATTAGATTTTTACAAATTGTAAGTTTTGGGTTCGTTGAAGGACTATTAGAGCTACAATTTAAATATATTTTTACAAGATACAGAGTGTCCCAAATAAATAAAAAATATCAAAGTTGTATTTTTTTAAATGGAACTCCCTGTACATTATTACATTTTTAGTTTCTACGATTAAAATAGAGGTAAATTTGATTAAGGTTTATCACACTTAAACCTTACCGATTTTGAAATATTTTCAATTTTGTGAAATTGCAGTCAAAATTTTAAGGCTTTATTTCTCCAAGGGTATCAATGTTTTTAATACTAAATATTTACTGATGTTTATTTATTGATCAGTCATTGTGTTGCAAAATTATACTACCTTATACAGAGTGTCTAAAATTTTATTTTAAATAATTGCTAGCTTTAAACGGCAATAACTTGTTTAATTTAAACGGAACACCCTGTATATTTTATGAGAATCAGATGCACAATTTAATTGTCTATCAAATTGTATTATACCATTTTTTACCTATCTCTTCAAGTTTCCGTAGAAAATGCATTTTCTTGTTATTTAAAACTCATTTATCAATATACCCATGGAATACTGAAATTTTAGATTATTTTTAAAGATGTACCAAATTTTTAAAGAGTACAGATACTAATATTGTCGATATAGTTTGTTTATTTCATTAAGAAATAAAACAACTCTTTAAATATTTGTTAAAGGACCAATTAATATGATTTCAGTATTCAAACTACTTTAATTGACTGTTGGCGTTGATTAATAATAATTACTCCAAATACTAAAAAACTGAATTTTGTATGTGTATTAGACAGTGTGGTGAAAAGTAACACCTTAAAAATGATATGTCATTTTTTGACAAATGCTTATTACTAGCCTGTACATTTTGTACATTTGTTGCTTTAAAAACAATCTAAAATGTCAATAGTCCATGGGTATATTGATAAATGAGGTCTAAATTATAAGAAAATGCATTTTCTACGAAAACTTGAAGGGATGGGTAAAAAGTGGTATAATACAATTTGATAGACAATTAAATTGTGCATCTGATTCTCCTAAAATATACAGGGCCTTCCGTTTAAATTAAACAAGTTATTGCCGTTTAAAGCTAGCAATAATTTAAAATAAATTTTTAGACACTCTGTATGAGGTAGTATTATTTTTATTATTGCAACACAATAACTGATCAATAAATAGACTTCAGTAAATATTTAGTATTAAAAACTTTGATACCCTTGGAGAAATGAAGCCTTAAAATTTTGACTGCAATTTCACAAAATTGAAAATATTTCAAAAACGGTAAGGTTTAAGTGTGATAAACCTTAATCAAATTTACCTTTATTTTAATCGTAGAAACTAAAAATGTAGTAATTTACAAGGTGTTCCATTTAAAAAAATACAACTTTGATATTTTTTATTTATTTGGGACACTCTGTATATTGTAAAAATATTTTTAAATTGTAGCTCTAATAGTCCTTCAATGAACCCAAAACTTACAATTTCTAAAAATCTAATCATTTAGCTACAATAGTCCGTGTCGTATGTGGTGAACAACCCTGTATAGTAACTTTTACCCTCAAAATTTCATTCAAATCAATAAAAGTACATGGAAGAAAATTATAATAAATCGAAAAATTATTAAGATTTCAAATTGTTCCAAATCAAACACCATGTAGCTACGAAAAAGAGCAGAATCGGGCCTATGATGATATGAAAAATAAGTCTTATTTTTACGAGAGGAATCTCCCAACGAGGGATGGCACATGTTTTTTGAAACATCCTGTATAGTTACTAGTGCCATTACTCGCTGACGAGTATTTGACACGCATCAGAGAATAAGAAGATGGTTACGCAAGGCGTTTTCTTTCATGAGCATTTCTGTGACTGAAAAGCCCGATACGTGATATTAATTCTCTACCGCACTTCGGACATTCAAAAACCTCATTACTTTAATTGTTGTCTCTTTACTTTTTGGTTGTCGTTGTTAACTGAGCTTACAATTTCTTCTTCATTGTGTTCTATTGTTCGCTAGCTGCTTCCACTGATTCTGCATGTTTATTCCCTTTTACGTTTTTATGGAAAATATTCTTGTACCTTGTACCTTTTGAGTTGTCCAC